GCGAAATACTCGTTAGAAAAATTCATCATACATCATAACCCGTTCTTGTTTCTCTTCCTTTTGTTCTTCTTCAACTTTTTGTACGTATTGTCTTGTGAATAAATTTAAATAAATAAATTTTTTACATTTCATTCTTTCAACTCATACACACAAAATATTGTGAACAGTACAACAACATTGAGAACGTAAAAACTGTACCTGAAAACTCCGAGCCGGAAAAGAAACGAAAATTTTACAATAATTTGAAGCTTGATCAATGTGAAAAGAATCCAAAAACAACAAACAGTAAGTAGTGAAAAATACGAGAAAATTAACAATTTTTTTCGACTATTAATCCAAAAAAAAAAATTAACAACTTTTGTTCTGCTTTTTCTCATGCTATGCTGGCTTGCTGTTGCTATTACTGCTAAAATTAATTGAATTTTCCATATGAGTTCATGCATGTTATTTCTAATTTTGTATGATCATAGAGCAAATAGGTCTAGAATTACTTGTTACATTAATTGGATCTCCATCTCACTTCCACTTAAGCTTAATACATCTGTTTTAAATTACATAGCGAATGGAATTTGATTGTTTTTAGTATAAAACTGATTCTATGTGAAATTATGAAAATTATGAATTCATGTTGTCCATCTGTGGAGTGTGATTGCTGACTAGATTTGATGTCAGATTATAAGACACTATCAGGCATTTATAATGTTAATAGGCATTTGTATGCTAATTTCAAACACAATGAGCTCAAATATCTTCGTCATATCTCCAATCATTATTGTTAATATTTATTCTTTATTAGAAATTACACAGTCATCTACGTCTATCGTGAATCATGAATCACAGCAGTATTTTTAATATTTGATTTCTAATAATTCAAATTTAAGCCTTTGTTTTGAATAAGAATAGATTTAGAAATTTGATTGTTAAAATTTTGAAAACTACAAATTTTTGAATTTCAAAAGATTTTCTATTTTGATTATGCAAAGAATTTTCCCACATCAAAAAACATTTTTGAATTATTTTCGAATTCCTGCACTTTAATGGGTTGTCAAACTTTTAAAAAATAGTATCTATGCTGTGGCAAAAGTTTATTAGCAATGGCCCTGCTTTTCAAATCAAAGCAAATTCGCTCTCTACGAGCCAAACCAGAAACTTTTCTTAACTTTATAATTCCACTCAATATAGCAGTTTAGAATGAAATTTTTTAGTGACCATTAAAAATGTTAATGGAAGCATTAAAATCAGCTGAAACTAATTTCTGTGAACGCGTTAAAAGACCTAAATTAGTTGAAAATATGAAGAGAGTATGAGCCTAAGCCAGAGCTCATAGAGATATGTCAGTCGCGTGTTTAATGAAAATTCTTTGGAAAGAAACATAAATATGAAAAGAGATCATTGAATAAACTGACAGAATGGGAAGAGAGAAAGAGTTAAACTGATAAGTATGTAACTATTTAGAAGAATTTTAATGCGGCGATGAAATTTTATTTCAATTTTGTTTCGTTCTTCTTTGATGAAAAGAAAACAAAAGAAAATGAGAACAGATTTCGGAAGGTCTTATGTGAAGTGCTAATGCTTGAAGCGCATTCTTATAAGCTGTTGTAAAATATCAGCAATATTTCATTTCACACCAATCTGATTTTTTTTATTGGCGATTTCAATTATGAATCATAAATTATAATTTATCACATGTGCAGAAAACAATCTTATTTGGCATGAGACGTATAGAATGTAAAGGTTCACAAGATCATAAAGAAATTTTTGCGTTCTTAGCAGTTCTTAGTTTGTTGTTGAGCAAAAATACACGTAATTCACGCATGAATCAAACTTTCTGTAGAAATAATTTATGAAATTCTTGGAATTAAATTACTAGAGGTATTCGATCTTGTAGGCTAGTTCTTTGAATTAGTCACAATATTCACAATAGTATTAATATTAATGATTCGAATATTATTCTGCAAATTAAGGTTGTTTGCTTAGAATTATCAATTTTCTGACAGAAAGTGAAGAAAGGGGGGGGGGGGGGGGGTCAGTTTTATAAAATTCTATTTTGGAATGATTTCTAAAATCTTTATACTTTAAAGTAGCTCCAGGAAATAATCAAAAACTCGAATAATAATTCAAATTAGCAATAATCACTCACAGCCTATCCTTAATTTTTTTTTCATCGTGAGTTCTTCTGTCATTGAGAATTCTTGACCATAACATTATTAGCCTTGAAAGCTTACAGCCTGTAAGTTGATTCTATAGCTACTTGAATTTTTAATTTTTTTGATCAGTATTCAAATTTACTAATTTTAGCTACAATATATTCTTAATCCTTATACTCGAATCAATTGACCCTGAGTTAAAGTCTCTCTATCGCATAGCTGCTAGATTCCAAACAAAACATCACCATAAGAAAAATTTCAATTTGAGATCAAAGAGAAAAGAAAGAATTTCTCTAATTCTAAACTAATGTCAAGCTTTCAACAATTCCAATCATAAATTGTTTACTAGACCCAGAAAATAACTTGAAATATCTCCTGTCTGTATACTTAAACTTCATCTTGAATAATTTTGTAATAATTCAACAAATAATTTTTTTTTTCTCAAATATTTTTCTATAAATTTGTAATTTTGACAGCTACATAATTGGTAAAAGGTCAAAGCAAGAAGCGCAAAGTGTAACTCGTGTCTAAACCTTTCTGATAATTAAAAAACACGCTAGCAAAATGTAAAGAATAAAGCAATATTAACCATTTCATTGTACCCATTGTGTGCAATTAAAGCTTCATTGTGTAATCACAGTAGGAATCTCTTATTCATTCTTTTATTATGTGCCTAATCATTATATTATTTATTTATCTTTCTCATAGATTCATCATCACTTGACAGTCAATTTGATCAAAAGTCAATAAATGAGTTGAATGACCACTTATATGATTCCTATGATACATTACCAAATGAGAAATCGAAAGTCGACGATTCGGGAAATAAAAATAAGAATCTTCTGAATAGCAATAATAATAATAGCATTAAGCGTACAGCAAAATACGATAATGACAATGTATTGCGACCAAAGCATCTGATATTATGTATAAGTAATGAGAATCTCCCATTCATCGACTCACCCGATTCACCTGGATGCTCTACACGATACCATAATGATCGAGTCATACAAATGATGCCACACAATTTCGTACTGTCATCGTCAAGCGATCAAAATGACTGGGAGCGATTGCATAGAATGCAACAGAATAAATCAACACACAAATACATTGAAATTGATGTTATGGACTCACAGATATGCCAAAAATGTCATAAAGTACTGAGCTTCAGGAAGACCTTTAAATGTTCTCTATGTGATTTCACTTGTCATCAACAATGTGCTGATAAGGTGAGTGTGATGAAAAGAGATGTTTGAACAAATTTATATTGTTTGTGTCATTGAGCTTGATATTTATTTTACTACGAATAATAGAGCTGCTGCTCATTGACTTTTATGGGATATCTCAATGGTTATTATGATCGTTTTAGGTTCATCCAAATCTTTTAAGATTGCTCAAATCGCTTCTATAGATGAACTAGATATTTTCAGAACAAACCTTAAAATTTTTACAATCACCCAATTCTCGAAATAACCCATTCTATACAAAAAATTGAAAGCTGCTCTCTATTTTGGGTTAATCCAGGCTTCATTCCAAAATTGCAAATCAAATTTACAAATCAGAACAGAACCACTAAACTATATTCATAGTAAAATCAAAGCTAAATGCGTTGGTAGTATAGTCAATGAAAAAATTAAGCAGCTACACTTGATATGAATGAGGGGTGTGTCGAAAACTTTCGTCACAAAATCTGACAAACTGAACACAAAAAAACAATAAATCATGTCAAAAGCTCTACATGTCGATGAAGTTGTAAAAGCTTAATTTACATTTTTTGTAATGAGTAAATTGAATCAAAGCGTACAGTTTATTGACATCAATTAAGTTACACGAATTGTTTAACATACAAATAAATGAGCAATTTATTGTGAATTCAATAAACCGCTTATGTGTTGCTGAAAAAGGAGGAAATAAAATAAAAACAAAAAAGTACGCAAGCACACAAAAGAACGATCTGATACAATCTGATTATATAGACACACTCGCATTATATTTACACACTTAATGAAAAACGGCAAAAAGAGCAGAAAAAAGCTCGTGAACGGAATGTGGAAAACTAGTTTTCTCGAAACCAACAAATTCACAGATTCGTTCGGCTTGATAAGATAACCGTTTTATGTTAGTGAGGTATATTAAAAGCATTTGAAATAGAGGTTACTAAATGAAAGAATATCGCAAAGATGATACTTATGATAATGTGATTGGGTTTTGTTTTGAGGCTTGGATTGAATTGATGTGGATATAAGCTCAATTTTGAGTCAATTTCTTACATTCTTACATATAATACAACATGTATTATTGAATTACTACTCAACAACCTCTAATCTGCAAGTAGTATAAAAAGCAAATAAACCTCCAGAATGTCACATATATTACTTACTAGCAAAGAGATAAAGTATATATGTCACTAGAGTACACAATTTACTTCCCGTACTTCTTTACAATCATTAGTGTAATAAGGGATTGTATACACTAATTTGTGGGATCGGCGATTTTTATAGCGGCAATAAGAAGTTCCCCCAAAAATATTGTCTTTATAGAACTGAATAAAAAAAGACTCAAGTTACAGAAAGTCAACAAATAAAAATTACGGCGAGGGTGTGTTCCCTAAAAAAATTCTTAAAATACTCATTAAAACATATGTGAATGCCTGAAATTCCTTAACTAGAGGATTAACCTCATTATAGAAATAAATAACTCACATCCCGAATATTTCTAAGAGTTATGAGAGAAAATCTTTAGAACCTCTAGTCAAGTTACAGCAACAACAAAAAAAAAACTGAGAACGAATAATAAGAAGAGGAATAGAAACAACGTTAAGAAAATGACAAATCGCACCGTAATGCTGTCTCGAAAAAATCTCTAAAAATATATTTGAAATCTATCTAACGGTAATGCCATCAAAATAGACACACTCCTAATATATGTGCATACATTTTAGCTATGTAGGGCCCTATTGTAATAGAAATTAAAAAAAGCATTTCTCGTACTCATTTTCATCAACATATGCACTCACTCTCTTTTCTCTTCTCCATTTCTTCATTCATTCACGAATGAATTTTGTTCTGTGTAGCAGCAATAACACATCGAATACGCTCAGCATGTATCTTTATTCACTTATTTTATGATAAAAGTGATGTATGTGTGCATTATGTGGGTGAAGTAAAATCACTGTGTTTTTATTTCACGTGCGCGAGCAGAGGTGCTGTTGTGTGGTTTCCTCAATGGGACTGAAAGTTGATCATAGTCTTGGGATATGTAGGACATCGAGAATGGAGCCAGAATATTATTTGAGAAAATGTTGAAAGTTTTAGGTCATTCTGATCTAGATTTATCTCCTAAATGTCACTCAAAATTAAACTAAGGCTATATTTCCCAAAACAAACATGTCAGCCCATCCCACCAATCCTCCTTCCTCAAATTCTCATCCCTTTGTTTTTCTTTAATTTCTTACATTTAATATTTGACAACGAGAGAGCATTTATTCATACAATCAAGATTCTCATGCTCACCAAAGTTACCACCACAAACAAATAAAACTATCTAATAAGCATGAGATAGAGCACCGCGCGCGTATTCTCTACTTGTTTTGGAAGGCAACACCATAACAAAAAAAAAGTTCATTCGATTTTTTTAGATTGTAATTCGGAAACGTAGCTGTAGAAGCAGTTTTGTTTGATAGCGGTAAACGCTTGGTCACATATTTTGCGGGACGCACATTTTTTTGACAAATTACACTGATAGCATGAAATAAGTTTCGATCGTGCGTGACCTCGGAAGTTCAAGAAGTGGTGAAGACCAGAAACACATAAAAAATCAGTTAATGAAATAACAAAATCAGACTTTTGGACTCATTTAGTGACTGAGTGATAATAATACGTAACAGTGTAAATAAAAAGAAGCGTGGATGACAATTTGATCGAATCGACAACGACTTCTCAAGTTGTAGAAGAAAAGCAAATAAAAAAGAAAATCAAAGAAACAAATTTAAACAAATTGTAGTTAAATGTAATTGTAAATTTATGTGGTGACATTTTGTCTTAATAGGTTTGTTTGAATTCAGCTGTCATTCGATTCAATTATCAGATAGACGATCGAGCTTAAGTTTTAAAATAAATAACATTTCTCATTGTGCGCCTTTCTGAATTGATTGGAATTAAATGAAGCCATAAGCAGAAGTAAAGTGATCGCGCATTTCGATTTGAAGATTCAGTGAATGAATGAATTGCAATTGCAAAAATAACGTACACGGATGATAAACGGTTTTGCTCCTATGCGGTTATTTTGACAGCTTTCATATTTGTGACTTCATATTAATAGAAGCTAGTTTTAACGGTTTGTCAGATTTGTGTCAAGATTCCTTTATTTAACATAAATTTAAATTATTAATAATTATTAAATTATTTATTAACATAAATTATGTTCCACTTGGATTATGAAAGCTAATTGTCAGATTTGTGTCATAGCAAAGGTTTTCAAGATAAGAAATTTAATTACTATATTTTTGCAATTTTACACACGCATTTCTATAGATGTTATAGTAAATTGTATGCTCTTATCGAATTCTGATAAAATTATCGGATGTTTTTGCTCCCATTCATAAACCTCAACTTTCAAAACCGCGAATAAAATCTGACATAACTCACCACAAGGAAAACACGCGGCACCGCAAAATAAAGTGAAATTTTCGATTGCAATAAATGCAATTATCGTTGTTGCACAAGAAGAAGTAAATAGACATTACATTGCATTCATTCATTCACTCATTCATTACATATTTTTGTGCGTGTCGAATGCCAATAACTTTATGAGCAGCTCTTTCATTGCTCAATGAAGACTCATTGTAGTTTTGTGTACACATATTGCAATTAATTAGCCACTCCAACATACTATGCGATCTCTTTCTTTTAAATTAGCGTAAATAATTTCATTAAAATTATTGCCTCATTTTTAATTGTCCATTTTCAATTAATATATTTTTTTTATCTCTGGAATGAATGCTGAGCAGCACCAATGAGCAGTAATTGAAGAAAATTTAATTAATTACACTCATAATATATGATCCTTAACGACATTGAGACTTATTTGCAACCATCTGTAGCTGAGTGGCAATTGTAGATCCCTAGTGGGATGTCTCGTTAGAATTTATTATTTTTTCTCCATTTGTACAGCCCATGAATTGAGTATTAAGTTGTAGTACTTTATTTTGAAGAATGCTTATCAAGCTATACGAAAATGTTATCAAAAATTAAATATTTTGGAGCTTCGTGAATTTTTAAAGAGGTCGCACTGTGCCCTTCTGAACTTATTTTTCAATTATATTCAAAATTAAGTTTTCTGGGTGGTCAGAAATTAAAAAAATTCTCTCTTTTTCAATTTTTTTTAAGATTCTCAGTTGACATTACTTTACTCAATTTCCTGATTATTTCATTTTTGACACAAAGTCCTACAAAATTCCCCGACCTTAATCACTATAAATCAAAAGATGACTGCAGATATTATCAACATTCCAAAACTGCATTCAATTTCAAGCAACACAGAGAAGAAAAAATGTTTGTGACGTTAATTTGAGCAAAAAATGAGTTAATCTATAAAATTATTTATAAAACTGTGTGAATTCTTTCCTCAATTACATATTCCTTTTCATATCTACAAAATTACTCCTATCTGGTTTTGGAATTAAGTAATTATCTCTGTAGATTAATGAAAATTGTGTATATATACATATTATTTACCCGTCACAGTCACAAGACTGCTGTCAGTTTATTTTAGAATCACTCTTTTTTTTGGAGAATGAATTTTATGTGAGTGAGAGCGGATTAGCTTGGCATTACAAATTCTCATTTTTTTCGTTCCTTTTTTTCTGTCTTTAATGTTTTGATGCCCATAAATTTTAATTCTCATTTTAATTTAGCTTCATGTGTCTTGAATGCGATGAAAATCACTCTCTGATCACTCAATTTTTCACACACATATGTGTGCCTGTAAAACTCATGCTGTTATGGATTGTTTATTGAGTGCTCAAATGAATTTTTTTTTTCAATTTTCTTCTATTGATTTTATGCTTTATGTGATTTATGGTTTAGAGGGTATATGAGGAATTTCAGATCGGTTTGACTGCAGGCATAGAAATTTATGGTATTTTTTTTGTGAATCAAGTGAGTTTAAAGTCCTTTGAACGATTAATTTAATGAGATTTAAAGTGCTTGCCAACTTTTTGTAGCTCTTGACGTAATTTTTAAGAATATAATTTGAAGAATTGCACTTTTTATGGTTGGCTTTCGGATGCTGAGTCATTGGCTTATGACGTCCATCAAGATTGGGATTTTAAAATTAATCTTCATACTTATTATTCTAAGGTCTTGATTGTTAGTCATCTGTAATCTTTATAAAGCTTTGACCCATAAACCGAAGCATAAATGCGTTTCTTTCATTAACTTCCAGTGATTTCACAACAATTACTTTGTTTTCTTAAATTCTTTCTTTCATTTCATTTAATTCTTTCTCTCCAATGGCTTATTTGAATAACGATCAAATGTCGATTGCTTAAAGTCAAAAGAGAAGAAATAATAGAATGAAGCATATGCACGAAAATTGAAAAAAAAAATCTTATTTTGTTATTTACAAAAAAGCGAAGAAACGAAAACGAAAGGTAGTTAAAATGTACTAATGCATATACAGCATGACACCAACGCATTTTTTTTAAATGTAAAGTATGATAGGAATAAATAATATAACATGTAATTTTTAAATGTGATTTAAGTATTGCAAAATTTTTCAAGCAGTTTCGTTCAAACAAAACAAACATGTTGAAGTAATTTGTGAGAACTGAGACAAGTTCGAGAAGATTAAGAATCAAATTACTTTGTAGGATTTTTTTATTGAATCCGGTGATGTTTTTATTGTGGTCTCAAATGATGCAAGAGTGTTTGACTATACAGAATAAGAAACAATGTATCAATTTCATTAGAATGCTGTATTTCTAATTTTAGATAGTTTGGCTAGTTGTCATTAAATTCAAATGACTGTGGAAGTGATCAAAATCCAGATGGAAGTTATTTATCAAAAATCCATTAAATTGAGTGTGTTTTTATTAAGAATAGAATGGCTATCGTTAAAGTTGTCTGAGCTGTAGAAACTATTTGCTCCTCTACCAAATTCAGCAGTTCCGAACTCATTTGTCTCATAATGACTTCAAAGAGCACCTTAAATCATCTCCATTAATATTTTCCAACCACGCAAATTTTCAATTATAGTAGCAGTTTATGGCTAATCTGTCAGCAAATGTTCATCGTAAACACAGAAAAATTCTCAATTTAAGATGATTTAACCCAGATTGTGTCTAAAATATTGACATCGAGCAGATCACCTAAGTGATAATTTGTCCAGATTCAATCGTGCGACTAAATCGGCTGTGTCTATTCAAATTGTTATTGTTATAATCGCCTTAAGAAGATCATTTAACTAATTCACACATGATTGTTATGTCAAAAATGTTAAGATTTAATTCCGTGATTTTGTGACTATACATAGATTGTCCCTTACTTGAAATCGGAACCAAGGTGATCAAAAATTATCAAATATGCTCGAAAACCACATTGACTACAAATTTTATGTTTATTATCCGTTGAAAAAAGATTCGGCTATAAAATTTATTAGCTCAATTTATTCACATAAGTACCATAATCAAGCTTCAATATCCAACAGTCAAACTGAATTGTTTAATAAAGAGATTATTGAAAGAAAGTCAGCTACACAGAAATCTCTTCTTTCTTCACATCTTATGGAGAAACAATAATAAAAACATCAGTAACAATACCCATAATGCTGCCTATAGAAAAAGAAAATTTTTTGAGCCTACTAACTATCATACATCAATTATTGGATGCGCTGTGAGTGATGATTGGATTCTTTTCATAAAAATAAATGAGCATTTTTCGAAATTTTTTCTTCATTCCCATCATCACGTTTTTAACTAGTTTTCAATCATAAGTTCAATCATACGCGCACGCTCGTGGTTCCTCACATTTAAGGAATGAAATATAAAAAAATTTTCAAATCGGAAATTAAAGAATATTGATCACTAATGACTTCCTCTTGACACTCATAATTTTCAACATAATTCTATGTTATTTATACACATCTTTTCGTAGCAAACGAAGCCAAAAATAGAATAGACGTATAGGCACATACAATAATATAATCATAGAAATTAAATTACTTTACGGATTATTATCAAAAATAAATTTATTCAAAAAAGATATTTAAGTACTGAAACATAATTTCCGCTCGATCGAAGTGAAAAGAAAAGAACGAACGAAAATATACACAAAAACACAGAGTGAAAGAAGGAAGGAGGAACAAAAAAAAGAAGAGAAGAGGAATCGAATGAAAAAGAGTATCACAAGGTATTTTCGGTGCATTTTTAATATTGAATGATGCGATTTTATATTCACTTTGGGTTGGGTGGTGCAACATGTTATTAAATTTTGATTAAATTTATTGAAGGTATCGGTTCAATGCTAATGCTAATGATGAGGGCGTAGATCTATATTGCACCACCTTGATGGGAATAATTGTAGCTTTAATTTTGAGTTCAGAATAAAATTTATAGAGGTTGATAAGTTTCAAAAAGGTCAAAGGGTTAGCATGTGAGATTTAATTCAACTCACGAGACGCCGTAAGTTAGTGACTTCACACAAAAAAATTACTTTAAGCTCAAACTTGACATTCTGATAGATGTGACTTGATAACACATCTGCATTTCAAAGAATCATTTCGCCTAAACTGGTTATGCATCAAAAAGAAGAAAATCTAGATAAGTTACAACTATCAGATCTGATAAATCCCCAAAAAACTACTTAAAAATGCGCATAATACCAAATCAAACAAACCTATACAGACGTCATTTCTTACTAGCCTCTTTATTTGAGTACACACATATTAAAAGCGATATGAGATAAAAAGATGATAATCGAATTTTTAAAGCGGTTATCACATCTTCACCGTACTTTATTGCGAACAACATACAATAATGAAACAACAACAACAACAATAGTAACGACGAAGTTGTGCAACACTTAGATTGTGAATATTATTTTTCTTGTGTTCAAATCAATTGAAAGAAATCTTCGCGTCATGGAAGTTTTGGTGAGAATAAATTCATTCCCATAAGCCAAAGTGGAATTAACGGATAAACATTTTCTTTTAAACAAAAAAACTATCGACAAAATAATTTTAGCCGGAAGTGAGATATACTGATACAGGTTATCTAATTTTTCGTCAATGGGATAAAAGTAATGGAATTCTGGCATATCCAAGTTGCCTTACGAAATACTTAAATTGCCGCAAGTCATTGAATAATAACAATCATCAACCACAGCAAAATGGAAAGATACATGTATGTATAATAATAATAATAATTGTGTACATTATACAATGTTGTTGCTTTTATAGTCAATAGTATTGAAAGAATATCGTATGTAAATTCCTTTTTTTTTCGTTTGTACTACATTTGTTGTTGCTATTAAGTGTATAAGAAGATTGTTTGTTTATACAAATACATGAAGATCTTCGCGATAAAACGAATTTTTGGGTGGCTAATACAAGTGAAGATGCCTTTTTTTCAGTTGACATTGAAATTTCGGGATTTATTCGGGATAGTATTAGATTATTTGTTCAGCCTGACTAAGGACAAAAGTTTAAATTTTTGTTAAATTGAGCATAGAATCTGATAAAAGAAAACTTTAAGCTCACCTTAACTTAAAATGTAGCAAATCTTTTTTTCCTGCTAAGATCAGCAGGATCAAAATCAAGTTATTTATTCAATAAACACAACATCCGTAAACACTCAACTCCTTGTCTAACAGACACATATTTTGAATAAACTGTAGCAATTTTCTTGCCTCCCTACGTCTGTGTTACAAATGTGCGAATATAAAAAGAAACAAGACGGCGATATTAATACACATCGATGTGTGTATAAAGTAATAAAATACAGTCCCAGTTCTTATACATCTTCTGAGGGTATTTAAAAATTATAAAATACACATAAGAAGTGCTGAAAAAAATATCCATACACATATCATTTTCTGAATATTCATAGTAAATGAATCAACATACAAAAAAAAATAATTTGAGTAAAGCAAAAAAGCGAAGCAAAAAAACAACAGCATTTTTTCATCACTGAATGCTAGTCGCAACATTATCGTCGACCAAACCGCACGGAATCCGCGAAAAATTTTTACTTCTCAACAGCACATTTCTGTGGTCAACAATAATAATAATAGAATTGCATCAATAGATCCGACTATTTTTGTATTCTTCAGTCAGCGATAGGAGAAGAATTTTATTTTTAAGAAATTTTGAGTTTGTTTTCTTCGTCCGATGAAATTAATTAAAAGGAGAATCATTTGACAGTTCGGGAAAAAAGTGTTGTGTGTGGTGCTGTGCTGTGCTGTGAATATTTATTTAACTGGCGTTATTTGACAAAAAAGAGTGTAGACAAAAGACAAAAACGCTCAGTTCTCGCGGGGTGGTAGAGTAGCGCAAAAAAAGCTGAATAAGGAAAAGAAGAAGCATAAGAATGATAAAAGTTAATTCACAGTCTTTTAGCCTGCCAAGCACATTACTAAAACAGGTATAGGAGCCAGTTTTTAAAGCATAATATCGGTCGATTCTATAAGTGAGAATACTTTTCATGAATAAATTATTGAGTTAGGAACTGATCAGTCAATTGCTGGTCATTAAAATCATTGATTGATAAACGTCTAGATTCGAAAGAACTAAGACATATCAATCTCTAAGTCACACAGATATTAACTTTTCTGAAACTGTTTTCTTTGTGCTAAAATCAAAACATTCCTTTTCTTTAAAACATGATCCAAAATCAGAACCTTCAAATCACTGCTCACCCATAGAATCGCCCATAATATATATATATATATATATATATATATATATATATATATCTCAAAAGAACTTTATACATATTTTCTTACCAAGAATGAACGGACAATGAAAGTAAAATTTAAATTCAAAACGAGGACGGACGTGTTGTGAGGACTACGTCATCTATCTTTTTAGCTACTCACTTATTAATTCCTATTCATTCGCGTTGATATATGTTGATTGTGTCAATATTGTTATTTTAAGAATAAGTATATAAATTTTGCAGTTTTAAAGCCAAACAATGACCAAGTTATTATTACTGCAAACACAAGCGAAACACAAGACAGAAGAAAATAATGAGACATAAGCGAGCATTTGATGAATGGTGTCAAATAATCATTCTTACAAGGCAGTCACGCCCTTTTCTGGAATTTCCCCCCATTTCTTTCCATTCATATTCACTTTTCACTCTGCAAATGTTGATTCACGCGAGGGCATCAACAATACTGTTGATGATGATAATTTTTCTCTGTTACCATTAGTGCTCTACATTTTATTGCCCTTTTCCGGCTACAATGACTGCTCCTATTTTAAAATTTGATGAGAAATGAACAAGTAATAAATGGAATCATATTGGTCGATTTATGAAATGTTTAATTTTTTTAAGTACTTCCAACTACCTTCTCATTTCCCTTATGTTTTTTAATGGGAAATTATGAATTTCATTTTCACTCTTCCATATGTGAGTTTTCATAAATAGAGGTTCCTACTGGGAAATGCTCGGTGGGTGGGAATAAATTGGTAGGGAAATTTAAATAGAAATGGAAATTATTATTTTATAGTGAACAAAATATGACGGGCAATTAAGGGATGGTATAGAATTTACGAGGACATAATATGTACCCCTATAAGATAGCTTGCCACGCTTCCGAACAGTCATCAATAAAAACCAGATAACTATTGTTATGATGGTGACTCATCGCCATTCTTAATCCGTACTTTTGTATTTAAATTAAAATTTATGACTAACTTCTCAGACCTAATTAACCTAATTAAATCTTCATTTGTATTTATCCTTCTTGATTTCGCTGAAATCATCTCAAATTTTCATAATAAATAAATTTAAAACCAACCAAGTGACAATCTTGAGACCACCGAGAGATGCAAATATTGTCAAAGCACTTATTTCATCAAAATTTACTACGTAGTTGGCTTTTAATGTGACTAAGAAAAATTAGCATCCATTAAGCTTGGACATGATTACAAAATAGTCGACATTTACTATAGTAGAATGTTACCATTTAATTTTTACATCTCTGGGATTAATAAAGATAAGAGTCGTTTGAAATTGACACTAATTTTATGCAGAAAAAAGCAAGACAAGGTCATAAAATGAGAGAATTTATGACAATTTCTGACTCATTGAGAAATATCGGTCGATGATGCGATTGAATGAGATGTAAAGAAGACATAATCACTTTTAAGTGATTTCTTTTATTGCATTTTTAAACATTTAAAGTACATAAGATCATCGCCAAAAGTCATCTAATCCAAGCAAAAAATAAGAATTCGGTCATCTTGAGCGATTAAGTGTTCATGATTAATTTCAAGACCCCTACTCGCAATATGAAAAAACGATCATGAAAACCAAATGCTATGAATAGCAACAAATTTAAAATCATCAATGATATTCTCCATGAATTTCATCTTGAGAGGTTTTTTTTTCTACTTCTTAAAAAATTTTGTATTCATTCAACTTCAATTTTCTTTCCATTTTCATTTTCTTAAACAATACAGACTAGTAATAGCTATGAGGATCGATCTCAACAGCAGCAGCAGCAGACACATTTGGAGAAAAATGAAACGGTACGTAAATAAAGAAAAAAAGAGTTGGAATTGAGAAGGCAAAAAATGTATGTTGCGGGAGATAAAAATAGAATATGAAATTTTTTACAATTAAACAAAAAACGCGGAATAAAAAAATTTCGAAATTCTATTTTTTTTCCTTAAATTTTTCATTTTCATTTTCTAATTTTCCCTTTCATTTTTTCAATTCATAACAAATGAAAAAAAAATTATGCGCAGCAGCAACAGCAACAGAGTCGAGCAAAAACGCCGACATCAACTACACCAACGGGAGGTAACACATGGCAATTATGTTATGTAACTGAGAGAATACTGGCTGCAATTCTGCCCGTCAAAGCAGAACCATCGACAAAAATCGATGACTTATTCTTATACGATGAGAACGGAAATCGTCGTGGTGATAAATATGAGCTGGACTTAATACAAATGTTGGAACAAAAGCACGGCAAAAATTATCGTTTATTTGATTTGGAGTCATGCTTATCGACGATATCATTAGAGAAACTTTGTGAACTATGCAAACATATTGAAACTTGGCTGAGTGGTGGACAGAACAAAATTGTCGTCCTTCAAGATCGGTTAGTGTCTTATTCCTTCTTATTCTTATTAAATTTTTTATTATTTTGACATTTTCTTAAATGTGTTGTTAATGGATTGCTTTAGCACAAAATTTGCGAAAAGTAAACTTGTTTTGTGTAAACATTTTATGAGACTGATTGACTACAAGTCGTAAATCGTGCTGAATGGAATCTTTGATGATTATTTTGTGTTTTATTTGTAGATCGATTATGGTATTTTGAGGATTAGCAAGAAAAAAATAGATTTAAATCAAGTTTGTAAAATCCAAAATGGCCTCTTCATGTTAAACGTTTTCTTAAAATTCTTCAAATTAAGAACCTAAGCACCTTTTCTGTTAAAAGTACTAATCTCTTGCTACTTTTTTGAATGAAATGTGCTAAAAAGTATTCCGATAATCACACATTTAAGGTGATAAAATAACAAAAAACTTTTTGAAGCGAGTGTGTTCTTATGAAATTTTGACAAATTTTACTTAAAACCCATGAACCTTCAATCTTAAATTCTTGTCTTAAATTTGTCAATCTTAACAGTTAAAAAAGCACCCTAGCCTCACAATTTTATCTCCAATATTCCTACTTACACCTTTTTTTTCGATTATGTCATGATTTTAACTTTATTTGTTTTTTCCATTTATTTATTTCTTTTTTCATTTATTTATTGTTTTTTTGTAGGAAAAGTTTTCAGCGAGTCGGTACAAGCGTGGCAGCTTATTTGTATTACCAGAAAATGTGCAGCTCTAATTTAGCACCGTACTCAATTAAGTCACCTGATCACTCACGAAATATTCAAGATTTAGATGAATACTCGATGCAAAAGTTTCTCGATGACACTGTTGGTCCAATCACACAACCGTCCTATAAAAGGTATATTTGCATATGTTTAAATTTAAACGAAATCTCAACGGGAGATTGACTTGATATAGTTCTAAGTATTCTTTATTCCTTCCTTCTTTAATTTTTTTGCTCCTTAATGCTATCTTCTTTCCAATCAATTTAAGATTATTTCTTTCTCTTCATTTCGTTTCAGATACCTCGAATATTTCTTTGGTTTACTCTCAGGTGAAATCAAAATTAATTCTCAGCCATTATATTTGAAATTTATAAAATTGGAATCTCCACCGTGTATGCATCACAAAATATCACATCATGAAAATGAATGGAGTAGCTTCATTAAAATATTTGAAGGCGAACGATTTATTTTCATATCAGGTATAAGACTTTATTTCTTTCGGTTCCTTTTAGAAGATTTTAGCGCATTTTTCGAATGGGTTTGTCAAGTTGAAAGGATCGTCATGTCCTTCACATTTTGAGGCGATGAAAGTTTAGATGAGTAAATATTGATTAAGATATCAAGATACAGGAATCTTAATGAAAGTGTCTCTGATGTCTGAGCATCGACTTTTCTAAAGAAGACTGTCTATATTTATTTGGAATGAGGCTATAAAATTTAGCCTTGACTAGAAAAGTCATCTGTTAATCATTTTCTGAAACAATGCCAGAATTTCGGACGCATTTTCATCCCAATGACATGGATATTAATTATGTTAGTGTGCTCATGAAAATCAACATTGGAAATTTTAAAGTTTTGGAAATATGAATTAAGATTCACAGCAGCATGGCTTCGCTATCATGTTATTCACCCGAAAATGCTATAAAACTAAGAATCAAGCTAGAAATCTAGGTTAGAGCATTAAAAAAAATTTAACGACTTTTATGTCTGTCCACTTCAATCATTAAAAACACCTTCCGATTCTACTTAATCAAGATGATTGTCGTCATCCCACAAGTTCATAATAAACAATTTAAAAATTGAACAAGTTCCTAGAAAATTGCGCTAAAACCACATCAAACGATAACAAATTTCTTCCCAATTTTGATACATTTCTCTTTCTGTTCGTGTTATATAGTTTCATTTTATTGATTCTCCTAAATCATTAAAATGAAACGACTTAATACGATTTTATATTCTTATGTTTCCTAATCTGAAATAGAAGCCAAATTTAAATAATTTAATATTTATTTTTTTTACTTCTTATTTTTCTCTTTTTTTCAATGTATTTGTAGACATTTATGTTATGCCAATTTCGACTAAGCAGTTTATCTATGAAATTAAAAGTCCTATTATCTTGAGAGGCGATATCTTTATACACTTTTTTCAAATACACAATAAGTCACATCAAACGGAGCTCATATCGAGCATACAATTTCACACATGTGCCATAACAAGGAACGAAATTGAGTTTAATAAAAATGATATATCATTTCCTCATAGCGGTAAATAATTAATTAACATTGTTATTAAAAGACACACAAAGTGCAGTAGTACATGCTACTCTTCCAGCATGTTCATATATTTTCATACAAGATCGCGGTGATTATGAGCTAATCACACAAAATGTCATCAAGGTGATTCATATGAAAAGTCATTATTTTATTAAACTTTTGTGATCAAAGTGTTCATTAAAAAACTTTATATGGATGTCAAGGCTGTTGGAATAAACCCGTAGAACTATAAACTTGAATTTTAAATTCACTTAAAAATATGTGAATTGATTAAGAAGTGACGTAAAAATTATAAAACGTATGACTCTAAAAAAGCTTTTTTCGAAATTCGATTCATCGGATAAGATTGTGAGAAGCAATCGCCACTCAGTAGCTGTTGTCTGAATTTAATACTAGGTTTATCTTAATAATAATGAATGGGGCTAGATAAATTGTGATGAATTGCATATGTGATGAATGCTAATTCTGGAATGCTGCTGCTATACATCAACTCAAGTAACAAGCTTAATGCACTCTTTCATCTGGAAGTTTAATGCTTGTTCAAGGAAATTTAAAAACTGCAAATAATGTCTGATAAATATTTACAACTCATTTACAAGCTCTTTTGGATAAGAAAATGATGTTTGAGCATATGTTAAACCACGAGGTCAATAGCCTTTTATCAACAAGACACAAATATTAAATATGCGATTTTTGTCACATTTTTTTGAGTATTAAATTATACATTCGAAAACTGTACAACATGTACTGAATTTTTAATTGAAGATGCCGAACAATATGACACTTTTAATGGCTTGCAATTAAATTTAAATTCTCTCGTTATTAAACCGACAATTTCCTTCGTATGAAAATATATATATATATGCACAAAAATTAAATTATTAATATACAAACTGATGATGAACATCGTACACCACCCATATATTAATTCCGTCTTTGTTTATTTTTAGATGAAAAATTCCCAATGGATCACAAAGTAACACTGATCTTCACCAAAACACCCGACAAAATCGGAAATAACCGTTTTAATGAAGACGTATTGATCTTCCAAAATCCATTAATCCGCAAAGAGCCAATATCCAATTACTCATCGATCGCTGATTTATCACAATTAAATACACAACATACCCAAGGACCGGTTGATGGATCACTTTATGCAACGATTGAGAAGAGAAATGCAAATAACAATAATGAATTAACGGTGCAAAATATTCGAACAATTGAGACACGCTTAAATGCGCCAATATCAAAGAATTCACGGATCTTATCAACAATACTTGAATGGGATAATGCAAGAAATGAGAATGGAACAATGGTTGATGGAAATTATTCACATACAGCAATTGCAACACGATCATCACCAAGACAGGAACAGCAACCGATACCGCCTCAGAGGAGTTACGTGAAAAGTCCATTAATGCAAAGCTACGATTCTGGAATTTATAGTCATGAAGTATCAAATAGTAAGCAATTTACTTTCTCAAAAAAATAATAATGCTCAAATCAAATCAAATTAAATTACTGGCGGTGTTCGATTTTTTATATTTTTTTTTTTCAAAAATAAGAAAAGTGTATTTTATGGGCTGCGCATGTTTTCTTAAATCAATTGATTTCGGATTGTTTATTTACTTTATGTCTATCAGACTCTTCTTTAAATGTTAATTTTAACTTGCTATTTTCCTTTGGAATTTCGGAAACATCTATCTCGACTGTTTACGTTTTGATCAATATTGGTGGTATTTTGGTCACAGATACTAGATATAATCGTGCAGATGCGCTCTAAAGCAGTCCATAAGCAGCACCAGCTACTCAATATTTATTACAATTGCCTATTATTGTGGCTGTTGTTTCAAACGTATTTGTATTAAAAATTCATTTCTTCTAATCGCCTTCTCTTTCCTCATAGAAAATAATACATCATCGGCATTATCTTGGCATGATAGAGCAACAAGCCCGTCAGGTATGAAACGACTTATAATGGATATTAATATATTAAATAATAATAATAAAAAATAATATGAGTAATAGCACAATATAATATATGAACACATAATTTGCTGTGATGATAATCTCATATTAATTTTATATTATTTGTGCTAAAGGTCTCCAAACTAATAATTTACATTTTTTTGTGTGTACACTTTTATTTTTCATATAAACACATCCAGCAAATACTTGTCATGACGAATTGGACAACTTGCTCTCTGAAATGTTATTAACTGTTGAAGCATTACCCGATATTGCATACAGCACGGAAAAGAGTAAACAAAATTCTGATGTTTACACAGCAACGACAACGACATCGAATGCGGCATCAATAAGATCAAATGCAGTTGACAGAACATTACCGAATAACAATCAGCTTCATCCGCCAAATGTAATCAACAACATTAACACAACTAACGAGCAACGATCACAGACGAGAAGTTATAGTTATAGTGATGCTTTTGGTTATTCTAAAAATAACGATATCGGTGAAACATCCAGCATTACGACAACATTAACACCAACAGAATCTGGTCGCAATACACCAGCATTATCTGATCAACAATACAAAGGCTTTTACACAAACAATGATGAACTTTATTATGATACAGACACACAAATGCAACTACATGGAAAATCAACACGTTACCAACACAGTCTTCCGGACGATACGCGAAAAGAATATCAAAAGCGATCTGAAAATCTTTTGCAAAATCAGTCTTTAGGTTACATGGAAGTATTACGGTCAGAAAATAATATTTCTGGAAGTCGACGGTATGAGGAATCAAATGTTCCTTACCACGCCCGCGAATATTCAAAACCATTCTCGTACTTGCCATCTACGGCTGATGGTAAAATAATAAAAATGCATCATGGACTTTCGAGTCCATCAATGGTCCGCAAAGCGCTGAATTTAAATGGAAGTGTAACATCTGGTCGCAAGAATTTATCTCAAGATTTTGTTGAACGAACGAGGTACGGTCGACAATATGAGAATAAATATACGTTTGGCGACAAGACACCAGAAAATAATTTGAGTGCATTTGATAACGACAAGCTATTTGATTATCGTAATAGAAGTGAAAATGTAAAGTACAAGGACAGTGCGAATTATAGTATTGAGAATAGTGATGTGGAAAGTAGTGCACATTACTTTGAGCCGTTAAAGAGATCGAATACGATGGACGGAAGTTTTGGTCGAAGTGGATATGCATCTGATGGGTGAGTTACACAACTATCTAGTTATTTATTTTTTTTTCTGCCTTTTTGTTATGGTTTCGTACAGCAAGGATGAGACTCTGGTTTTTGGGTCTCAAATTGGGAACTTTATGATTTTTTATTAAAGATTTCTGGTCCTGCTCAATAAAATTCCATAAATTCTCAATTAGATTCCAATCGAAAAAAATTTCTCGCCAGCAATTCCGAACAATAAACTTCCATAAAAGTCACAACTGCTCCAATTTTTTTCTGTCTTCAAAATCTCAAACAAAAGCTTCCATAAAAATCCATCCACGAACTTTTCGGAAATTTCTTGAAGCGTATCACCCTTGATTCACATCTCATCAAAGTTCTCATTTATTACTTGACTATACTCGTCTTGGGTTAACGTCTCAATGTGTATTGTTCCATAAATGGAAATGTGTAAAATTATTTTATTCACATTTTTTTATATTTTTTTGTATTTTCCTTTAAAAAATTTCTGTTTCACTCTCTCATTCGCATTTCAATTCGTTTCGTCATTTATAAGATTACAATTTTTTTTGACGTACATTGTATCTATTGAGTTAAGGCCAAGGTTGAATTCAAGTATATTTTTAATACCCATTTTTTTGAGAAGAAATAACAATAATAATATTGAGAAAAAATTCATATTATTTGATGCATTGAAGCAGAAACGGAAGGGCGGTGTTGATTGAATTTTGTCTATTTGTCTATAACATAAACTATTTCTAGTCGTGTCATGTGTTTACAGTCATGTGTGGGTCTATAAATAGTTTAATTGGCTAACTTAAATACACGGGATAAATGAGACAAGATTGACAAAGAAATATTACATTGGGAACATCAGAACTTTTACAGCCAACTTTTTTTTTGAACATCATCAGCTTTAATGAGGTGTAGATTTGCATACAAAAGGATTGATCTTAACCATATTGACTTTTTTGTCATTTTCTTCAATCTGGCTGATGATTTATTCAGTCTAAATCAGTATCATTCAGGTCTTAATTCTCTTGCTAGACCACCAATCTCTATATTCACTTTATTTTGTTTCAATGCAATCATTTTTTAATCAATATTGTCCTCATCACTTCCGCAAAACAATGAAAATTCTAATTTTACAATTCATTAATAAATCCTACACACCTAACTGCACATGCAATTCACAGCTGATGTAATATTGTTGACTCATTAAGCTTTGATTATTTCCCATTAACCTCAATGTCAGTGCGCTTTTTACAGCTTCTATTGCATCTCTCTGCAACTTGTCATCATTTTCGGAATCGTTTTAATTTTTTCAAAACGATTTTTTTTGTTCCGTGCAATGGAGAGTTATTGAGTGAGACATTAATAGACATAATACTTAATAATTTATTGAGATTTTATTTTTCGTAAAATTCACCTTCACAAACAGATGAATCTCAATGAATGTTGAGCCGTATGATTGCTGCCAATATGTGTATCTATTATTACAAACATATTTTTCTTTCAACTTCTCGTTTCCCTCAACTGGTTGACTTCCTTGTGGGTAAATTGTTTAAACTTTGATGATTTTTGTGTTGATTTATTCAAATTTGAATCAAAAATTCCAAGTCAGGACTTCAAGTTTATTGAAAAGCTTGTCAAAATGCAAATCAATCAAGAAAATTCTCATTTCCTCTCCAATCATTTTTCCTTCATCAAAAGCCATCAATCTTGTCAAGTTCGGCTGAATCATTTTGAAATTAAATGAATCTACAAGATTACCTGACAAAGTATCCTCAAGGGATAGTGACGAATATGAACGTGATGATGGCAAGTAAAAAAAAATCACATATTTCATAAAGAATTCATTGCCAATGTGAGTTCAACCCACTAGCTGTTTTTTTCATCACTCTATAGACTTCTTCTTATTTTTCTACTTCTAAATTTTGTTATTCTTCGATGTGAATTTTACGTGTACATAGTGGACAGAAAAGAAGATATATGTGACTAAAAATATATATGGCACATCTTTTAATATCTAAAACAAATTAAAAGCCCGAGGAGCATAGATTGCATCAGTCTTAAGATTGCTTAGAGATCTTCTGACAACTTAAACTGAGTCATTTGTTGGCATAACAATCATAAGGAATTGGCCTTAATTCACGTCAACGATGCATTTTGTTCATAGAATGATCTGTCCTCAGGTTTTGACAAATATAAAGGAACGTTCCCCAAAAGAATTAACAGCAAGATCACATTTCGATCAATTCGACTAAATCTTGTGCAACAAAACATGGTCATTAATTCTATAAGCTTCATAATAGCCAATATATTACAAAATATATCCCATGAATAGAAATTGTGCCACTCGGGTAGGCTGAGATGATTGTCTCATATTAAGAATATTGGCACCATCGTATATTAAGTATAATTAAAACACATAAATAGACGTAAGAAAAGAATAATAAGGCTTCCTTTTTTAATGGTCGAATGATTCAAAACTTTTGTGCTTAAATTCACAATAAAAATATCATTTTTCATGTGAATTAAAAATGTTTTACAAGCTCTCAAACAGAAACAATATTTTTTTCGGAAAGAATGTATCTCAAGTAGTGGGGAGGAAAGGAAATTCCTTAGAAATTGCTAATTTACTGTTATGTTTTTCATGAAAATGATATGATTAGGCTATGATTTAATCTCATTTTGTTAATTAGATTATATTTTTTGAATGGAATGTTTTGAGATTTTGAAAGTGGATTTTTCAATTTCTGAGAAGCTGTTCTTTGAGCTAATAGGTCAATCATCGAGAAGTTATTTCGATGAATTTATTCAATTTATTAGCACAAAAATTCTTTTTATTGTTCAGTTTCTGCCATTTTTGCACTGTATCCAAAATCTTGCTAATTTATTGTCATAACTCAGCTTGACTTTTCAAACTTTAAAAATTACAGGCTATAAAATTATTTCATGCCTAATCAAATAATTTCAGTCATATAAATTATTAATCAGCTCCAATGAGCGTCCTTATAAAATTAGATAATTTATTTTTATAGCATTTCTATTATTAGATTCAATATCCACGCGTTATTCATGCTTGAATTCCTCGAATCAAATCATAAACAATCTCAAGACAGGAATGTATTTAAGGTAGGGTGCTATTCAGACCCTCTTTATTCCTTTTGAGAGCTAATGTTTGAAAACAATTCCAAAATTTTAAACTTTATGTAAGAAATCTGGACAGTCTTTATAAAAGTCAAATTCTTAGCTACAAAGTTGGCACATGAGATTCAGTTTATTGACAATTTCAATTTTGTCATTAAAAGCAAATGTCAACTGTAAAAATTTAATCTCCCGTCAGAATGTCTCTTAATTGAAGTACGAAATTCTTAAGCAAACACATCAGGCACTTTTTAATGGTCCATAAAATGTTATCCACCATTTGCGATTCTCTCGGTTTGCAAATTAAAATTGTTGAATGAATGTGGAAACCTGCTCAAAACCAAAAATTTGTTTGACCATAAAGAACTGTAAACCACTTTTTTACGACTTTCCTTAATCGAAATCTTAAATAATTTACGGGTTTTGAAATCCTCGGATTAAGATAAAGAATTGCGATCAACCTTTTAATTCTGTTTTGTATGTCTTTAATTTTCTGATAACAAAACTGTATTTACTCATATTTATTATGAATTTAGAGCAGAAAATGATCATATTGACGCACAAAAGGCATGTAAATTGCTTGTCTTATTCATTTCATTAGCGGAAAATCCTCGAATTAAAAAATGTTCATTAATTCAATAGCAGTTTCTCAATGGCCTATCTGTTTTTATTTTCACTGTCTCTTGAATTAAGAAAAGAATAAAACGTAAGCAAAAAACGAAATAAATTAAAAGGAGGCAGTAGAAAACAAAAATAAATTGGATGTGATTCAAGAAAATAAAAAAGAAAAGTCAGAGAGACTCTAACTCAATAGTTCCACTGTGTTTTGCAATATTCATAATAATTTAGAGCTTTGTATGGGAGGTGTAATGAAATTGTAACAGTAGCAATATATAGAACCACATGAAAATATCCACTAGACTAGAGAAAAGCTTCTTAGACGACTTCTATTTTTAACATTGCCCCGTTCCCCAAAAATGTGTGAAACATATACCGTACCAAATGAGATAGAGACATTAATGAACAATTTCGTAAATGAGGAAAATTCTCACAGACTTTATCATGATGAAAATAAAGTCAAAAAACAAAAGAGAGAGAAAAGTGTGGGGTAATAATGTGGAAAGTAATGTAAAAATAATATGATGAATCAGTTTTAAAGCCAATATTACCGCACTGAAAGGGGATTAATGTCAATATTATTCTTTCATTTCTCATTTATTTTTACTTTATCTCCTTCCATATTTTAGTGCGGGAACTTTTTCGCAAAGAAAATCGCGTCATTTTGGCTTGATAGCTATTTACATTCGGACAAAAAAGGCGGTTTGAGGGTTTGATTACTAGAAAAAAGTTGCATCGAACATCAAATTTAATGTCTAGTCTATGTCAATGCCCTATAAGCTCCTTAACTTTATATAGAATAAAGTAGTTCCTTGAACTTAAAGATCTGTTATGTTCTCGATAATATCTCACTTGATTCTGACGAAACCATACAAAAATGCGCCATAGCTGCATATTTTTCTAAAGTTTCTTTATGTCATTCTTCAATCATCTCTCTTATTTTTACAGTGGCTCAAGCCAAACATGGTTACAAGTGCAACAACAACGTTTACGAGCTAAACGAGCGCAACGTCAACAGGGCTTTGACTTTACTGATGGAGCAGCACGGTATGTTTGAAATGAGATAATCATTCTGCTTTCCTACTCAACGAAACATTTCTTTTTTTATGCAATTGCTGTTACTGTTTTTTTTTTTCTTCAGTCGTAGTCAAACATTATCGCCAGTCAGAAATTACAACACACTGACCACAAGCAAGGAGCCGAAATATGTGCAAATAAAGCGTACAGAACAAACAGTTTCAAAGCCGTACAAGGTAAGGTCATAAATACATAAGAAATTTTAAGTTAAGTGTTTGCATCAATCATCATCAGCCAACGTTCAATATTCCACTTATCATTAATGTCCCTTATCATGTCTTTAAATGTTTATATTCTTAAAAAGTAATTGATTTGCACTTAATGACGTAACTTCGAATGAATGTTTCTAAAAGAGTGTAAATGAAAAGATCAAATGAAATTTTGTCGATTCTAGGAATTTAAAAGTGAGTCAGTGATTTTTGTTTACATATTCACGGACGTGATCTGATTTCCTCGTGCTGCAAAGTATCTCTTCCCAATTAAAATAAACTTTTTAAACTTAATTTGATTAATTTGAGAGGATTAATGCTAAAAAGTGTGCAAACAATCAAAATAAATCCACGGATATTAAGATGACAGACATTAATTTGATCTTTTCATTCCCATTTGTTCACTAACATTTGACTAAATTCACATGCATTTACAGAACGAATTAGAAAACAATCCGTTCGACTTTCAAAATCGTACAGCATCAAGCACTCGATCGTTTAACGACAAATATTCCGCATCGACTAACAGCATTAACAGGAGAAATATCATGCCTTTAACGTCAACTCCAAATGAAGAAATGGTAAGTCATGTACTAAGATTTTTTTCGTTGTTTTTGGAATGTTGTTTGCTACTTAGATAGCTGTTCAATGGGAGTACAGTACAAAAATAATATAATGATGACGCTTTTACATTCCATGAGTTTTTCCTTCATATATTCACAATTTTTTTTTATTTTTAATTTTTTTCTTTCTTTCTTCGTTTTTTCATAAAACAAAAAAAAACAAATCGTACACATACCACACATATTTTGCTTTGTTCTCTTTTTGTGTTCGCCTTGTGTATATTCATTCATTTTTTTATGGCTACAAATCTGTTAATAAAAGGATCGAATTAATAACAATAACACGGAATCGCCAAAATCACCTATGGAAACGCTAGATAATCTACTAGAATCGATTGCGTATGAGAATTATGCAACAAATAACTTTTTGACTGAGCTCATTAATGGCGAGATAAATGGAACATCAAGACTAATATCTAATAATCATATTAACAATAATAACATCATCATTAACCAAACGACTGATTCCGTAAATCGCTATCTTGATAATGTCATTAACTTTAATCATGAACAATCATCATATCAATATAACCATAACAATGTAAGAAAGTCTGACTCTGAGGGATCATCATCTGATCAGAATAATGGCAAAATGCCACATCAGGTAACACATGCTTGCTATCCTCGTCCTTAATTATTCATAAATTATTCATTGTCAATGTCATAATACACATTTGGTCAACTAAGTCTCTCTTTAATTTTTCCCGCTTGTTTATTTTGCACGTGAAATAGTAAAATGAATAAGATGCTTTGCATGTAAACTTACTTTATGGTGACGAAAGCGTAGAAATCCTTGAAAACCTTTTCATTTCAATTATACACGGTCATTCTAAGTGCATTTTCTCAAACGTCGTAAATTGTCACATTGACTTTTATGTCTGAGAAAGTGCTTCAAACTTTGAGATAAGTCATTTCAACTTTATTTCTATTTCTAGACACGCAATGAATCGGTTTCATCTTATCGTTCGGAAACGGAAACTGAATTTTCACGTCCTGAAACGCCAGCATTTCCGGTCACACCGAGAACCCCAGTGCCTTTTGGTAGTACTTCAACTTTACCACCAAAAAGTCCAACATTGCAGCGGTGAGTTATTAAGTTCTTGATCATTTTTTTATCTAATTGGTGGATGATGTAATGGATATAAAAATGTTCTATATTAATTAAATTATGTACAGTTCGGGTTGGGCACTTGATACTGTAAAATCGACTGTCGCGCATCTTGAAAGAAGGTAGATAGGCAAAATTATCTGTAGACACATTGAATTCACACAGCATGTCAGTCAACCATACATTGAAAATTTAATAGTTTATTTATTTTTGGCACTTTATACCCTTGTCTTATCTCTCAGCAATTTCCTTTTAATTAAAAAAAAGTATGACTCCATTTAACAAATAAGTCATTTGTAGGCATGGTTATCATGCACGTATGCACCTTCATTATTTTTATTTCCCAAAATATATTTTTTGTTTCATTTTTTTCGATCACGAAATTTATTTCAAGCGCATTTTCTGACGAGTAGATCATTCTGTTGTCAATTTGTGTTCATGTCAATGTTCATTTACGACGCAGACTTCTGCACGAATCTTCATCTTGTTTTAATTAACATGGTAGGAATTTTATCTAACATGATCACATTTAAACATTTGTTTCTACCAGTCTCCCCCTCAGTAAATTAACTCTTTAGAGAATGCGCAACTCTGTTTGAGCTTAAAATTATTTTTTTTTTGTATATTAGAATTCGCAAATATTCCCAAACATCTTGTTACTAAATTATGAACTAACATATATTTGTACGATTTTCTTCTTCTTTTCTAATACGAACAAAACAATATCCGCAAACACAGACGGGACTTGTCGAACAGAATTCATGAAGTTGCCAATGTTAATGAAACTGTTTCAACCTACGCATCAAGAAGAAACTCAGCAAATTCAGCCATATCAAATGCCAATAGTGAGCTATTTGAAATTGCTCCGCATCATGTGAAGTAAGTATTAAATCACGAAAAAAATATTGTTTTGCATTACTCATTGCGAATTTATCTTGATAAGATTTGCACGTGATTCATCAAAATATTGGTATAAGCCATCATTGTCACGCGAGGAAGCAATAAGCTTGTTGAGGAATGCAGCGCCGGGAACGTTCCTTGTTCGTGATTCAACAACTTTTGCCAGTACGTATTAATTTTTGTCTGACAATAAAGCTTTTTGTATGTTAATAATTTAATATATTTTTTTCAGACGCCTTTGGATTAGTTGTTCGAGTTGCACAGCCACCTCCTGGCTCAAAAGGCGGAAGCGATGAATTAGTACGTCATTTCTTAGTCGAGCCAACTGTTCGTGGTGTTCGCTTGAAGGGTTGTTCAAATGAACCAGTTTTCAGTTCATTATCAGCTTTAATCTATCAACACTCAGTCACACCATTGGCACTTCCATGTCGTCTCATGTTGCCAGAACGTGATATTCAACAAAGAGAATATCAGACATCAGCACAGCAGCAATTAGCAGTACAAGGTGCTGCTTGTAATGTTCTTTATCTATTTAGTGCCGATACAGAGTCATTAACTGGACCACAAGCTGTTCGTAAAGCTGTTAGACTACTTTTTGAGCGTAGACCATTACCAACACCCACTGAAGTTCATTTCAAAGTATCAAATCAAGGAGTTACATTGACAGATAATTCTCGTCAGCTTTTCTTCCGTAAGCATTATCCCGCTACAACAATCACATACATCGGAATCGATCCAGATGATCATCGTTGGAGTGTCCATGTTACAAATTCCGATGTGCCAGTTAAGAATCAACACATTTTTGCATTTGTTGCAAAGAAAACGCCAACATCAAGTGATAATCAGTGTCATATATTCTGTGAACTTGAAAATCGTCAACCGGCCACTGCAATCACATCATTTGCCAATAAAGTATTATTGGATGAATCAACACGTCAACAACATGCTCCAGCACAGATTTAATTATTTTTTAATTCGTAATTTTTCTAGTACGTAATGATGAAATTGATGAACTTATTATCATGAAATGATAATATTGGTAGGAAATAACAGTCACATCAGCAAGTTAATTGTTGTCGTATCAATTAAATTTTAAAAAGGATGAAGTAAAGTTGATATTAATAGCAGTCTCCGCATGAATACTTACTAATTTTATTAATAAAGCCGTGCATGTACCTTTTTTTCATGTACGAAATTAGTTGCGATGAAAATGAAGTTTATGAAGCAATATGACTAATCTATGTACTAACTTAAAAAATTGTAACAATCTATCTTTAATAGAAGACATTAATTGTGACTAAAAATATGACGAAAAAGGAAAATTTATGCCTTATATATTCACACGTATTCAATTAATCAAGTGTCTTCTGATTTCTCAGACTAAACAAATAAAATAAAAAAAAATTATTATTGCAAAGATAAAAAGAATTGAAATTGTATTGACATTATAAATGGAAGTAAATAAAGATGAATTGGAACTAACTGAAAGTAAAATTATTGCGTTCTATTTTTTTTTTGCAAGCAATTTTTGAATCAACAGGTTTCTTGGACGAAAGGGAAAGTTAAATGAAGAAAAACATTAGATTACTGACCTCAATTTTAGGATTTGTTTTGTAATACTGCATGCTGTCGAATTTGAGGCATTTTGAGAATATCAAGAACTGCAGACGAAAATTCTAGCCAGTCAAAACTTATTGAAAATGTCAAATGCTTGATACTTTTTATTGACTAAAAGTTCCATTCCAAACTACAACGAAGAGGATGAATATGCAGTTTTATAGTCACTGCCATACTTGCAAGCAAACTCGATTTGATGAAGCTTTTTATTGCACCACAGTTTTGTTCTTTTCAAAATATAAACTTATTTATTTGTTATTTTTTTCTTTCTTCGTCTCCTAAAAATTGATTATCTTTCAGAAATAGAATTGAATGATTTTACATTAATTTTCATATGGCGATGTTGTTTTTAAATAAAACTTTATCTTCTTGATGACGATTTATGATGATGTCTATCTCCATTTCTTGATGACGAGTGCTTACTACTGCTGTATTTCTCCTTATCGTAGCTTTTGTAATAATTATAATCTTTGTCTCGATCGCTGTAATGATTTCGTCTACCATTAGAATATCTTTCTCGGGACTTCTCACGATAATCACGTTTTGGCGATTTTTTACTGTACTTCTTGTCTCTGCAATGAAAAATAACAATACATTTGAGATTAATAATTGTTTTGTATAGGATGATAAACATATGTAGCATAAGAAATAAGGAATAAATAGAATCCCAAAATGAGTGCCATAAATCTCTAGCTAATTCACAAATATGACTAAAATAAATTGCTTCACTTCCTACCTTTTCTTACTCTTCATGTCATAATCTGAGTCAGCTGATATTGACCGTGAACGAGTTCTCTTTCTCGAGCGATCTTTCTTTTTACTGCTGCTGTATTTGCCCGATGACCTCGATCTACTGCGCGAATTATTTCGTGAACGTGAACGTGATTTGCATTTTTCGCTATTATTATTTGTACTACTAATTGTTTTACCGTCCGATTTTAGCTTCGAATCAGATTTTTCGTCGTTATTTGAATTTGATGTATTGGATGGTATTTGTCTGGATATAAAACCACTCCACGCATGCTGTGATCCATTTGAACGATCGATGACTGCTGCTACGGGAGGCGTACTGTTTTGATGGTCTTTCTTTCGTTGGTCCTGATAATTTTTCTTTAGTTCTTCGACAGCTGCCTCAAGTTTATCAAAATTTGGTTTTGGTCGATGATAAAGTTCCATAATTCGATAGCAAGCATCTAAAAGATCCTCTTCGTGAACTTTAAACATTACATACCAAGGTGGCGTAGTGGACATATTAATGTTGAGCTTTCGAGCTGATAAAGCAATGCAAGCACAAGCTATTGTCTCTGGTTGATATCGAACAAAAACATCAGTTCTGAATGAATCATTCATAAAATTCCAAGCCATTTGCAGCACCTCTCGATTTTCATCCTCATCAAATCCAAGATATTTTAAATAGACGACAATTAATTTGTGAGGATGCTTTACATGTACACAAAATCCGAGCTCTTTGAGGACTCTTCTTTCAGCCTTTATCACTTGATTCTTTAAATTCACATAATTTGTATCGAGAATCATGGACGTAATTGGCCTAAAATTAGACAAGAGAAAAGAAAAAATTATGAAGAATAATTGTATTAGAATTAACCGTCGTCAGTTGATCTGTATTTATCCCAGAACTTTTATATTTTGCGGTACCAAGGTGAGATATGCTGTTTCTACATCTTGGACATTTGTACAAGTGAATTGAAAAATTCATTTTTAATATTATTTTGTATATATCATGGGAAGAAAGAAAAACAGTAAATTAAAGTAGAAAATATAAAAAGTTGACACTGAAAAAACACATTATAAGTAGTAGTTTTATAATGAAATTTGCACTAAATATAAATGATATGATAATAAAGTGAGCTTGATTCTTGTGGTGGGAATGCGCGCTTCATCACAACTTATCCTTGCCATTCAAGTCGAGAAGCGAGGATATATTGATAGACAGACTTTTATACATATTTGTCGCATAGAAAAATAGCATTAAATTTTCATAAATATTTTTACTTATGCGCCACCCACAACACAGACACACTTTCCATCTTACCTACAAAACTGAATTAATGAATCGAATTAATAAAAATTGCTCAAACATTAAAAACTTATTCTGTTCCTACTTACTTTTGTGCACGAATCTGTTTGATGTGATTGAAAACATTGAGTACATCGCGAATTCTTCTTGGTGCTTCCTCAATTTTTGATGCTAAGCATATACATCCCATAGCAATTGCCTCCATATCATGCCTTACAAACGACTTTGAGTAGAAGAATCGCTGGAATAGAACTTGTCCCGAAGCCATAGCGACCTAGTAAAATGATAACAATTCATTAATATTTCATTGTAAACGATTAAAAACATTTTTTTCAATTTTTTACGTCACACATAACATTATATGCTGTATGTGGAATGGAAATGCGATTTTGGCACATACAATATGGCGCGCACGGAATATAATACAGTAAGGGAATTTAAAACTTTCTCATAAATCACTCGATTATGCTCACCTGTGGTAATTTCAATAGAATTCCTGCTGTTTGTATCAGTTCACATCCCAATATCCTCAAATCCATCTCTATATCCTTCGATAAACCATCTTGCTGACTAATAGTTTTGGATTCTAGTTTTTCTGATGGTAAAATTGCATTTTCCAATGTTAAAATTATTTTCCCGTAATTTCTTTTTGTCACATCCTTTTCTTTACTATCCGATGCTTCCATTTTACACTAATTTAACAATTAATATGTCTTTAAAACTTCTTAAAAACTTAATTTTTATGAAAGAAAGCTGAATTTCATGAAATTTCGTTTTTTTGGAGTGCGTTTAGCAAACAATTGAGTTTGAATTTTTTAAAAACCGTTATATTCAAACTTCTCTAATTCACAAATTAAAACACTTTTAATGGCTGCTGGTGGCGTAGAAATTATTTAATTATCAGCTAAAAGCATAACTTTGCATAATCTTACCTCACAAAGTCAATTAACTGCTCAAAAATTACCAAAACATTGATCACGTGTAGTTAAAAATAACGGTTACATTTATTTTGGTTTACATGTTAAACCGCATGTTAATTGGACTATAGTTAGATTAATTAACAAGGCTAGTCTTATAAGAATACCCTCGAAGAGCTGAAAAAATCATTAAGTTTATTAAAAGTGCGAATCAAATTAATATAATAATAAAAATGGTTAAAAACAACGAACAGTCCAGAACAGCATAGATTGGGCATAAAAGGCAGACACCAATCAATGTGGGTATTTCTTATTTCACAAAGAGAGACTTCTCGGTCGGCAAAAAATAATTCACAGGTCGCGTCAACTGTGTGTGATTGCCGAAAAAGAGGCTATTGTACTTAAGATTACAATAATTTGAACTAAATTTGATTCATTGAAGTGCTTAATGTTATCAGTTACTGTCGAATTATTAATTTTTTTAAGGTATTTCATTATTTTCATCTCCAAAAAGTGGCACAAAATTTTTTTCTTCTTCTCTCGTGTTTCAAACGTGAATGAGTCATTTAGTCTAAAGATGAAAATGTTAAGGAATGTGACAAAGATATTTTTGGATTTTAAAGATATAAAATCGTTCATTGCGTAACGCGCAAAATAATTGTGAATTCATTGCCATTCATTAGTCTGATGTATTGGTCATTCGTATAGTTTAGAGTAGTCATGGTCAAACAAAACATTAAAGCAATTATAATCCATTAATCGAGTACTTTGATCTTGACGTCAGTGAGTTACTCCTAGAGTTCAGAGACATTCAGAACTAGTTTTTTATTCGTAAAACTATTTGATTCATGTTTTCTTACTCTACTCCTCTCGTAACACAAAAATAAGATACAAACTTAGTTTTTATCCCTATCATCTTCTCAGCGTAAAGCATTCAACATTCAGAGAAAGAGAAGAGAAAACATTGTGCTGTATTGAGATTTTGTCTCAAATTAATTTATTTTATGAATGAAAGCGCATTTTTGTATTGTCAATCAGTGATTTAATGTGTTTATGACTTTTATTTTATGGCTCGTTCACTTATTACGTAACGCAAAAAAACGAGTTTTTAGACCCCCCTCCCCCCCTGTAACAAAGCGTAACAAAATCTTAGACCCCCCTCCCCCCCTGTAACAAAGCGTAACAAAATCTTAGACCCCCCCTCCCCCCCCCCCCCCCCCCCCCAATAACGTAACAATAATTTTTTTCATTTAAATTGTTTATCAAATGTTTATTATACTTCCTTTAATATTTAAAATTAATATAGAAAAAATTATAAAAAAATATATTTTTTGAAAAGTTACGTAACAAAATTTAGACCCCCCCCCTCCCCCTGTAACAAACCGTAACAAAATCTTAGACCCCCCTAGTGCGTTACGTAATAAGTGAACGAACCCTTATTGTCATGAGCGTAAATCATAAAACAGTCTGTCAAATAAGCATTCAGTTCTCGCAAATACAAAAGTGCGCAACAATCAAGCATTGAAGCATTTGTTAATTTCGTATTTTTTTCTCTCCTTCCTCGTTTATTAATTTTAGCTTCACTTAATTGTCGCGCGACATCATTAAAGAACTCACCACATTTAAGTGCATTATTAAAAAGCTAGAAATACTCATTTATGCTCTCAGTAGCGATTTATAAGTCGACCGATTAAGTTAAAAAAAAAGTTTTTGTGAAAAGGAAATGAAATAATATTTTGTGGACGTAAAAAAGTATGTGACTAAATAATAATATTTCCGAGTATCAAGTAACGATTTTTACCTAGTGCATGTCTATATTTATCGTGTCATATAGCAAATAAGAAAGAAAAAGTGAATTGATTTTTAAAAATATAACAAAAAGAAAAAATAATCCTCAAATTTTGAGAGTGCAGCAGCAGCAAACAAGAAGACTTTGACAAAGTTGCGAAATTATATTATTTGTGCATATATATTTTTTTCTGCTTGAAAGACAATTAGATACTCGCCAAGATTTCATTTGACAATTGTATATGCACGTACAGTATAATTAATTATTATGAAAAATTTTAATTTAAATTCAACTGAAAATGATCAAACGATAAAGGATCTAAGCTATAAAGAAGTTGTCATCATAGGTAAGATACAATTCATATTAAATATGCTCTACATACTGACTCATTCTCACGGTTCTGACGTGCAGACGCTTGGCGCGCTGTAGCTATAACTGAATTTACATATTATTATTTTCATACTTTTTGCTGCTTTTTCCTATGAAAAAAATCTCCATATATCCCAATGCTAGCAAACAGAAATTTTTGAGTTCTTATTATTCGAACTTCGAATTTTTAAGGTTCTTATTTGTCGAAAATCTAATCTTCGAAGTTCTTATTTTTAAAAAAATTCGTTGTGAGTTATTATTTTTCGAATAATTTGTAATTTTAGTGAACATTCCTACTAGTTTTTATGATTAAGATAATCACTATGAGGAAATTGCATTCCTTAAATGTTCATGCTTTAAAAAACAGCTAGTTTAAAAATAAATTAAAAAATAACGGACTTTCTTATTTTGAAATTTTAAAATAATGTAGCGCGAAAATTTTGAAATTTTTTTGTTTGTAACGGACTCTGTTCTCTTTGCTAACATTGGCATATATCTTGCAATGAGGAACAGCAGCAGCAATGATTGAAATTTCCTAGTATTAAAAAATAAAATCAAACATCTTGCAAACAAATTACATTAAATGCTGACAAGTGCTCATACATGTTTAAACGTTATTATTAATATTTATGAGGTATAGACAGAACAAGTGGTTGATATTTGATTCATGATGATCATTAAAATAATTTTGTAAAGAAATCAATCAAAAAAGTGCATATTTACACGAGCTAATCAATTTTTGCGACTCAAAAAAATTGGAGTTGTAGGCAGCTTGACGATATATAAATATATTGTGGTTTACAGAAGGTTTTATTGTTATGTCAATGTTGATAATGTCATGACATATAAAAGCTTTGGGATAAAGAAGTACTTACCCACGTAACCAATATCGCCGTCAATGAAAAAATCGACTTAAATGTACAATTTTTTGGATGATCCAATAGACGTCGATTTTTCATCCATTACACGTCGTTTTTCTTGAGCCGCTATATACTTCACAAGTGCAATCAGAAATCACTTATATAAGGCACAGCCAAATTTTCATACAAAGTGTGATTAATTAATTAAATTAATTGCATGCGAATCATTCATTTAAATGAAGACTTCGACTCTTTTTTTCAAAGACAAAATCCTTAATTAATTTTTTTTTGGATTTTGTCTACAAATTATAGTATAATTAACAAAAAATATTTTCATACAAAAAAATTCAAAATTTTTCCGTTAATCGGTTTTTATATTGTAACGGTCAAAAAAAATTTGATTTTGGTTCAAAAAAATAATCGACGTGAAATCGACGTGAAATCGACTAAAAATCGTCCCTTTTCATATTAGCATAATGTCCAATGTACGATACATGGAATGTACATATGGAACATACATGGAAGATTTTGATGTAATACATAAAATCTTCCATTCGTCGACTTATGGTTACGTGGGTAGCCTTATCAGAAGCAAATTCTTTGAGAATGATAAACGAAATTTGTTTCTTTAAGAACTTATTGAGTATCTTTGTGGGTCGGTCGGATAAGCTATAATTCTAGAAATTATAGCCTCCCTCTTGTCACAGTTTTAAAAAATTCTTAAACTCATTCTTATTGTTATATTCACACCGTTTTCACGTGTGAATCTATTGGTTTTGTTCAGATTGAAAAATCAGTTTTTTGAATTTTGTGAGGATATGGAGCAAGATAGCTTAAAATGTTCAGAAATGAAAAGTTTGTGCCTTGAATTTCACATCTTTTGCAAAAAAAAAATTCAAATTGGTTGCGGCATTGCTGAGAAAATCGCAAAATATGCTTTCTGTAAACAAGCAAGTTAATCAGCAAGAAATCTCAATAACGAGACATTGTAGAGACTTCTAGTTTTTTACATTTGATCCGTGCTGCTCTATAGAAGAGCTAAATTGTTTTTAGGCAATTTAGGAGCAGCTGTTGCTTCAGAAAAAGCAAAAAACTTTCCTTCCTTACGAATTTTTCAAATTAAAAGTTCACTGTGATTTTTTTTTTAAATTAAACTTTGGATGAAAAAAATTTTACATTACAGGAAATACATTTTCAATTTTGGACTAGGAGCGACCCTAGTCAAAATCAATTTTGTCACTTTTTTCTTCGAGGGTTTATCCAAAAGGATTGAAACTTTGCATAAATATTCTAGTGCTTAAAACAAATACAAATAAAACATCCTAAATTTTTTTGAGCAAAGAACCAAGAAGGAAATACATTTTCAATTTTGGACTAGGGGCGACCCTAGTCAAAATCAATTTTGTCACTTTTTTCTTCGTGGGTTTATCCAAATGGATTGAAACTTTGCATAAATATTCTATTGCTTAAAACAAATACAAATAAAACATCCTAAATTTTTTTGAGCAAAGAACCAAGAAGGAAATACATTTTCAATTTTGGACTAGGGGCGACCCTAAAATTTTTTTGAACAAAGAACCAATTAGGAAATACATTTTCAATTTTGGACTAGGGGCGACCCTAGTCAAAATCAATTTTGTCACTTTTTTCTTCGAGGGTTTATCCAAAAGGATTGAAACTTTGCATAAATATTCTAGTGCTTAAAACAAATACAAATGAAACATCCTAAATTTTTTTGAGCAAAGAACCAAGAAGGAAATACTGGGAAATACATTTTCAATTTTGGACTAGGGGCGACCCTAGTCAAAATCAATTTTGTCACTTTTTTCTTCGAAGGTATATCCAAAAGGATTGAAACTTTGCATAAATATTCTAATGCTTAAAACAAATACAAATAAAACATCTCAAATTTTTTTGAGCAAAGAACCAAGTAGGAAATAACTTTTCAATTTTGGACCAGGGGTGACCATAGTCAAAATCAATTTTTTCATTTTTTTCTTCGAGGGTTTATCCAAATGGATTGAAACTTTGCATAAATATTCTAGTGCTTAAAACAATTACAAATAAAACATCCTAAAATTTTTTTGAGCAAAGAACCAAGTAGGAAATACATTTTCAATTTTGGACTAGGGGCGACCATAGTCAAAATCAATTTTGTCACTTTTTTCTTCGAGGGTTTATCCAAATGGACTGAAACTTTGCATAAATATTTAAGTGCTTAAAACAATTACAAATAAAATATCCTAAAATTTTTTTGAGCAAAGAACCAAGAAGGAAATACATTTTCAATTTTGGACTAGGGGCGACCATAGTCAAAATCAATTTTGTCACTTTTTTCTTCGAGGGTTTATCCAAATGGATTGAAACTTTGCATAAATATTTAAGTGCTTAAAACAAATACAAATAAAACATTCTAAATTTTTTTTGAGCAAAGAACCAAAATTGAAAATTGATTTTCTATGGTGTACTTTTGTCAAAAAATTTTTTTGGATGTTTTTTTTGAATTGACATAATTCTGACATAAATCACATACCAATATTACTTTTTGTATTGCATAGCTTAAAAAAAAACGAAATCTAAAATTTCGACTACCCCATCTGAATTTTGTTCATACTCTTCACTGTGGAATCCAAAAAACAAATTCTTTATCTTAAAATACTTGACAAAATAGCGACATAATTCAGGATTAATTACTTTTTAATAATGTTTTAACATTTTCGATAAAATGTGGTTCAAATAAGTGTGAAGTATGGCCGAGATTTGGACCAAAATCAGCTATACTGGTTCATAGTGTTCCCGAGGGTGACAAAATTCAAACTAAGTGTTTTTGTAGCTGACATAATTATGACATAAATTAGGTATAACTTTTGAACTGTGTCGATATGGGTCTCGGCCTTTCTTCACGCCCACCCTTCAAACTTATGCTTAGTAAATCTTGGTCTATCCATAAGACTTTTGATGGTACGGTGTGAATATATCTGCATTGGGTTTCTACCCGATACACTAGTTTGACGACACTAGTGACACACCCTGATTGATTTATTACCCCAGATATTAAGAACAAAGTAGTTTTCAACAAGTTCTGAATTAAGGTAGGTTAAAAATCTGATATAAAGATTCTGCGATAAAAGAAATTGAGTACTGTGGAATCACTAAGGCAAATATTTAATCTTCCTGGTCTGATAAAGTTTAATCAAACGAATTATGATTTAGATCGTAGCTACTTCAGAATTTCGGAAGTTTCGTGTTTAAGTCAAATATCAAGTGTCAGTCAATATTGAAATAAATCAGAACGAATTACAGAGTCGAATTGCAGTGAAGCATAAAATGCGCAATAATTATTAAGGTTTGAAATATAAGCATGGTAAACATGATTTTTGGAAATTTCAATAATATTTGCGTACTGGTAATTTGAGGTAAACCCGATATAGTTATTAATGGGGTTAAAGTGAAACTTCAATGTTTTGTAGGAATGAATCACATTCTCAGCTCATTAAATAAACCTGAATTATTACGGGCTCATTTAAAAGCATATTAAGTAAGTGATCGATCACTATTTTCGGCAGTGAAAGAACCATGTGCAAAGAAAGTCATTGTACAAAGCTTGTTACTGAACGGTTTAAAAGTTCGAAGGTCAATAAGTTTAATTTAATTAAAGTCATCATCAGGTCATAAAATTTATTCATGATATTCAAAAATTTCAAGTCATAATTGCGATCATTTCTCGGAATGAGTTGGTGAATGAAGGAACAGGTTTCTTCGATCTTGTTGCCGAGTCATTCTCTTAATTCCATATTTAAATTGATTCTAACTCGTAAAAATTGCTCCTTCAAAAAAAAAATTCTGAAAAGAACGCGAAGCTGGCGTTCTTATCGATTTAAGAGCTATAAACTCGCATTCTTTACAGTCCATGACAATACTTGAGAAAACTCATCTGAGAGAAGATGCTCTTCACATGTGAGTTAAGATTAGCAGACAGCTTGTTTAAAAATAAAATCATGCTATTTATACTCCAATTAACGTGACATCTAATCAAGAATAATGAAGTAATTTGCCGCTCATATTGCAAATATTATTATTCATCATGCTGTTACGCTAAATTTAGAACGACCCGGCAAAATAACCTTATGTAAATTCAACTTTTCTTATAATAATTTATTGATGTTCGAGCAGACAATTTACATAGAGTAAAATTTACCGGCAATGTCAAGGGCGTTGACTAGTAAGTTATATATTGCTTGAACAGCATGAATGTCGTACGACTAGTTTTTAGTCGTGACGGCGGTACTTGAATAAATGAAAAGAAAATGATGATTGTTGATTTTTAAAGGAATTTCATAATAAAACTATCGAGTTTCAGTTTCATCTGAGAAACTTGCAACTGATTTTTTATATAGATAACAAAAATCCCACAAAACTGCCGACTTTGTGTGCAAATGATAAATAAATGCAGTAATTTTCGTATGAATTACAACAACCTCGAGATAAAAAAAAAATCCCAAGTCATTGATTAGTCACTTGCGCTCATATTGCAACTAGAATTGAGTTCTTCGAATAAATATTGATGACACTTAAATATTGAAAAGTGGGCAAATACAGCGGCTGACGTGAATTATTTGAAGTATAATTAGTTCCCCATACTAGCATCATTCATATCATGACTCGTGACTTCATATGGTTTAATTTATATTTTAATGTATGTTTGCTTAATCATTTCTCACCAAATATGGACTGAGATAAGAGTAAGCACCTCTTATTATTATTCTCCTTATCGCTAGAAATTTTCGCGAACGATAGCTAAATAAACTGTTTATTTGTTATTGATTGTAATCATTTGCAGGCTACTGTAGGGGATCAAACCTAGTCGAGGTTATCCCTTCATCTGACGACCTTTATAAGCCATGACATTTGAAAATTTACATAAGCTTGTGAAATTGATCAATTATTCAGTTATTACAGTTCATTATTCTTTCCAAAAACAAAAAATTGAACGCCAGTAAAATTTGTCAAACGGAAAAAAAAGAAAATTATTATTTGATTGAATAAGATGCCGAGTCACTGTGAGTTCTGTTAGCTATTGGTCGATTGAAGGCTATTTAGATAAAAAAATGTAGAATGTAACGCAACGTATGACTCAATTTTTATTTTTTTATTTCCTCATGAATTATCGTCGATTAGTTCTAGTCATTTACCAAAATGGAATGTTTTGTAACATTAAGTTACAAACGATAAGACTGATATGTTTACAACATACATTGCCTAATTATTCCTTGAGATTGTGATTACAAATGATTTATAATACTCCTAGGTTCCATATTAATGATCGACATTTCCTTCAATTTGTGTAATAATTATAAGAGATGTCTTTCAAGATGCCTAACATTTTGCTGACGATAAATTTGCTGTCAATAAAAAAAATTTTGACTCACTTAATACTCCTTAGTCCCATATTATTGCCGCTACTTGATAAAAATTAGTTAAACAGTCTCATATAATGTCAAAACAAAATATCAAGTACATCTGTACTATGGCAGAGCGAGATAATAAATCAATTTAAATAGTTGTATTGCGAAAAGGGATTATGGAGCAATAAAAATGCTTTATTGTGTTTGAGGCTTTTTGAAATCTGATCCTTGTTCAATTGTGCTGATTATTTCACACCAATAATGTTTTTATAGCCCATAAATTGTTATTACTCGTATCTTTCATCGTTTACTCAAACCACCTATGCGATTTAAGGAGTCAACGCTTAATGAAGCTCACCCACACTCAAATTATTTATGAGGAAATTATAGATCCAATAATAATTAAATATATGAGCTAAACGTGTGGCAGATGTAATACAAAATGCAAATCTTTTGATATTTGAGAAGCTTATTATATGCAAACATCTGTAATTAGTTCATATTAGACGATAACAATTAATCAGAATCAATGCGAAAATTGTGTATTTTATATAACCTTTATAAATCATGTAAACAAAAAAGAGGAGGACTTCAAGTTCCTTAAACTGCTTCATGTACAAGCAATCGATTTTCTGGAAACTTATAGCCGTTCTGTTCATGGGTACTGTTCCTTAGGTCAAGATCGTCATCGAATGCCATTCAGCTTCGGAATTCTTGTTCTTGAAAGTATCAGACGTTATAAGTAAACAACCCCCAAATCATTTTTAAATTCTCAATCCATAGCACGTGTTCTAACTCGATTTCATGAGAAAAAAAAAATCCTCTCAGAGCGCATCTTAAGAGCATTAAGAATGACTGGCAATAAAAAAGACTCAACATTCTTCTGATAATTTTATTATGATTCATGATTGTAGGCACGTCGACCAGCAGTAAGAAGAGAAAAAAACACAAAAATTTCTTTGTGGATGTTTCGAGAAGCCAAAAAAGGCGAAGATAAACTGTTTTGTTTACAGAATCAGAATGAACAATGTACTTCAATGTGGCCAAAATGAGTTTTAAATAAGCTAAAATGAAAGGAATTTGAATAGCACAAGAAGCACAATTAGCGATGAGAGAGAAATTGATTAAAATTAAGATTTATGTTGACAGGAATAGTCTCAATTATTTATGAGTCGTTTGTGTGAGTCAAGTGAGATATGTGCTAATGGAAAATTTTCCAAAAAGTCGTACACGATGATGATAACGTTGACGCAAAGTTTAGGCACGTGTTTTTCATATATTCAGTCTATAATTTGACGAAATAAAAAGTTTAAATCAATAAACGAAGTTCACGAGAAACAAATTGGGGAAGAAAATCTTTTACTCGAGTTCGAGGAAGGAAGCAAAATAATAGAGTTAGGCTGTAAAAAAATAATATATACTTTTCGATGCTTATTGATGTGTGAACAAATTTACAAATTATTCTCAGCTCATTTGACCTCAAAGAGAAGAAGGAAGAACATTATTTGGTTCTGTTTTCATCCATAAACAGCTTTCAACATAAACAAAACAAAAAAAAATGCTCTCATTTATTTTTTACCGCATACTTATCATTTAGTGGATACAATGAGGTATGGGAAATATTTGTTGCTCAAGTACATTTTCAGAATGTAATAAAGAGCATTGATTAATTCAAAAAGCTTATCTGTTAGCGTGTTTATCGATGCTTTGATATCTAAATGGTAATTGAAATCGTGTATTGAACGTGACTAAGCTTTATCAAGTTTATAGCACACATAACTATATCGACTCAAACAACAAAATAAAGTTTTGAGATTTTTATTTGCAAATAAAATAAAATCGCAATAGCAAGATAATTTGGTTGGCAGTGCTTAAAGCATTGTTTAGTTTTCGCAAGGAGCTTGTGTCGTCAGACAGACTCCTCTTGACTAAAAGGTACTTGCGAGTTATTCTTAACTTTAGGGACAAGAGAAAAAAATTAAAACTGATGCTCTTGCGTTCAATCAAAAAAATTGAGCTTTCTGGCTTAACACCCTTGAAAGTTGGACATTATTTATGAAGTACCCTAAAAGAGGATGTTGAATATTAAAAATACATTCCTTTCATTTCTATGGGTTTTGGTATTTATTTCTCAATATCTGAATTTTTATTGCTGTAAACAAAATATTTTGTTTCCTACTGTGCTCAAAACTTGCCGTAAATAATCTCAATTGAGCATCGTACAACTCTAAAATAAATAAGATTATTGTGCAAACAATCGAGTTAATGGATAAACAAAAGTAATAATTAGCTTATGATTTGAGAAGAAAGAATTTTTGTTGATCACAAGCAGGGTTGTCAATTTGGTACCTGGGATTGAGATTTTGAAGTTTTTGAATGCAAGATCTAGATTAACAACGGAAAAAATAAGTTAAAATTTTTTACAGCTCCTAAAATTCATCACAGCTTATAACCATTGTCACAATAGATTCTGTAAACTATGTTCTAGAAGAATAGCTTTTATATGAGTCATTGCTGCGTCACATGATTTCTACAGAACAGACACAACTTCAATCTGTTCTACATATATGTAATGAACAAGACGATAACATGATAAAATATCACATTCGATGCTTCAATCAAAAATTGCACACGATTCGCATATTAAAGAACAATGAACCTCAGCACTCGTTCGTGTCCATATCAATATTGTCTCCAATAATTAGTAATAACTTAATTAACACTTTTATAACATGCACTCGAATTTTATTAAATTTTCGGGTATAATTATAGCGCCATACGTGACCGAAAAGAAACTACGAAACCAAAGAACCTCTAAAAACCAAAATTGTTACTGCACATCAAGTTAAAAGTAAAACAAAAAGTCATAAAAACAAACTTTTATTTACATTCATTAAAAACTAGGAAATGGACCAAGTGGAATTACGCTTTCATATTTCTTGGCTGGCAATTGGCCTTATTGGAAACCAGAAGAAATCTCACAGCATCCAGATGAGTTGCTTCGTGCAAGATTGAATTTTGCAGACGAGAATGTGAGCTTAATGGAACATAATTTACATGAGCTTGCTCAAGGTCTTGAAGGCAGAACTACCAATCCCGTGTCCCTTTTGGTAAGGACTTATGAACATTTGTCATTGCTCAACTTTGATGATCTAGAAATGATTTATTTAAGGCATGAACAATGACGATTGCACAGAAGCTTGCAACGTTTAGATTTCGTAATATCTGCACATGCCTCTTATTTACTCAAATTCTATCTAAATATTTGCAGTTTGATAACTTGCAACATCCTGGTGCTGATTTTGGAATGAAATTACCCTGTATGCTCAAATTTAAACATCATAAAGATAAAGAAGTAAGATAAAAATGGATATAAATAAAACAGGAATAGATTTTTCATATCGCATCTTAAACGTTTCTTCTAGATTGATCATGTGGTGCTGGGAAAAGGAAAAGCAGGTGGTTCATGGCATCGTATGGACAAAAATCTACGTACATTGAGTCTCTCAACGTGGATGTCCTTGCCCAACTTAAATTTTGACGACTGGCTAGCAATGCGCAACGTTAACGACGCTGACTCGTGCCAATGCAATCAAAATAATTGTAAAAGAGATGAAAAAGCGAATGAAAATGCACATCTTAATTCAAGTTCGCATAATTTAAACAATTTGACGACAGCAGCAAAAAATCGTAAAAAAAATTGCATACATGAAAGTACAATAAGCGAAGAAGTTAAAACTAGAGCACTTGTACATGATGTTGCAGAATATTACGCCGACTACGTTCATCTTATGAAACTAGACAAATTTTTCAGGAATGACACAGTTGTTGTGAGCATTCGACAAATTAAAGAGAATGAAAAGTGCAAATTTTCAACAAACGACGCTCGTTGGGTTGTGCATGGGTAATTAACAAAGTTTTTTTTTATTTTGCATTTTTAATTTTGAATTATAAAAATAATGAAATGAAAATTTGTCGCAACTTGACATTCATTTTTATTTTGAGTGCACTTTATTTAAAACAATTGTCATCTTTTATTCATTATGCACTGATGATTGTTATAATTTCCTCGAGAGAGGTAAAAGCTTTAGAGGATTGGGATCTTTTTGAAATTGATTCTTGTCATTTTGAGGACGACAAGAAAAAAAATCATTAAAATTCATGAGATTAGTGCATTTAAATTGGGAAAATTTCTTTTCTTCAAATTTTATATTGATTCTCATATCAATTCCGAATTAAAAAAGCGCACTAATTAATAAGTCATTAGGCATTAATCCACTTGAATTTATTAACCCCAGTTGATTAATATTTCATTCATTTCCTTTATTATAACAGATATGATAGAGCAAACAAGAAACCATTTTCGATAGCATGTAACAAAGTCGTGATGGCAAATGGTGGAAGTGATATTCCAAATAGATTGGGTGTAAAGGGCGAGAGTAAGTCAGTGTCATGGCTGAAATATGAACTACCATTACTGGAAAGTGCTATCGAGTGTGAGAAATTGAATGCTGTAAAGATATCAAATGTTAAGCCAATATTAATAGTTGGGGCAGGACTTTCTGCAGCCGATGCTATAGTTGCGTGTAGGAATGCGGGACTCAAAGTTATTCATGTCTATCGAGGCATGGCTGCTGGTTTTGTAAGTATTTACTCTTTAATTTCATTTTAAATGGTTGATAAAATTTCGATTGTCCCTGTAAGAAGATGATCAACAATATGGATGCTTATTGATATGTATATAGACCCAAATCATTTGTGGTTTATGTATCGTTTGATTTTGATGCAAATCTAATTGTCGGTTTGACTTTGAGCTAAATTTGAATTGATTAATTTCAACTTCGTGTTAGGTTCGAGATGCAATAAAAAAAACATTGAATAAATTATAAGAGTTCCCACATCTTGTCAAACATTCCTATGAATGAAAATTATGTGACCTGTCAAAAATGTAAGAAATTCTCAATCCTCCCTCCGTCTCTTCTTCACTCATTCCGTGTGAATAATCATACTTACATATTGACAACGATGATAATAATAAGCTACACAGGAGTAAGAACAAATGTTTTCATATCAATTTTACCACGTTTTTTTGATGATAAAATGAAAAGAATAATGATAAGATAGGATTTTTTTTTACATTTATGTTGACATCTTGTTATGACATCACTCACATTTGAAATCAATTTATCATCTCTTTTTCTACCATACCATATTCTCGGCTCGGCTGATACTCATTTCTCTATTTTATATGTATATTGCAGATGGGATTGCCAGAAGCTTATTTTCCTGAATATAATTTGGTTTATCGTATGATGAGGAATCCAAGAGAGAAATATGATCTATATCAAGCAATACCTGAGAGCACGTTAAAGGAAATAAAAACAGTAAATGGATGTCACTATGTGACAGTACAAAAAAGTAATAATGAGGAGCTCACATTTGAGGTCTCATATTGTGCCATACTTATTGGCTCTCGTCCGAATTTATCATTGATCAGTAATTTACCTAAAGATAGTAATTCTTTGAATAATGATAACAATAGCCATAACAATATTCTTAGTAAATTAGATAATAGAATGACAAATGTTAATGATAATAATAATAATACTGAAATTAATACTGACAATTTTGCTGTTAGAAGTTTAAGGCGATTGAAAATATTTTGCGACAAATGTCGACATTTGAACATTTGTTTTGGAAACAGAAATCGAAATCTTCTTAATAGTTTTATTGAAGATAATAATAATGTCCAGAAAAATTGTCCACAGCAGAAATATTGTGAATGTGATTATCTATCGGCAGTTGTTGAGCACAAGCAACAATGTAAAGTGGATGATTCCGGTCATGGAATTGGTGAGGATCCAAAAAAGTCAGTCGATTGTAAAAATAATCCAATTGCTGTAAACAAATTCTCAAACGAGTTACTCAACGTTCCTGGTATTTTTGCAATGGGACCACTAGTTAAAGATAACTTTATACGGTTCATTCCTGGAGGCTCGTTAACGATAGCTTCATTTATCTTCAACGAGCGAGCGACGTTAGCTAAGTGAACATACATGAAATTACCATAAAACACGTAAAGGAAATTGTTACCAACTTATAGACTGTAAATTAATTCTTTTTTTCACCTAATACATTTTTTGGAAGCGCATTTTTGCCGAAATATTTGTATTCTCTTTGAAAAGACCACGCGTCTACAATTATTATAACAAATTAGGACTAAATTATTGATTAGAAAAAAACTCTTTTTATCAAAAATTGAGAAAATTAAGACTTAACAAAATTTTTCTATGAGAATTAAACTAATTAAAAGAAGCTTCTAGACATTAAAAAAATTGTTGGTTTTTATTATTCTTAAGAAATCGATTTTAAATTAAAATTTTTTGGCTTGTGGAAGCTTTCGTGACTGCTGCGTCGACCAAAGCTATAATCGAGTATTTTTCAATGATTCATCAGAATTAAATATTTATTTTTTTCGGGTCGTTCTTGGATGGCGTCATTTGAAGGTAAAAAGCTACTTGATATTTTGCGACAGAAAAGATGATATTGACGTCATTTATGCAAGACCCTTAAGGATTATGGAAATTTTTTATTTACATATTTGAGTATTTTTGAATTGTGTTCCTCAATAATTGAGGAATTTTGGAAAATCGATGCATTGCATTGAGTTTAATGACTAAGCTAATATTTGTTTGGTAATGATAAGATTTTTTAATTTCGAATTTTCCATCCCAAAAATAAATTCTTTATATTGAGAATGATTTCAGTTTAAGTTTGTATGCAGTTTTTGGAAATGAAATCAATCTTCAAGTTCTGAACGAAATTTGATATTTTAGGCTTAAGTTAATTCTAAAAATATTTCCTGCCCACTTTGAGCTCTGTAAACATTTCCATTTGAAAAGAATTCATCACATTAATAACTTTAAATAAGGGAAGATTCTGTCATGATTAAGAAAAATTAAACTTTAAAGCACTAGATTTCTCTCGTTTGAGAATAAAAATAGAGACGAGGAAAATTACCCTGAATGAATCTATTAACTTTAAACATCAAATTACCATAATGTTATCATTAAGTATTCATGATGATAGTTAGCAGCTAAATTAATTTTAATATTATCCTCAGTAGTATAGTGGTGAGTATCATCACAATTTGTTGAGCAAAAATGCGCTTTTAGTCATCAATCATCTGAAATGGCTCTTTAATATTTTTCTCTTTTTTTTTGTTAACATCGTGACGAGAGTCCTTATTTAATAATGAATCAGAAACATGATAATCTGCGATAAACGTTCATATTGATACATATACATTAAATGTAGTGTAAAACCATGGTCACACCCAGCCGTCGACCGAGCATTTTCCCTGCACAAAATTGAGATTTTTTGAAAGTAATTAAGAGTCGATTCGTTATGATTTATATTGACAGATACATGATATGGAAAAATTTTTGGGAAAATGTGCTAAAATTATTATTAACATTGCCTTAAAAAAAAGAAAACGACATATTTTATTAGATGAAAAAAAAAAAATCTAATTTTTGTGATGTTACAATCGATGATCAAAATACTAATATTCTACCTTAAACCTAATCATTCCAAAACACACGTATATTTACATATTTGAGAAAGAAAGAAAAATGAACAAGAAAAACAAAATATTTGTATCGATAAGAAAAAAGAAAAGAAAATGAAAAAGTTTTTGTTTGCAAATAAAAAATTGATTTGAAAAAGATTTTTTTTTGATGACTGCAAAGAAGAAAAGAAAAGCAAAAAAAAGAAGTCAAAGTGTTTCAATGATTGGCTGTTGAGTGTGCTTTTCGAAAGTCAAGCATTTCTCGCATTCAAGTATTTTTTTTTCAGCATGTCGAGTAGAAGGGAAAAGTTGCAAAAAAGAAATTTAAATTTCCTTTGATTAAAGATCGTAAGTACGCCATTATCGTATTATGACATCAAGTAATAAGTCTTGACTATAGGATTACCTTTTTTTGTGGGGAAGGGAGCATAAACATCTCATTTAAGAAAATATATTATGGTCGAGATATCCTTAATTTACTAGTATCTCTTGATAACAACAAGGAAGCAAGTGAAGAGAGAAAAGGTCAGCAAACCCCTGAAGGCACAGCTAGTGTCTATTAAATTTGTATTACAGCTTTTTAATGAATATCAATGTGAGAATCTTGAAACTTCGTAAACAAGTGCTTGACCAGCAGATTGGAAGTATGAAGCTTATGAGACTGTTGCCTTCGAGCTAAAAGAGCCTTAAGTTCAGCATCGGCTTGTCTAATTAAGGTTTCCCTGAAATAAAATTACTTTTAAATGATCAAATGGTTAGAAACTTCGAGTCTTCATCAATAGAAGCTTAGAACTTCCTCATGCCTCTCACTCATAAGTATAGCCTTCAATCAGTAATAAGGAACATAAGCTTGAAATAAATTGGTTTCTGTCCTTATGCTTTCATTATGTAGAATCAAAAAAGCTGAAAATCTCCCTCGCTGTCGTATTTATAATTATTATTCAATTAAATTGTGTATTTACCGTGCTTCTCATTCATCCTCTACCGACAAAAGCATTACATTCTCCGACATTAGAATGACCGCTTCCATGATTTTTCAAAATTAATTCCTCGAATGTCATTGAAACAGCAAAATTAAATATTTAAAGCACAAAAAAAAATTCATTCATATTAAAGAATTCAGCGAGTCTCTCACACCATATTCCAGAAAGATTTACCTTAAAATTCCATATTCGAACGATTCTAACATTTTTCAGATCGTAAATTTTATAAGGTTGTAAGACGCGCGGCTCAAGAAGAAAGCATAAAAGCGTAAAAGTTGAAATTTAATTAAATTTCATATTGTGTGTAGCTTCATTCATGCTTAAATTATATTAATTTGTTTAAACTTTGATTAATAAGCATCAAAAAATAACGAGGCAGAAACAAAGGTCGTAAGGAGATAAATTTTGAGGAGGCAATTTAAGCGCATTGCAGATGGAAGTGATTATTTTTAATTAATTGGAATTATTCTACAAAATTAACGACTTTTTTGAATTTGAGTAAATGAATGAACGTTTAATTATTTTTGTTACTGAACACATTCTCACCCCAAAGAGATTTTTGCAATTTAAATGCCATAAATCACCAATATTCAATAACTTTAACTTCGAACGTCGTAGAAAAAAGTGGCACAAATACATTGCAGTACCTTAAACCTACGAATATCTTCAAATTGTCGATCCATGAATCATTTTTCACACCACTCAAAATGAATATGAATTTGTAATTTGATTCAGCACAACATGCTAAAAAATATTCATATTTACCGCATTCAGAGTTTTTGGAAATTAAATTCATTGAAGATTCATGCGGCGGATGATGTAAGGAGAAATAATTGGTAAACTTTTTGTACATTCTTGAGAAAGAAAATTAAAATTTCTACATAACTTTTGCTGCGAACAATAAATGGATTTCCATTGCTGATAAGATAAATTTACCATTTATTGCTCTTTTAATTTCTGAAATCCTCCTTAACCATTATCAATAGAACCATCAAAATGATAAGACAAGCTACAAAATAATTGTGGTTTTCCAAAAAAAGTAGCTAGAACGTTCGTCAATTTGTCAGGACTGCGAACTAGATTTTAGTTGAAGGTAAGGACTTAGTATAATACCTAAACCTAGCGTCTTCAATGTTTCGAAAGTTTTTGTAAAACTTTTATATCCTTGAATAAATTTTATGGCAAACACAATGTTATATCCAAACTATATCTTTAGTTTGCCCATGAAACCGAGCCCTGCAACTTCTTTAGTATCTAATCAAGCTCCATTGATTGAAGACAATCATATTTCAAAAATTTTAATGACAAAAAATGCGCCGATGTTATCAGTTCCAGATAAAACTAATTCCTTACTAGGCTGACTTTGGGAATCACAATATATTTTTTTTTTATTTCCAGCCGTTAAGTGGCAGTTTACTATAAAATTGAACCAACACAGCACGTCGTAATGGAGCAACTTTTTATTTCACTATTCCTAGCAATTTTTATTTTAACAGGACCAAGTTCATGTCAATCCATCGGTGATGTCTGTAGATTCAGAATTTCAGGCACGTTTCCTCACCCAAATCCACAACGATGCGATCTTTATGTTCAATGCTTTGTAAGTATAAAAATTTTATACGGTGATATATTGTCTTTTTAAAATAAAAGAAAGATGGGAAATGGAGGGTTGGAGTATAATGTCTATAGGGAATTGATCATTTTTCATGTCATTTAAAGTTATTTCAAAGCATAGAACAACAGTGTCCGCCCGGTACAATATTTCCACCAAATGAGAGTCAGTGTGTGCCTGGGGATCGGTAAGAATCACCAAAAGTTGTATTGAATAATTTAGACAATTTCAATAAAATTAAATATTTTATGTTATAGGGATACATGTACAGTATTTCCACCACAGACTACCACTTCCTCTCCTTTGACTACAACACAACAGCAAACAACAATAAATCCAAATATTTGTGAAACGATTCAGGGAGGAACGGGTGTAGTGGAAATTCCTGGTGATTGTACAAGATATCTCTTGTGCATCCTTGGTGAAGGAACTTTTATCAACTGTGCTAACACTGAAGTCTTTTATCCTACGGAAGGTCGTTGCGTTCCCGGTATGTAATATCAAAAATGTTTTCTTTGCATAATGCACATCCATCTGCTGGAATGTCTGGTTAAAATGAATGTCAGATAGGAAGTTAAGACGTCTAAAATTTGGAGAAAAGCAAGAATCACTACACATCCAGAAAGAAGAATTTTAAACATTTTTCTCGACACCTAGACCATTGGAAGCATCAAAAATATTCGATATATATTCACATACATTCTTATCTATTGTATATCTATTGAAATTTTCAGGTAATCCTCTCACGTGTGAGGTATTTACAACAACAACAACTACAACGTAAGTCGATAGAATAAGAAGAAGGAAGAATGCGAGAAAATTTGAATTTTTATCTCTTATGAAATTTATGAATATTTTTCTTTATAGAATGACTACTTTACCTCCTCCGACAACAATAACAACAACATCAATTCCGACGTAAGTAAGAGTGAAAGGATGGAAGAAACTTTATTTTCTATTTCCAAAGCGATGAAATTTCCTTTTTTCCGGCACAAGAGTTAAAGCATCAGAATAAAACTTTTTTCGTATCTTTGATTTAGCACTTCAACGACTTTACCCACAACGGTTTCCTCATCAACTCCGTTGTCGCCGCCAATAGGAAATGTCTGTTCAGGAAATAATTTCCGGTTTGTAGCAAACCCAGATGTGTGCTGGAGATACTACTTCTGCTTGTATGGAATACCACAGCCAAGAGAATGCGTTCGAGGTTATATTTTTATTGAGATGCTCCAAAGTTGCGTACCTGGAAATAGAAGTACATGCAAGCCATTTATAATGAGATTAAGTGAAAATGTACAGCTCTTGAATTTTTCAAACCGATTTTAATTTTATTAGTACCCTGTGTGTATTTACAATTTTTTTTCTATGTTCTTTTCGTTCATTAATCATGCCTCTTTCGACTCTCTTCTTCCATCATGTCTTGTTGTCTTTATTTTGTAATTTTTTTTCATACTTTCTTTCTTTCTATCTCCCTTTTTTTTTATTTATTTCTTCGTCTAACGTTGAGCAAAAATAATGAAAGAGAGATGTAGGAATCTACAGTGTTTGAATTATTAAAATGAGCTTTCTTGATTCAAAAAATGTTTGTCGATTTATTTTTGTACAATTCTAAAATAAATTCCGTTGTTTCGTACTTCTTACTTCTTAATAATTTTTTTTTGTCATGAGTTATGTTTCTTATAGGGGTCGTTTATAAATGATGTTTTGAAATCAAGTAGATTTTTATAAATCATTTCTGTAGCATTGATCTGATTTAATATCTTTAATTCTCGGCATAATAAGTAAACGACCCTTATTCCTATCAACCAATTGCTTAAAAATCTTTATAAGAAAATATTTTGAGGTGTAACAATTCTATAAGTCTATAAACTTAATTATTCATTCAATTACAGACTACAAATCATGAATTCATCATGAAGCTATAACCTAATCTACCCAATCCAATTATTATTGAAGATAAAATCAACTTAGAATACTAAAATCTTATTGACCTCAGGTTTTTTTGTAAATCATTTATGATATTGCGAGGTTAAGTTTGTTTAAAGGAACAAAGACGACTTACATCATTAAGGTTTAATTCTGGGAAAGTCATTTGATTATGAATCAATAAAATCAGAAAATCTGGATAAGTCAAGACTAATCTCAAATTTAAGTCAAATTCCATTATCAATGAATGTCCCCATCGATAAAAGCCATCCATTAAAAAAGTTTTCAAAACAAAAAAACTTTCACTCGACTATAAAATTTAAGCAAAAAATCATCAAAAACACATAAAATAACTGGAAAAGACAGAAGAAAAAAAATCGCAAAATAATCAAGCCTGACTTTTTAAAACACTGAAAAATTAAAATAAACGATCGCAAAAAAATGAAAAATGAAAACAATTTTTTCCCGTTTTCCTTTTTTTTCTATTTTGTTGCCACACATGAAACTACCTGTATGTGCTGTATCGTATAATATAGTATGTGAGATTTAAAGTGTAGTGAGATATGAGAATTGAGATAACAGCAGCAGAGAGAAGAAAGGCAAACACAAAAATCGAGAAATAAAAGTGTGGAGAGGAAAAAAATCAATTTTTCATTTTCATTTTCAGTTAGTGATGATTTTTCTGCAAATATTTATCTCTTTCCAAATAACCATAGTAATGGCATCGGTTAGAAAAAAAAAGGAAAAATTTCGTGTTAATGGCAGGAAAATGAAAATAAAATAAAGTTTTTATCATGCAGACTATACTGTCTAGGTCTATGTTTATAAATTTATTTATTTTTGATGATATTTTATTTAAAACAAGTTTCTTGTTCCTAATCATTTGTTTGAGCTAGAGAATGTGTTGGTCAAAGGACCGAGTCACATGATGGTAATGAAGATTAATCACAAAGGTACTTTTGGGACATTTGAAAGTCATCATTCATGATTTTTGCGGAAAGTATGTCAACTTTTTCAATTTTAGGCAACTTCTTCAATCATTTAATAGAGACTTGAAATTTTCAAGTTGAAAAAGATTTTTCGCATTTCTATTTCCATGACCATTTATTGCAATGCTCAATTTCAGTCGTTTTTTATTCTATAGAATCAATAGTATATCCGATTAGATTCAATCTTTTCTAAGAAATTCAACAGCACAGCACATTTTATCATGTAGCTTATATGCACAACTGGATCTCTAAAAGATTCAATTTAAGCAGGATTTCACGAGAAGTGCAGACAAATGAAAAAAAAAAACTCAACAGCACAGATGTAATAATGTTGTCATCATAACCTCATGACAAGCAAAAATCAGGCAGGAAAATAACTCGGTTACCATGAATTGCTACTTCCATAAATACAAAGATACACTAGCATAGTAGAGACTTAAGCTGTTTTGAAAGGATTGAAAGCGAAATAAAAGCTTATTCATCCATTTAATGGATATATTGATCACCCTTTCTGCACCGTCTTTTCAATGCTTTTACTAATCTTACGGCAATAAATCTAAACTTGCATCACTTGAAATATGAGCAATGACTGTGTATTGAGTGGGAACAAGAGTTGTGGGAACAATTAGAAATATTATTTATTTTTGTAATCTCTTCTTCCTTCCTATTCAGAGTAAAAAATGAGCAAAAAAAAATTTCTTATTATCTGCCAAAGATAGACATTACTTCCCGCATCTTTAAGAGGCGCTTCTCCATTTATATCATTTTTCTTGCCTTTATTTTGTTCGGTTCATCATTCAACCTTTTTTCAATACACAAAAGAAGTGAACGAGGGAAATGTGAAGGCCGAAAACTTTTGGGGAGATTTCTTGCCTTCTCAGAAAAGGACATGCACAATACAGTACACAATTTTTTGGATTCCTTCCTTTTAGCTTTAATGTAATCCATGTTAAAAGCTTTTAAAGCTTTTTGTGTCCCATAATTCTTTATTACTATATTGGAGCTTTAATGATAGGAAATTATCGTGGAAACCTTAAAGCAGATTATGTGTATAATTCATGGTAATTTCCGGATTTTGTGTGGGAAGATGCCGTAAAATAAACTAAATACGTGCTTCGTGTGAGTTTTGGAAGATTTAAGTAGACATTCGAATAGAAATTTTAGGCATAATGCTTTTCTTGTTACAGCTTTAAAGATCCAGTTCAGCTTATGAAAGAAAATTGTGATGACATGTCTAACCATAATTTTTGACACTAAGCTACTTCAAATTTAAAATCTGTCGCGGAATGTCAATCGGAAAATTTTCTTCTGTCTTAGAAATGACAGACATATGTATACATAATATTCAAGCCAATATTCACATCAACCGTTGTCAGTAACATATTTTTGAGAAAATGAGGCAGGTGTATTATTAAGGATAACGTTCTTCTTATAAAGTACTCATATTGAAATTTTGTTATTTGAGGGTTTATCCAAGGGTTGAAAGCTTTATTAATGCTCATAAATTTCAGTCAACTAGATTTAACTTAAACTATTGACTAGCTTGATCCTACAAACGTAATTTCAAGCTACACTTCTAGCTATGAATATCCTTCACATTCAAAATACAATAAACTAGCTACTTGCTCCAAAATTCAGCCACAGTAGTCAACATCAGGCATAAAAAATTCAATTCTAAATTTCATCCAAGATGATTAAAAATTGACAAAATTACCCTTTCAGAAACTCAGCCTCAATTTCATCAGAATGGATTGTTAAGAACAACATTCTGCGAAAAGTCTCAACAGAATCTAATGCTCATTTCTTTTAATGTTCTATTATTCTCCTTAATCCAAGACTTGAATGTTTTTTTTTTGCAAAACCAGTGCGTAACATACGACTTTTCCGCACATCATCATGAATAATTCAGAGACTTAAGAAAAAGGATCCAAGATATGGCATCAGATATACGATTTTCTACCCCATTATTAATATTTAAAATTGAAATTTAAGCTATAGAAATATCTTCATCCCTTGACTGAATAATTGTACAAAGGTATTTCCTTTCTCTTCCTTCCAACGGTTGGTGTATACACGTATTACCGTTTCGTGTATGTCTATACGAACTTGTATGTGACTCTATTTATCATTATCTTGTGTTATTTATTGCAGGTCATTATCTGAAATTACTTTGGAATCCGCCTTTGCTTGTCGTACAACAAAGAAAATTTTCTTAAGTCTCTTTTCTTTCTCATCTCATTCTGCTTAATAATTTACGATTCTCATTCTTCCTTAAAAGTCCCTTTGTGTCCTCTCCATCATTTCCATTTTTCAAAAAAAAAAATGTGAAACTTTTAACTTCCTTCATTTTTCTTGCCTTCCCGACGACTTCTCTACTTCTTTATTGTGTGTACTTTATTTAAATATTTTTCTGTGTTCTGTTGGAATGGCAAAAATGAAATGAAAAAAAAATAATTTGAGATGTGAAAAATCTTAAAAGACAAAATGCTTTCCTTATCTTCTTTCTCATTCCTCTTAATGCAAATAGGAAATGTAAATCCCTTGGAAAAATTTTACTGGAAACAGTGTCTTCATTTACGAGGTTAGTGACACAGATTGTAAACATCATCAGCAAATGCTAATGATAATTGAGGTTTCTGTCTGTTGATGGATGCTTTCCAGCCTTTTTCTATTACTCCTTCTTGTCTGTAAGTTCAATTTCATTGACATCATGTTGGTCACAGTTTTTTTGATTGACATTCGTAAACTTGTTGAAGTCCTGTCAATTTCCTTTTTACGGATACACAGATCATTTTCTAAATCTATATCCTCAAAAGTAGTCTGGCAACATATTGAGTCAAACCTAACAAAATCTCTCCAAAGGAACCTTTTTGTTTTGAAGTAAAAACTTTTCTATCCTTATTCTCATACTTTTTCTCATCTACATAATTTACTAATCTACACTCATCAATCATAGTCCGCATGATGACCTTAAATTCTAAATTTATTTTTATATTCTTATGTATACATTGTTATTTACTAAAGATTACAAATATATTTCGATGACTCGATGCTTTTTTGTGTTCCTTATTTCTTTCTTATCTTTACATCTTTACATTTTCCATTTCAATTTTTTTACACTGACCAGAAAAATGGGTTTTTAGCGCAATTTAAGTTTAAGCTGATCGGATTACAACATGACATTTTGTCAAAACTCCAATTGCTCATTGGGCTGGAAAAGTAATGTGGAAGATGATTCAGGCGTAAAATAAATTTTCTTTCCGGAATAGACCGGAAATTTCTCATCGGAACTTATTATTTAATTTCAGCCGTAGGCGGTAAATGAAATCGGACAGCAACGTGAAATTTTAACGGAAGGAGGTTTATTGAGTTCATTTTTGGTATTGAAGCTTCATTGTCATGTGTAGGCTTTGTGACGATCTCAATTAGTGTGGAAATCGATTCATAAAAATTTAATATTTAATTAGTCATTCAAGGAAGTCCAAGCACATTCAAATTGCAATGCCACGTATGAAAATACTAATGCGCTTCCAAGCTTAGTTCCTCTACTTTCAATATTTTTCAGCCGGGGTAATGAGGGACGTAAAAGCTCCATTTCTATTAAATTTTTATATCCATTCAACCATTTGAAAGTGGTTTGTCGTTCTTCTTATTTTATTCTCCTATTTTGTGTATGTCTTTTTATTCTCGGGCAGGATTTGATGGGATTTAGATAAGAGGAAATTTGTCTTACATTTCTATATTATTAAAGTCAATATTGACTCAATTGAGTCTCTTTTCTTTTATTCATTCGGCATTTTCTCGCCCATATTAGAAATGTAGCCTTCCTTTAATGGATATGCTCTTAGAGTTCTAATTCAGAACGTGACGTGACGATGAATTTTGCTTTAATTTTACTCACTTAATTTTATTAAAACACAGGGGAATTTCTTTAATACTTTAAGTTGCTTCTTTTCCTTTATAATGTAATTAATTCATTCCTTTTAGAAGTTAATTAAAGTTATGAGTTAATGACTTTTTTTCATTGTATCATTTTTTAAGTAGTAATTGACATTTACACAGAGTCGGGATCTTCTTATAACACAAAAAGAAACTTTTTTTTTCTTTATTACTTTATAAGCAGGACATTTTCCAAAAGCACAACGAAGCTATTTTGACACTTTGCTTGTCTGACTTTTTACACGATTGTAAACACAAAACTTAAAGCTAAGGAAATTGGTCTAAAGAGTGACAGTTCTGTTGTTTTTGTTCAAAAGGATCCTTCCTTTTTAATTAGGAATATTATGCATGCAAGATTTAACTTCCATCTACATTAATCAATTAAAAAATTGTCAAAACTGACGGAAAATCTTTTAAGGAAGGTATCTAATTTTATGCAAATTTCTAGAAAATTGTTTGTTGGTCTTTTAGTCTACAATTTATCATTTTAAATGGAGTTCCTTGCCTTAAGGCAATCAAGCGTCCGGTTTTTATTAAATGATGGACTTTAGATATTACATCATCATGATGCTGCGAATTTATGAAGCCTGTCCATTGAATATGCTAATAATTCATAAAATTTGACTTAACTGCTCCAAAAAGATCTGACATTAAAGCCAGTGTCACAATAAACTCAATCTGGAAGTAAATTTACAGCATTATGCGATGAAAAATGCTCTGCCTTCCAATTTACATATAAAATTGATGACTTCATTACTAGATTTCTGTTTCATGTTCTGCTATTTCCATGTGTATATTACTTTTAAGTATTCAATTATATTTTACTTGCTCTATACAGGAAAGCGGCAAAATTTTCGAGTAGGGATTAAAAATGATTGCTTCAAAAAGAATTAATGAGATTTTCCATCCATGCTCATCCACTAAATTCATCATGAATTTTAAATGTTATCGCAGAAAATTATCATAATGACCTTAATAATTAATATTTGCTTGCTTTTGCTCGAAATCCTATTCAATTATCATTTCGGGGATGTTCAATTTAATTTTTTATGAAGCTTTAAATTGTTCCAAAAAATGCTTCACACGAGCTTTAAATGCAAACAGTGAAAAGGAGTAAAGCAGCTTGTGTGATTTAATTTGAATATTGCGTGTTACAAAACTATTTAAAGCTATTTGTGGGTGAATGATAAATTGAAAGCGGTACGGTATGAATAATGTTCGTTTAGCACAATCATCGGATTAAATTGATTTTATCAATGAATTTTTAAGATCCACGTGTTTCATACGTTTTTATGTTATAATGCTAAGGACCTTTTGTGCACGTGGATTGAAAGTTTTCGGATCTTTAAACCTTCTTCTTGTTATCGTTACGTCTGCAATATTTACAGAAACTTTATAGCCGTCAGAAAATCTCGTATGCAACGTGCAATTTATGAAGAATAATCTATGGAATCTTAAAAACGCATTAGCTTAACGTTGCTACAAAGTTCAGCTATAAACTGAGAAATCACATGCTTAAGACTCTTTGGGACAAGAATGTTTAAGTGTCAGTCCTTAAAGGTGGTATTTAACACCCACAAGAGCATTTTTATTTTACTGAAGTCAATGGAATGAAAATGTTTTCAAGAAAAGGTCAAAGATATAGGTTTCAGTTTTTTTGAAAGAATTAAAATGGACAACTTATATCCAGTTACAATCAAATCTTTAGATATATCAAAATTTAACCTTTTTGTATTTTTTTTAAAGAGCTCAGCTCCCGCAATTCTTGGGAGCTTTAATTCAAAGTTTTGAAACTTTACTCAGATTTCTTCCCGATATGTCAGAAACTTATTCGGACATTCAACAAAAGGAGATGTTTCTGACTTGACTGATAAAATTTTCTTTTATCTTGTGATCAAAATTTTTCTCAAAATGTTTTAACCTAGTTTTCAAATAAATCTTCATGCTTTTAATGTAAATAGCAAGTTAACACTCAGCAACCATTAAGGAACATGTACCTGATTCTAGATTCTAAGTGATTGCTGAAAAATAATAAAGATGGATTTAAGAATGTATCTGAAATTGAGATGATGATTTCATGCTTTTTTAATGATTCATGAATGAAGCCTATCGAGTGCTAACTAGTTCCAATTATTGTATTAAAGATAATTTAAAACCACATAAGTTGTACTATTTTTGGAATTTTTTTTTCTTTCAAAAAAACTTTATTAATTATTTAGTAAAGATCAGAATCCATAGTCGTGCTTAATGTACAATTTTTTGGTGCTTATTTTTAATCCTTACTCGAAATTTTTTCCAATTTATTAATTTTTTTTTTTTTCGTTTGTGTTAAATTTTCTTTTTTGTGCATAATTCTGTGTCTATTTGAAGTTTACTTATTTATTTTTTCAGTCTATCAACATTTTTTTATTCAATTAAATTTACTTGAATCTAACAATTTATTTCTCGTTATTATTATTCATCTTATAATTTTTTTTATCTTCTTTATAGGACTCAAAAAACTAGGATTATTCTTCATTTTAAATGAGGAAAACATTTAATTAATTTTTATTTTCTTTTTTTTTCCTTAAAAACAATTTTCATTCTCATTTTTTATTCACATAATATGTGTGGCCTGAAACTTTTTCATTTTCATCTGAGGGTATTTACATTTTTTTTTGTGTGTGTATCATTCTTTTAAAAAAAGAAATCTCTCGTCTTTTTATTTATCTACGCCCCAACCACAAAATGAAATGAGTGAATGTGGATGGGACGGGGAGGGGAAATTGAATTTGATTTTGATATTCATAAATTATGTCACGCATACTTTATGCAAATCATTGCATGAAATAAAATTATACATAACAACTTCTTTGCAATAATATTACTCATTCTTATCATACATACGTGACGTGATTTATTAGCGTGTAAATTCTTATCAAGAATGGAACAATTCTATACGATTTTATGTAATTTCATAATGTGGACTATACGCACAATCAGCTAAGTCGTTTCGTTGTTTTTGAATATTGGAATGAAGTCGAATGAAAAAATTGTTAAAGTTGACAAAAAATAAAAGAATTTACAGACTTTTTGTTTTTGTTTGAATTTTGTAAAATAGATTTTGAAATCTGTTACGAAAAAGAATTGAGGAAGTAAATGTAAGGAAAGCAAGCAAAATTGTGAAAATTTCGAATAATCTAATCATAAATTTATGAAATACGAAATCCGATGTTTTGTTTGAGTTTCTCGTGCATGTTGTGTCATATTTACTTGAAAAATTGACTAGATTCTATTGGGGTTGTTAAGAATGAGTTTGTAGGTCTGGGATTTGAGTCAAGGAACTTATTTTTTTGATTTCAAGTAGTGATTGATTTTATTAGATTTTCTGAATCAGCTCTAATTCTGGAAATAACCCAAATCTGCTGAATCAGCATAATCAAGCTAAAGTTCCCTAAAATGATTGAATTCACTAGAATAAGCAAGTAGGTCGTATGAGGAAAAAAATTCTCATAGAAACTTATTAAATCCAAATAAAACACAACAAACTTCGTCATCATATGTTAGTTCTCAAAACTTTCACGACTCCCTCCATCTCTACCACAATATTCTTTTCCATGAAATTACATAAACATATCGATCCCATAAATATCGCAAAACTTTTCCCTTCCATTTCCAATCGCAATTTATCTATAAAAAAATGAAGCTTCTTTTTATGCATTGAGCAAGCTTTCTATCATTAAAACCATTTTCTCTCACATACGTTTAAGTGATAAAAGGAAATACATAACATTACAAATTCTAAGATTTCATTCATGGACGTTTCTTTTACTTTCTTCCGTTTTATTTTTGGAGATTTATAATTTTTTTTTTTTGATTCTATTCATGTGTATGTAAGTGTGTGTGATTTGGTTTGTGAGTTCTTCCTATCATTAATGGATTATCATTCATTTTCCTAAATGAACTTAAATAGTTGTATACAGTTGAATAAATGAGAAACGAGCAGAAGCACTCTTGAAGTGTGGGATGAAAATGTGGTCTAAATTGTCAGGAAAATGTTCAAAACTTGATGGAAAGACTGAGAATTTTTTAAGGTTAGAGTTATCTTACAGCAGACTTTGTCGGTTTCTTAAAATTGTTTTGTTTCCACCTAATTCAAGCTACCTTTAAACCTATTCAGAATCATTAAAGCCTAACAATAAAGGAATGAACTTCACACGAAAAGCAAATCAGCTTATTTATTATTTTTAGTCATTCAAAACCTTAATTAATAAGCTGACAATGAGCCTTTATAGAACCAAAAATAATCCGCTTAATTAGCACAAATTCATCTTCTTCATTGTTGAATGTACAAAGCAATAAAGAATTTAACATATCAGAATTGTCATCAACCTAATAAAAATTCAAATTTCGAACATTTTCAGCTAAATCCAGATCATTTTCAAGTGGTAAGAGAATGAGTGGGATTGAAGGAACAAAAAAACCAAACAACTTTAATGGAAATTGAAATGAAAAAGCAGGGCGAGAGAGAGAGAAGGATAGAAGAAAATCGGAAGAAAGGGAAAAATGGAAATGAGCTGAAGAAGATAAAACTTTATTGTGCAAGAAACTTCGCTAAAATTGGATAAAATTTTTGAGCTCATAGTTTTTTTTTTGTATTCTGTATATATATGTTTGTGTTTCATAACATCAATCTATTATGCTTTCGTTTATTTCATTGTTTGAATCTCTTCTGCTGTATGTGCTTCAGTGATTTCTTCCCGTAAGCAATTTCCAATGGCATTCATATCATATATTTTTCATATATTTCTTTTTGACGTGAAAATAGAATTACTCATTTTTTTTTAATTCACTTAAGGCCTTTTGGTCCTAATTTAAATACATAAGTTGCGCTCTATATTTTTGTCATCATTGTTTTCTTTTTTTTTTTGTGTTTATGGAAGTGTATGTCTATGTAAGAAACCGCTTTTTTTATATTTTCTATATAATTAAATTAAAGAACATTCTTCTTCGTCGTACATTTTCATTCCTTGCGTCTCTATGCTAATATAAATAATGTGAATTTTGTCTATAATGATGATGACTGTTGTCATAAAATTTAATTCATTGGTGTTGCTTTTTTATATTCTTTTCAATTTCATCTTCATTGTTTTTCTTTCTTTTCGTTTTTTTTTTGTAGGATTGAATTTTCCTTTTCTACTTCTTCATGTGCTTTTTTTGTATAAATTTTCCTTCTGTTGGTGTGACATATTTTCTATCCAATATTATTCAATTTCTGATTCAATTTGCAATAAAAAGGCAAAAAGCGAAAACGGAGAACAGAGAAATAGTAGGACTTGTAAAAAAAATCAATTTTGATGCAAATATAGCGCATTTCCTTGGAGATTCAGACACTTATGTCATAAGTTCCAATCAATTTCCATTTTAATATTTATTAAGGTTTTTTTTTGAACAACGATTTAACGAATTTTAGAATATAAAAATTTGATAAAATCTCTCAACAATCAATTTGAGAATTTAACATTTATAGGCTTTATTTAAACACTCATGATATGAAATTCAATGGATCTATGTTACTTCATGCATATGTATAGGGATTAGATGTTGGAATATTTAAACATACCAGTTGAGTTGTCAGCAACAAAAGCTTCAATTGAGAGGAAAGTTATTCTCGAATATGAAGACTGATGAAGACATTCAAAATTTTTCGCTGATTCGCGAAACTGCAAAGCCTATTGAAAATGCTCAAAATTGCAAATTCTTTAAGTTTAAATAAACTAATATATGAATATATTATTAATAAACTGAATTTCGTAATAAGTTCACTCAACTGAGTTTTATTCGATAAGTGAAAATTCGCTGTGTCAGTATAATCAGCTGAAATTCGCTCAAAAAGCTGATTTTTTTTTTCAATATGCTAACCAAAACTGCTGATTAGATTAGTATTTGCATTATATAGATTATTTGAATTCTAATATTTAGCGTGATGTTCATAAAATAATCTCAAAATAGCCTTCCATATCCAGTGCCGTAGCTTAGGAGGTACTCCAGAGGAAGATTCTTTATGAATCTTGGTTTGGGGCCACAAAATTAAAGAACTGGTCTAACAAATTGTTTCTTGGTTGTTAACTCCGCATTTTTACACGTCTTGAATCACGAAAAAAATCTCTAAAACGTGTGCTTTTGCTAATGACAACACATTTCGCCTGATTTTTTTTTCAATTCCTCGACAACAGATTGCATGAAGTTCCATAAATTCATCCATGAAAAAAATCAATTGAAAATAATTGACAATTTTTATACGAACAGACAAAACGAATATAAAGCTCATTACTATCCCAAAGGAAATGCACTAAAAAAATCAAGCATGAATTCTTTTTTTCCATCCTCCTCCAATTTCATTCAATCCCTACTGACTTCTGCCTACATTTATATTTTTCTATTTTCTGCTCACCTTTTTTTTATATACTGTCTATAACACGTAAAAATTCAATAAATGAGCATTGAATCCACCGTTGTATGTTGCTTGCTTGCAGACGCTTGTGTGACAATTTATATATATAAAATTTGAAGAAAGAGATCAATATAAGATGGAACAGAAATGAAGAAATAGAAAAAAGAAAATGAAATTTTTTCATCATATAAAGCAAATTATGAAATGCTCAATAAAATGCTTAAAATCAATAACGCCATCAATTGTAAATAAGACGAAGATGACGTTAAAATGCTACATCCTAACGACGACGAAATGACATTTGGTGCAGGCGTTAGACTTTGTATTTTCTGTCTTGCGACTGTCGACTTCCATCTGACGGTGTATAATGGCGCTTGTCGTGTCATTGCTTGTATCTTTATGACAATTGTTTTTAAATTCCATGGAAAAGTAAATTGTTTGTGCTTATCGCGCGGACAAAATTGATGAATTAAAGCACCAGCGTGCTGATTCTCATCCTCGACTGGCGTAAATTCGTGAAGACTTATATTCCATGCTGTGCAACTTCTACTTTGATTTGATATTACCTTAATAAATAAACCAGAAAGTGAAAGTAGAAATAGATATAGTATTATATGATGAAGATGATAAGGTACACAACAGAAAAAAAGGCGAGAGGGATAATCATAATGATGATCATAAAAAGATGATAAAAATAAGATTAATGATGTGTACTTAAAAGCTGTTAAAAAAGTTGGTGACAATGCTTTATTTGGATGATGAGAACGCATTTTCTTATGGTTACTGACCGGTTCGAAAGTTTTTGGTGTCACAAGATTATAGTTCATTATGAGTATGAATTAAGTGTGAAAGCTTCAAAGTAGAGTACGGAATTCGATATCATATTTAATAACTGCCTTTCTCTAAAGGATGCTCCATTAAATAGCCATAATTATAATATCAACTATTGTGACCTTTTCAAGTAGCCATGAATCTGAGTAGGTGACGCAAATTATTCGTAAAATCGCTGTCAAGGTTACCATCCGGATGATTTAACAAAGGAAAGCACTGCCAACATAATTATGAGCCAATATTGTATCTTTTAAAAAACATAAATTTTCGGCATTGTCACAGAATTGCTATAGAAATGAAGCATAACTGTGTCACAATTAAGGCTCGAATAGATACACGTGCTAATTTTGAACACGGATCAGAAAAATCTTAAGATAAATTTATATTTATGACGTTAAATCCAAGCTTTAGGGCCTTCATCGCACAGAAAAGCTAAGGGCACCATATAAATCTTTAATTGACTCACACTGACTAGGAAATTCCTACGAGAAAAAAATTTTGAGCTATAAAAACATTTTAACGAGTTTCACAAGAATATCAACAAAATTAATTGAAATTCAAGTGGCACACGCATAAATATACATTCTTTAGAGAATGTATAGCATTAGCTTTTTTGTGCGTAAGCCTATGTATGTATGTATAATAATTATGTTGATGAGTTTTCTTAGGAAATTATTCAAATTTTAACTAATGGAATAATTTGTGAAAACTCTTCCTAGAATATTTTAAATCAGCAATAGTAAGTTTCTAAAAATGGCATCGACTCCTTACAATCTGATATCAATACAGCTCAGACAGGCGTTCACTTAAAGTGAATATATTACCACATTTATTTCCCGAATAAGAAAAAGCTCATACATCAAAATATTCTACAAAATATTTATTTTCTACCTACCTCAATCATCAGCTGCCTTTCAGTATTCGAGTCTAGTATCCACAAACATTGCTGATGATAAAATGAATTGAGTGAAAATGCTTGTGAAAAATTGCGTGAATGAAGCTCGCTGGATTGCAATGTAAATGTTTTTTTGCCGCACATTGCATCTGTAAAGAAATTATAGGATGCCCTATACGTAAATCCTTTTGTACTCCATGAATAACGTGCAATTGAGTATACTAATTTAATTGGACTCCAACTTCTTAATGATACTGGAAGCCAATCAGGATGGAAGTTACCACATAAACAATTGATTGGTTGATTATCATCGGTCATCATCATTAAATGATCAATATTCTCAATTGAGTTAAGTCCCGTCAAACATTGACATCCACCGTCACCGCAAACAGTTTGACAATCATTATCTGTCCCTAAACGATCCAACATCTCAATTGTCAATGTGATACTTTGATTTGCAGCTGGAATAAAGTAATGTGAGCAATTTAAGCTTCCTTCGACATTCCAAAACAGATGCTCCGTTCCCGGTCCTTCAACCGAACCATATTCTGGCGATGATAAGCCATAATGATGCATGTCACATAACGAATATGGTTGTAATGTTCCACTTTGCTCCTCGTTATGAAAAAGAAAAGCACCATCGACAAATTCAATATCGTTTAAATCTTGCGGCGGACCAGCTCTTCTTAATACAATAATCATTTGATTTCCGGTCGATATGAATGTTTGTGGCGGTATGAAAACTCCCATTTCATTTCGAGCCTTTCGAGTTACCGGTGAGCTACACGCATGAATAAAATAAAACGAGAGAAAATAAAATAAATTCAAATTCCAATGTGTTATTTGCTATAGCATTAGTAATGGCTATATCACAAAGCTATTTTTAAAGAACTTTTATATGTTTATTTACCATAATTTTAATAGAGACTTTTTACGTGCATTGGGATCGATTATCTCAATAACACTCCGACATGATGTAGATCTACAAAGAGGAAAATGATTTGGTAATAACAAGTCAATATGAGAAATAGTATGGAAGTGCTTGATGCTGTGTGATGTTATGCGCATTTTTTTAATATCGATGGTCAATATTAATGGAAAATTTGATGCCATGTTACAATATATTTCGTCACAAACAGGGGACAACTCTGATTACAAGAATGCCTCCCTTTAAGCTCTCTTTATGGATATTGTTTCAATTACAACAGAAATGAATCGATTTTCGATTTTATTATTGAACACCCTCAAGGCACTCAAAAAACGAATCAAACATCCAAAGCAAATTTCTCAGAAACAAAACAAAATTAGCCTTTGCCTTGTGTTGGTTGCTTGGGAGAAGAGGATATTTGAAAAATGTTAAGAAAACACCCATAACAAGAATGCACGACCCTAAAAAAATAGAATATTTTCTACAAAATAGCATCATAAACTTGACAGACAGACTTAAAATAATCTACACCTCCTCTTCAATTATAGAAATGGCCCATTCAAAAAAAAATGGAGATGAAAATATATTTTTTATGTCAGCAACATGTGTCAATGAAAAAGAAGTCTGAATATTTTATTCTTCATACATACTTGAGCCTATAGTTGAAGAGCGAAATGTGCACAACCTCATTAGTTTTTCCTTTGAATATTAATCGACAGCTGTTGGCATAGGATCTCGTTCGTGAGTCAAAATGTCCTGAGCGTCCACCGTATTGCTCTGATATCACCTGATCACAAGGTGTAAACTTTGGTGGTGGAGTCGCATGTTCACTTGGGGATTCATGAACATGAGCTGGCTCAATCTCAAATGGCATTGTTGGTGTGAGGGTAGTCGTTATACCTTCGATGAATGTGAGTGTTGCAGAGAAGCCATTATAATCGAATGGTGGAATTTGATAACCCGAATTAAATTCAACTAATATATTTGGACCTGAGAAAATTAAATCTCTGATATATGTCGAAGTATTAAGGCATGGCATGAAAAAGGAAAGTGGAAAAGATAGAATAATAAATTGTATAAGTAAAAGTTTTTCGCTTTCGTGATCAATTTTTGTTTTTTATGCTTACTCTTTCTTATCCTGCCCGCAAATTGTAGCAAGTCGTTCTGAGCCAGGAGTAAGTCCCTCATAAACGGCAATATAATGTGTGCTACAATGCCTGAATAAATAATAAAACGTAATTAAATACAACATCATCATGATGATACTTTACTGCTGCTTTTTTTCCTTTGTTATTGTCGAGCGCATCAGTTCCGAGTGATACATATTAAAACTTGGAGTTGTTTTTATTGACAATAGACTTTTATATTATAGAAAATTGCTGAGTGTTGAACCAACAAAACGAGAAAATATGCTTGACTAGCTAATTCTTTCTAAATATACATTCTGCATGCAACATTTATATTGCCTTAATATGTTAAATTTATTAAATATGTTGAATATAAAAGCTGAATTAGCTAAATCAGTGAAACATGCTGAACTCACAAGTTCAGGAATAGCACACAATTAGAATGCATCGCTCGGAGCTGGTCGTTAGTGCCATCAATGGCTGAATAAACATTAAATTTATAGAAATAAAAAAAAACTTACTCTTGGGGCAGTAACAAGGAATTAAATGTTATTTTCACTTTTGTATGTACAGACGATGTCGTTATATGATATCCTTGAGATTTAGAGTTAACGAAAAAAGAGCAAAATTTTTATTAAAATAAAATAAATTATGAACGTTCAGGGGGGGGGGGGGGGGAGGGTGTGAGTTGTAACATAATGTAACAAGGGGGGGAGGGGGGTGAAAAAATCAGTTTTTTTGCGTAACGTAATAAGTGAACGGCCCCTGAGCTTCAAAATTTTTTCAATCATTTTGTGGATGTTTTTTTAGATGGAATATTTATTGAAAAAAGAAACTAAAATGAAGAAACAAAGTTCTCGTTTATAAGAAACTTTTTCGTTTGAAACAAAATTTAATTAATATTTCCTAAAAGTTTTCTATTTACTATATGAAAAATTAATATTGATAACGGCTTCCTTTCAATGAACATTTTTGTTGCTAGAACTACCGAGAAATGAATACTTAAAGGGTAGGATTAAAAGTTTCAGGGAGAAGAAAATTTAGAAATTGAACATTTTCAATATTTTGAAGATTCTGCACTTAAAAGCTTTTGATATTTAAATAGATTGAAGGGTTGCTCAATGAAATCGATTCTGCAAGCATAATGAGTTCGGTTAAATTTCCATGGTAAAGTGCAATTTTCTGGATATTTCCTGAAACTTTTTAAATTGATTTTGATCTAGGGATTTAAATTTCTTCGTATGGGTGCTATCCAAAGCAACAATTGAGTATTTATAGCACTTTACTTACGACATATTTTATTCCTTCCATAAATTCCTGGAAAACCGGGACTTGCAATAGCACATGCTGCCTGACCCCGACACAAATGATCATTATATGACCAATCACAATCCGTCGAACCAATCTTTTTACCTATAAGTTTTTGTTTACATAAGATATGAAGAATGTAGATAAATTACCATGCCAAGCATTTTTACGAGAACAGAATGAGAAAATATATTGCTCCTCAGCATAAATACTGCCGACTGAAGCAGTACATTTTCATTCAAAATCGATATAGCATAGCTCAAACTCACCCCCTTTTGGATGAAAGCCCACAATTGGATTTGATAACGATGTAAAGCTAAAATATGCAAGAAATTGCGATCGAACTGTCTTCTCCGTAATCCTACCGAAAAATAAAAATATTTATTTAATTTTTGTTTCGATAGAAAATAAAAGTAAAATTGCGAGGAAAATGCGAAGAGAAAATTTTCATTAAAATTTTATGCAAATAAATTTTAGCATATCAAAAATAAAGGGAAGAGGATATACTCGTAGTGAAAATTGATTACAGCAAGTCAGTGACAGCAGACAATTCTGTAAACTGTCTAAACAATTGATTTTTCATAAACTTAGCTTTTAAAGTTTCAATTCCTGTTGAAAACATATCCTCGCATTTTTAGAATGTTTAACTTACTTGAACAGAAGCGTTGTTATTCCATCGTCAGAAAACAACACAGCTGGAGGAGAATACCGCTCATTTACTCCACACAATTCTGCACCATTATATTCCGCATCATCAAGTCCGCTGAATCGTAAAAAGCCACCCTCACATCTACCGTTGGAATAAAATTAAAATTAAAATTTTATGTCTTAATATGTAGCAGACATTCTTCCTATGGCTTCGTAAAACTCACTTTTTTCCATCAAATTTACCAACTTGTAATAAGCGATAAACTTGAAGTTCTACTCGTTGACCCGGTGCTGGACGAAGAGCATAATAACAAACTGCGGGTCCCTGCAATGTCGGACTACGAATTTGACCAAATGTTTGTCCCGAGCTGCCTTGTAAATTTTTTGAGTCTAAGGTCACATTACACACTGTTGGGGGGTTTGAAAAATGAGTTCGATTAAGTATGTGAATTCTTTTGAGTGCTGTTGGTGATTTTGGCGCATTTCAAGCAAGGAAAGAAAGTTTCTAATTGTGAACAATCGCTTTAAAACTTTCAAAAACAATTTATTTTTGATTGCAAAACAATCCAAAAATCTTGAAAAAGGAAGTAAAAGTTTCTATAAATTAATTTAAGTTAGACAATGCATTGGTAGAGAGATATCATCGCCAAACTTGTTTGTACACAAGCGAGAATTGAATTCAAAAGAATTCTGAATCTTTTATCCAAACTTCCGATAGCTGCTTGTGCTTGCATTCCTTTCTTTTTAGTAAATTCTTGCTAAATCTTCCCCCAAATTAATGTAATGCAATATTCATGCAATACGTGCAAAGTGGTAAGAGTAATTTGATACAAATTTATAGAGTAGATACGTACTATTTAAACAATGATTCTCTAAACCACATTGAGAACAACGATTTGGTGCTTGCTCGCCACATTGACAGCCGCCTTTCACACAGCAAGCACAGTTAAGGTTGAGTTGATGACCGTGCTTATGATGTCCATTATGAAGCGTTAAATTTTTATCTAACATCTCATGCTTATTGCCATTGCTGTCTTTTGCGTGATCATGTTCATTATCTTTCCATGAACATGCGCAACCTACAGATTTTCTAGTCCACAAATCCACTTGACCTGTAAGTAATAGTACAAAAATATAAAATTGAACAATGAAGTTTTCGTTGGCTGGTAACATGTATATCCATTTCACTATATGTCTTCCTCATACATCTGTGTCTATAGACACGTAAAGGCAAAGTAAATTGGTAGGAAAAAGGAATGATGATGATGGTGATGATGCACATGAAATACGTTTTTGTTTCACATTTTTTATGTTCATTTTGGCTCTTAAAGAGGATATGGCACACGGTAGGGATGTAAAACGTAATAAATAATTTCAAGGCATCACATTTTTATATCCCTTTTTATATATTTTTATTTTTATGAAATTACAAGTATTGTCGCGAGTCAAGCATGATCGGAATGTTCTTTTCTCCATCTCATTTTGGAATGTTGAGAATTGCCATTTAAAAAAGTACGTGTAAATTGAGGCGAGGGTTTATGAGTAATTTATGGAATATGGGTAAATATCAGGTACAGGTGAGTAATTTAAAAAGTAAATTAAATATTAAATATTAGCTCAACATGAATCTATATGTATATGTATGTTATGCTGAATGTCTACAGTCGTTATTTAAGCGGAAATTGACTGAAAACATGCGAGGGCTGGCTGGAGCTTTATCTAAGCGATAAGAATTGTGAAATTAAAATTTTTTTCTTTAATTTTAGGAACTAGTTCCTCAAGATGAGTTCCTTCATATTTCTTGACAGTTATGAGACATGTAAAGGAGGCAGAACTAGCACAAAATATATTTTTGCCCAAATGCTATTTCATTAGACTATAAAAAACTAGATGATGGCATTACGTTGACTAAATGTCTGTGGCTCTATCATCGTGACTACAGAAAAACTCATGGCAACCATTCAGATCACATTTCATCACATCTTAGGATGACAAACGAACGAAGAAAACATCTATGTATGAAATATATGAAACACTTTATGTTCTTTCATCATACTCACTTTCCGAGTCAACTTGAATTGGTGACCATGCCAGTTGACATGAAACATCGTCTAGTAGTAATAAAATCAGTAAATGAAATACTATCACTAATGCTACTCTATGACATATTCTTTGGCTTCTTATTTTATTCTTTCCAAACATTTCTTCACCAAGCATCATGTTGTTGCTGTTGTGAACTTTTCGAAACTTTCATAGTTAAACAAAACTTTTTCCTCGTCTATTTTTCACTTTTTTTTCTGCACATTATCATCAACATCACAATTCGCTTCACTTACTTCACTTAGCTCTATGTGTAACCGTGCAAGTTTGCAAACTCACTGTAAAATTCACTGTTTCCTGCCTTCTTTTGTTATGATTCTATTAATAATTTTTTAATTTATTTCTTTTTTATGTTGCTCGAAGCTGGAAATTTTATTTTTCAACATATAATGAGCATGGAGGAAAAATGTTTCATGAAGGAAAAAGAGAAAAAGAGAGAAAGAGAAAAAAAACGTTAATTAATAATTCACATGCATTAAATATAAAATAACAATTGTAAAAAACATTCTGAATTGTTCGGGACTTTTTGTCTTCGTTGACAATTATAATTTTATATTTGAATTGTAGATTTCAACTGATTTTGTGTTCATTTTTTTATGATTAATGTTGAGTGATTGCGGATTTTTTGGTGAATTAATTTTTTATGGTGATCGATGCCGTTTAATGTGAATTTTTATAAAGAAAAAATTGATTTTTAATGGAAAACTTTTTGAGTGTGCGAGCAATATGGTGCAATTTTAACATTTTTTGATGCTATAATTAAATTCAGTTTACGACTGGTTTATTTGTTGAACAATTATCAATTAAACTTTAATGTTTATCGGGTGATTTTGAAGACTTCTTTTAAAGACTCGTTTGAAAATTATTGAACGGTACAATGACGCAAGCTGAATGAAAAACATTAAATTAAATCTTAAATTAATGGTTTTTAAAACATTTCATCCTTTAAAAACTAAAAATACGAAAACAAAAAACCACTTGAATCTAATTCAGAATTTATGAAAAGCGTTGATTTGCAAAAAATCACAAATTTCGCAACATCAAAAGGAAATGTCTCCACGATTCACATTTTCATCAAAATAAAATTTGCTTAAAAGAAATTCATCGAAATGGAAATTTGTAAAAGACTTCGTACCAGACAAAAATTCCTAATACGATTAATTTTGAGAGATAAAAATCACAAATAAATCCTTAAATTTTCAACTTGTTAATCTCATGTTATTTTGAACTTTTTGAGTGATTTCTCTAGTATTAATTCGAAGATATGTTTTTATGCTCGAATAAATCCAGAGAAATAAATCTAAAACTCATAAAATAAATTCATCTGATGAATAAATTTAAACTTGCTGAATAAGTTATATTTTTAAGAATAATACACTAAAAAAAAGCTTTGAATTTTCTATCACTGCAGCACATGTTTATGTTTCTTCTCGAGATATTGCTATCATTTAATCCAATCCAATAACCAAACATGCTGAATTAGCTAAACACATTGCATTCGTGCCATTTCATTTTTTGAATAGAAATTTTCTACAATTTTCGTGCTTCTTTTCATAAAATGATATTTTCACACATCAAATTTGGGTATTATTCGCAGATGGCGTATACTGTAGGAGGATATGCATCTTTTGTTGAAGAATTGAATTGAATTGGATTTGTGACTGATTATTTTTGGACAAGAGGAAGTCTTGATTGTCAAAAAACCTCACTTTTAGAACATCTCCTTATTTGAATTATTGAATTGTAAGTCTTTTAGCAAGCACTCAATACCTATCCACAGTATACGTGTTTTCAATTTTATTTTCATTGTTTTTCAATTTTATATCTTCTCTTTCACACTATTTAAACTTTGATAACGTAAAGCTTTGGGAATTTTTTACGAGTTCTATTTTATTGGTTGATAAATTTACAATTTTTATGGCTTATTCAATTTTTATTGCTTTAGAACTTCCTGCTCTATTTTCTTTTCAAATGTTAATCGGTTAACACTGTCGTAAATCATCTATTCCCATGTCTGTGGAAAAATTGGAGTATTGAACGAGTTCTTGACGGCTATAAAAGGCTTACGATGATAAAATACATTTAAATTGTATGTTTCAAGATATTTTATGTGAAATTAGAACTTTCTTTTTTCTAGAAGGATTCTGTCAGGCACTTTAAAATGCAAAATGACATTTTGAAATTTTTCATTCAATCAGGAAATTCCATTTTTTATATCCCAGAATGTCAATTTGTTTTTAATACAAACAAGTTCCTTTTAAAAAATATAAATTTCGTCTCAAAAAATGTGTAGGAGTTAAGATTACTCCCAAGATTTATCTTCAAATTTGATTTAAAAGAAAACATAAGCATGAAAAGATCCACAAAAAATTCGTTATGGAAATGTTTTTATGATAAACAAACGGAGGGATTTAAAAAATCGATTTCTCGGAAGTAGAAATTTATTTTAGAAGATGAATTATGTGATGCTGGATGAAAATGTATTTTAAATGAGTTGGATGTTTAAATTGAAAGTTGACAGTTAGCTGACATCGATTTTATGTATCTACGATAAGTGATATGGAACGAGGTGAAATGGGATTTTGTGTAGAAAAGGGTAAGATTTGCTCTTTTTGGGACTTTTTGGCCATGACTCAAATTGTGAAAGTATTTTATTATCTGATATAATTTGCTTGCTGTGAAAGACACTAAGAATCTTAGATAAAGCATCTTTAAAATATTTTCTAATATATTCTGGAGCTCAAAATTTAAGCAGTCACACAGTATGTCTTACGAATAAAGATACGGGTCATTTATCTTTATAACGAATAATTAAATACATTTTCACACTTTTGCATTCTTTAAAGTTTCAACATGTAGAATTGAAGTTGTTTTACCTAAATTAGATTTACAGAAATTGTTTTTGATTTTTTTGAAAGGAGTGTTCAGTTCCATTGCTCATACCACACACAACATACTTCCCTTCTTAATAAAATATCCCCCTTAAAATTACAACCCTTTAATGTTTTTATTCATTTTTTTCATGAAAACGAAGCATTAACAATAAGTAAGAACCACGTTAAAAAATATTTATTTAAAAAAAGTTCCATAGTCATCCTGTCTAAACTTGCACGTTCATCGACGTTTTTAAATCACTTTCATAAGAACCAATTTATCAGCTCAGATTATTCACACATGAAAGGAGCTTTTTCAATAAACGATATCTTCAATTTTATTGAACTTTTAACGAGATAAGATCTTAATTAATTAATTAAGACATCTTTTATACTCTTTCTCTTCATTCTGATCAGTTTTAATCCTTTAAATTAAATTCCTGAGCTCTTTTTGATGAGAATGCAGTCATTGTATTCACTTTTATATTGAATGAGAATTCATAGCTTTTTGTGCTGATGTAGTTAAAATTTCATATTCCACTTTGAATAATAATGTTGAAAAGCCACAAATTATTCACGATTTTCGAATGGAAATGATTGCAATTAAAACATGAAATATGAAACATTATTTTTTTTGCATGGCTTGAAATCACTGAAAATCCATGAACATAAAATATGCATGTTATGTCCAGGAGAATTATGAATTCTTTAATATACACTGCATATTATTTTTTGTTCCCTCACATTTCTTTCATACGTATTTTCTACGTTCACACCCTTCACAATAATAATTGAAAATATATTTTCCTCTGCAATTTTCCTTTTTTATTCTCATTCTCTTTCCTTTTTTTCTTTTTTTGTTTTACACACCGCTTATGCTACAATGTCTATTAGGTCGTGTATGAATCAGAAAAAGAGCACAAAAAACACACAAAAAAGTTGTTGGATGGCAGCAAGAAAACGAGAAGAAAAAGCTGAGAAGAGGATTCTCTTTTAGCTTAATTTTTTTTCGAGAATTATTTGGAAATTTGGCAGGATGTACAACAAAATGGCACACGTTCTCCAATAAACTGTTCTTTTAAAGGAGAAGAAAAGTTCAGAAATTATTTAAGACATCGAAAAAATATCAATTTTCTTTTTGTATCAGGTACTTTTGAAGCACTTTGTAATTTTAAAAAATACTTTTTGGATAGCCTTTAACCTTTTACCTATAAGGACGTTCATAAATTATGGGTAGCGAAAAATAATTTGTTTTTAAGAACCCTACTCTACTTCCTCTTCAGTAACACAAAAAAACTCCATAAATCATCAGAACACAACCTGAATGATGAACATCATTAATAAACAGCCCCCAAGGATAATATTTCTCATCAAAGATAAAAATAAACTCAATGTTTATGAATTCTTCTACTTCATTTGAAGTTTAAGTTGAGTTTTTATGAAAAAAAAAATAAGGATCAAAGGTTAACCTTCAGCCTTCAAAATCAGATCAGAAAGTTGATGTTAGTGTTTACTGAGAATTTATGCTTTTGAATTTATGCTAATAACTTTTTAACATGACCAGATTTTTTTACCACTAACATCCTTTTGTTCGGACATTAATGGAACTTTTTTTTCCTGTCATATCTGTCAAGCGTTGAGTTTTCAAAGGTTATGGATCTCATAGAAAATTTTACCGAGACCAAAGAGGTCATGGTTAGGAATGACAGTTTTGATAAAAGTTTATGTCAATTCGTCATGAATAGTTTAAATGCTCAAGGATTGAATTTTTATAATCTACATGTTATGCCTTGTAGTTTTCTGAGCAATCCTTAATGATTTCACTAGAATTAATAGCAATTCAACATGCACTCAAAAGTTTACTCAATTAAAATATGAACATGTATATCAGATTTGATTGAAATATCCAGCTTAAAAAAAGTTTAATTCTGTATAATAATTTCCACATCTCACTTCACCGTAATTATCAGTAACTCCTCAAAAATGCGTTACAAAATCTTTTGTTTTACATTATCACCAAAAAATGATTTTCCATTTCAATTCTGTTCTGATGGAAAATTGTGAACATTTGAAACTTTATCCACATAATTATAAACTTTTATTTGTAGATTTTTGTGTGGTAGCCAATTGCAAAACTTTTTAATTTTTAACATATATATAAATATATAGTCCAGCAAAATGCTGCAGAAAGGAAACAATGCTATCAAATGGGCAATATAGACGGAGAATCCTCGCTCCTAGAATGTGTGTATGTTTTTGAAGGTAGGCAGACAGAAGATTATATGATTGGAAAATTCACTTTTCTTTCCTTTTTTTCGCTCTTGCTCTCACAGAAAAAAGAAAAATTCACAATTCACTAATTTAATAATTTTTTTCACCAATTTAATCCGACAATCTTTTCAGTCCTTTAGCTTATTAGCATTTTAGATTCACTTATTTATCAAATTATCCCAACTTTCTCACCTTTTGACTTGAAAATTCACTTAAAAACTTTTATTTTGTACATTATTCCTTGAACGAGAATGAAATAACCTCCGTAAAGCATCCATCTACATAGGCGTAGTTAGAAAAAGTGACGAGTAATGATATGAACACTTTCCAATGTCCATGTATTGCGCATGTTCATGGAAAGTGCACGGATAATTTCCAATCATATTTATTATTATGTATAGACACACTGCTTTTTTCTCTCTCTCACTCGACTCGACTCGACTGACTGTGCATGATGATAAAAAAAAAGTTTCACATGCTTTCCTTACAATGCGGTGATGCTGATGCTACTGCTGCATTGTTTTGAAAATATAATATAGATGGAAATCTCATAATAGAATGATAGAGGAAGTGAATTACTATAGCAAATATATGTGAATGTTTTTATATGGAGCTCATGAAATAATAAAGGATATGTGCCGGCTTATATATGAATACATATTACGTACATAATATCAATTCAATTCTGTTATATTTATGAGTACAGCATACATCTTTATTAATAGAGATTCTAATTTCTCGTACATTCTCCTTTTGTTTGGCTACAATTGTAAGCATTGTACAATTTTTGTTCTTTTGACAATAAACGCAAGCTTTGCACAATTTCCTGTATTCAATGTGTGTTATGCTTGCATACAATAGTCAATTCTTATTTGTACAACAAAGATTTATACAAGCTGTTTGTAATTGCATTGTTTGCGGAAAGTCGTTTGTGTTGTACACTTTTTGTATTGAAATGTTTCAGTGATTATCTAGCTTTAATGCTTCTTTATTCCTTTTTGGATGTACAAATCTTTCGACAATGGTGCATTTAAGACCATTTTTCAAAATACTCTTACAGTTATATAATGATACAAGCCCATTTCTAGGTCACCGAATCTCAAAAATAGCTTTAAGCATTCCAAAAAAATTTTAATTTCAATTTTGTAACTAATTTAAGCCTCTGATATTTTGCGAAGAGTTTGATTCAATTTGAATAATTTAAAGAATCTTTTGTTATCATAATCTGTAGATTCGGAAATTCCACTTCGATGTTCTGATTCAATAAGAATACTAAACAACAAAGAAACTTAATTAGTATTTCCTTTGAGCTGTTTAATTCAAGTTGATTACATCAGGCGCGTGCGAATCTCATAATATTGGATTTAAAAGTCATTTGAAAGTTATGCAAGCGTTTTACATAAATCCAATAATCCAATTTTAGCGTCTTTACGATGATTGCATTGAGCTTTAATAAAAAGCTTATGTCAATCTTGTGGTTTCCTTAGCTATTGTTTTCTTTTATAATCCATTTGAAATGAAAAAGTACATTAGTAGCAACTCCTATCCACAATATCTATCTCATGATGTAATTTTTGACTTCCAGGATTTCCCGTATCTTAGATACTCTATTTACAATTTTTTATTCTAGCATTTATGATGATTTGAGAGAGAAAAAGTCTGTGAGCAAGCGAGAGAATCTGATTCCATTCTTTTCAATGCTGAATTATGCATGTTTGTTTGGAATTCATTAAAAAAAGTTTTTTTATTCATTCTGTTACAATTTTTTTTTTATTCATCTTGCTTTTATCATTAATATGTAATTCTTCAATTTTCGTAATTTTTTTTATTCCTTTTCTTATTTAATTGGATAATGGTGGGAACAAATACATAATGTTAGTAAGCACTCATCTCGATCACTTACTTATTCATTACACATCATGTCGTTTAAGGATTTCTTTATTAAGGATAGAGGTGGTTCTCGTTCGTCATCATATTTTTTTTTTTTATTATTTCTTATCGATGTCGTCTTCGTTATATCCAATGTGTTTTTATGTATTTTGATAGATTATCGATTATCTCATTATGTTGTTGCTGGTGCTTGCGTTGTCATTTCAGTATTAGTTGATGCTGTTTCGACAGGTTTTTCATTGATTGCCAACCTAAAAGAATAACAAGATAATCAATGTGAAATTTTTTAAAATATCATCGCAGGTATTTTATTCGGTTCGTGTTGTAAATGAGGATGACGAAGAGAAAAAGGAGACAAAAATTGAATATTCAATCAATTTACAATGTATAAAAAATGTAAAGTGTTAAGGATGAAATTAAATTTTCTTCATCACTTACCATGGCAATCGATTTTGGAGTTCGAGGCGATATTTAGGATGAGAGATTGCATAAACCCATGGATCAATACATGCAACAAATTTGCAAGTGCAAGCAGGAATCATTGTAACGGCTGGTGTGAGAAGTGATTTATCACCAAAGGCACCGATTAAGGCTAAAACTGCATATGGTGTCCATGATGCAACGAATAGGAAGCAAACTGTTATTGCTGCCTTTGCAATTCTAATTTCCACAGACGCTTTCTGATGATCAACATTCGATCTCAAACTTTCAACATTCATCTTCTTTGCCTGATCCCTTAATGCCTTCTCATGTGCTACAACATGCGAGACAATTTGACTATAGTAGTATATAATCAAACTCATTGGAATAACATAGGAGAATGTGAAAATCGTTCCAACAAACATGTGATTGTCAAATGTATCGGTGAGATAGTCAAACGTGCAGGATGTGAGGAAGCCTTCTGGAACAAAACGACCCCATAATTCAAGAAATGGGACAATCGCCCATGGTGATGTATATCCCCAAATCAGGAATAGAATTACAAATGCTTTGGTCATCGATAAGCGTCCATCCATAGGTCTTGCAATTGTATTGTATCGGTCATATGCAATGCAAGCATTTGTTATTCCTGCACCAATTCCGCTGAAGCTTCCGAGTAAGGCAAATATTTTACATCCCATAATGCCGCTTGCGAAGCCTCGATGAAATGAATTGTAAATGAATATGGGTGTTTTGACCATCATCACAAAATCACAAATGGCAAGATTGACAATGAAAACATTTGATGGAGTGCGAAGTGATTTTGCGCTACATTAAATAAGTGTGAGAGAGAAAAAGAAGAGATAGAAGAATGAAACAATAATTGACAGAGGGAAAAGTGAGTTGACATTTTAAAGTCAACACTTGTGTGGTTGGAAATAACGCATCTTTTCGTATACTTGAGGGTGAGATATTTTTTTGCGGATTATAAGAATATTTAACTAAGGTTAGATAATGATGGAAAATTTTGCTGATGTTTGTTTTTATGTGCTGATTTATCTTATTATGGGAAATTCACTTGTTATACACTCATAGAAAAAAAGTAACAAAATGTTTGTAACTTGTATGGAAAATGTTAACAAACAATTCGTTAAAATAGTGTTTACGAACTTATTTGTTAAATTTAACCAAATTATTTGTAAGGTTGAATTGTTAACTATAAAAATTGTTAATTTAACAAACTTTTTGTTAAAATTTTTTTTTACAGAAAAAAATAACAAATTTTCGGTTAATATTAACCAGAAAATTGTTAATTTGGTCACCCATCTTATTTTAAAATGTTTCCGTGGTTGCTTAACTTCTGAATTCCTGTTGATGATCCGCTAGTCCGCTGCTTGTAAACTTTTACTTATAAAATTTGATTCAGAACCAATATAAATAATTCTTTAAAAAATATATCCAAATTTTAAAATTAATTTATGAATAATAAAATAGAAATGTAGGACTTAAAAAAATGAACAAATTTAATTTTTAAATTACGATTTGGTTTGTAAATCATTATTTTCCAAAACAAATTACAAATAAAAACATTGTAACAAATGTTTTGTTAAAATTAACAAATTAATTTGTTAAACAAAATCAACAAAATTCAATTTAAAGCAGTTTTCTCATTAAAAATAACGCAATAAATTAATGGGAATCGTTTGAAATTAATCAAACAAGAGTTTTGAATACAAAAATTAAAATTTAATTAAATCAATTATTAACAAATAAATTTGTTGATTTAACAAACTCAATTGTAAAATTTTTAACAAATAGTTTGGTTGAAATTTTTTTTACCCATGTAAACTTAACCAATAATTTGTTAAACTAGTTTAACAAACATATAACAAATATTATGGTTACTTTTTTTCTATGAGTATAGCTACTACTCTCCAAAAGGTTTTCAAAAATGTCCCAGTCTGCAAACTAAAGACAACATATCCTGTATTCTTGAGAGAAAAAGATGCGTTATAAAGCTATTGTCATCACTCGTCAATCAATAGCTGTGTAAATATTTATTGACTCACGCTGTGAAGACCCAAATGACGAGACCATTTCCAGTAAGTGAGCAAAAAGTAAATGCAATGTATAATAAACCAAGCAAATAATGTAGAGATGCTTCTGGTTCCTCATAGCTCAACCAATGTTCGGGTATTTGCTTTAAATCCTCTGGCGCTACATTCCATCCCAACATTTTTGGTGCATGATCTGCGCCACCAATTCTGTAGTCGAGAGTAGAAAATACATGATAATAAAAAAAGATGAAACAATTAATTGCTCTGGTCCACTTGAATTTGTGTCACACAAAAAAAAAGTATATAAAAAATTTCACTTGATATTTAACCTTGCTTCCGCTATTGGAAGTGACAAATTGCTTCTGTCAAAGAAATTCATTTTGTGTTGTGATGTGATATGTGTGATGGATATAAAAACTTTTTAGCCTTTTTTTTACACTTCAAACTCTCGTTTTTGTCGTTTAATGTTTGTTCTGTTTCGTTCTATTCCGAATATTATATTTTCACACTGTTGTTCCTTCAAGCTATAGCACAATTCACCAACTGATGTCGAAGGGATTCTAATGCATGCATTTTATATATGACACTTCCTTAATTTAATTAAAATGTTGAATTATCTAAATTACATATTGGTATGGAGATATACACCATGCTATAGCTTTAATGAAGTAATAACAAATGTACTATGTCTATAATCCCTTAAAGTATACCAATTTTAAAGCTCAATAGATCCAGAAACACGTTATTCAAATTGATGTTTGGGTTTTGGCATGCAGAGTTGGATTTTGGATGCACAATAAAACTTTATGTGTTTTTTTGTAGAATTTTGACAAATCGCTTAGATAAGAGCCCTACATCCAACACTTTTACATTGCTTTTTCTAAGCATAACCCATTTCTCAGTCTATGTATAATTTATGATAAAAATCTTTGGTTGGAAAATATGACCATTAATCACGTTTAACTCGGCATTATAGTGGTGAGTATCTTAACCATTTACTTTAAGCTCAAAAGCAATAAAGTTGGCTCAGGATTGCCTCAGATTTTCATTTGTTCTGTTGAAAAGGCTGTTTTCTGTTTTTGATGTATTGTAATTCAGAATAAATGATGATCCATTAACACACAGGAAACATTTTCAGCACTACCGCTTGCCATAAGTCGGTGAATAAATAATAATTTGTTTTTTTTTGCACTAATTACTAATTACCAGCCCTGATTTATATTAACGTGATGTATTTACAACACTTTCGAAATGGCTTGTGTGCACAAGCATTATAAATTTTTTTTTAAATTTCATTAAAAATGCAAAAATATTGTAAGGTGTCAATTAAAGAGATTTTATGGATTCTCATCGATGAGAAGGGCATTAAAAAAATTACATACAGCTGTAAGCGATTAAACCATGTAATCTAACACTCATAAAACATGCATAACAAACCCGCTAGTATCATATCATCATCAATCTCTATTACGTCTCCTTAATCGACTATGCAGTTTATTATATGATTAGTATGATAATCGTATGGAAGAAGAAGTGAAGATGAAGAAAAACTTTTACTTGCAAAAAATTATTAATGAGAAAGAAATGTCGTATTTTTATGGTAAATTACAGTCAAAAGAGAAGCAGCAGTAACATTGAGCAATGACCTATGAAAGTGCCTCAAAGAATTCAACTTTCATATCAACATTTTCATATATGAGCGAGTAAGAAATTACTTCTCTTCTCCTTTTTGCTTACTTTATCGTATCTACAGTATCAGAGCGACCCACTTTTGTTTCATTTCTTTTTAGCATTTATTTCAGCAAATCAAATCTTGTTATGTGTTTACTTTGCATGAATGACTGGTTGGATGGTTTTTTCAAGTCATCAATCAAGCAGAATTCTATGTGTTGAGTGCCTGAGTCGACAAAAAAAGAGAGATTTTCTACCTCGATGTTGCTGCCTCGAATGTTCTAGTCATAGTCTGAGAATTTTGAGATCTGCGGTGTTTGCAGCTATTTATTTTTTTTTTTTTGTTCTATCAACAATTCAGTATGGTGCTTGCCACTCCTATGAATAGATTAATGATAAGAACTAGGAGCTAAAATTAGGCCGACTAATTTTATTCTAAATATGGATTCTAAATGTGACTCAATATCAAGTTCACAAATATAATCAAGCTCAGGAACAGTCAAAAAAGCAATAAGTGCGCTGCAATCATACAACATTTCGCACTACTTTCACTCTTCAGATAAGTATACGTACTCAAGAAAAAAAAATGGATATAAAAATATTTCAAATCGAAGAGACATTGAGTCATAAATATGATAAAAGTTATAAAAGGAATGTATTTGTTAACAGAAGCATAACTTTATATCAACATTCAGTATTTTTCTTTTCCTCAGTTTTCTCGTCGCAAATATATCAGCCCGATACAGATGGGAGGGAAAATAAAAAAAAAGCAAAAGTTAAAAACTTTAAATGTTATTATGTGCAAGCATGCAGACATCTATAGTTTTTAACCGGTTTTTCGACAACAAACAAAATTCAATTGTGACTCGAACACTTTCGTCCAAAAAAGAAGAAGCAAGTAAAAAGATAATTGTTGTATTCTCTTTGAACTTAACATTGAAAATTTGCCAACAGTCTCGGTGCGGTCTCCAAAGAGTGCGGTAATGATATTAAAGTATTAAAATAAATAATATTGCTCATAATAAGTTATTCGATTTCTTTCTGTGAACATTCTATTGTGCATGTAAAATACAAATGCTTTGCACAATCGAATAGAAGAATAAAAAACGTAATCCTTTATTTCTACAATGATCTTTATTGACTCGCCATCAAGGAATATCGTGTATTAAAAGTTAAAAATAGACGTAAGCAATTTTTCAATAAAAGAAGTAGAAAATTGCAAACTGTGTCATGAGCAAACAGTTGATCGAAATCGACAAGTCAAGTGGTATCAAATAAATTGAAAGACATTCTCGTTCAAGAAACAATTTTAAGGAGCTTTTCAGAAAAAAACCCTTCACTGTCAAACGAAGGACTTGTCGTAATTCTCATGATGTTAAAAATGTTAAAGTGACTAATCTTCTTATATCAAAATGAATAGTCGGGAACGAATAAGGATTTGCAAACAACAGGAACGTGGGGGATCACTTAATGCAAACCTTGTAATACGTCGATTAACAGTGTTGTGTGAAGGCAGGCAATATGTTGAAGCTGCACATTTAATTAATCGTCTTAGTTCATCTGCATTATGTATGGTTGCATGTGAAATGCCATTAGATTTATTGGCTGAAGCATTACCTTACAGTTCCACACTATTGGAATGTCTCTTTTGCAGGTAACATAAAACTTTCTACAACAATATTGCGTAGAAGATCCCGAGCGGTACTGGCTGAATTTAATTTTTTATTATTTGTTCCTATTAATGAGACTTTAAAATCCATTTTTTGTGTAATTATTTCCACGATAAGCTGCCAAGATCCAGAATTTGGCTACTTTTTTCAAGAGATTAAGCATAAAACGTTCGGGATGTCATCTTCAATTTTTGCATCAACAATGTTTTAATTAAATTTTATTACTATGTGTATAACCTTCCATGTACAATTTTCATCTGCAGATTAAATTCATTATTGAAAGACAATTGTAAAGCAAGCAGTAACTCAAAGCCAAACGTGTCAGTTGATGGAATTATATGGCATTTAGTAAAATTATTTGGCAGCCCATATGAATACACTCTAATGAAAAAATGTGAAAAACTCGTGTTGTATATTGGATTATGGAAATCTGAAATCAAATGTGAATTGAAGGAAAAGGAAAAGTTGATGGAAACAGCAATACAAGGTGTGCTATTTACTCAATAAAACCAACAAATTTTCATTATCATTTGAAAGCTAATCTGATTATAATCTGACCTATCCTAATCTAATTTATATGAACAAACTTTATAGGTTTAGGATTTCATGGATTAACACATCTGACAAATGAAAATGGAAATTTCATTTCACTCCAATCGGCCATAAAATCCTCACTTCAATTACACATTGAGACATATAAGCATGCCATAAATATAATTGATGAGTCTGATAGTCATTCTAATTCTGATCCCGCAAATTCTTCACATCAAAGACTTTTATCACTTAAGTACGATGACATACAGAAAAGACTTATAAGCAATAAAACTCTACTGACCAAATTAGAAGTACCTTCATTGAGGCAATTATACGAACTAGTTGAAAATTTAAAGCAAAGAGTCGAGAAGGACAAAGAGGCTTTAGTATGTATGAATCACATAAAGAAGTATGATAAGGATGTCAATTTTAAAGAATGGTAAGGAAAAACTTATTTGCATATTTATGACTCAAAAATTGAGAAAATTTGAATATTTATTGAAACTTGGTCACAGGATTTTGTGGCAGGTTTTAAAGTGTCAAATGATTTATTTATTGAATTTCTCGAAATCGATTTGCGTCATCTATAAAGCAAGAATCGAACATCCTATATGGGGTAAATTTAAAATGACGTTCAATTTATTGTGTGAAAGTCAAAAAAAGTCGAGAATTTAGGAAAACATATGTGGAAATTAAAAATCAGATTTAGGTTTGATCAACGTCATTTAGACACAGCCCCCATTAGTAGGTTTCCAAGAAAATATTACTCTTATTTGTATCAGATTCGTTGATTCGTGATGGTGAAATTTTGTTTACGATCAGAAGAGCTTAAATAAATCAGAAATGTTAGAATTTATTCAAAGCTATATGTTTACTTCAAGTTCATTCAGACAATAAATCATCTAATATCGTTCTTCGGAATACTTAAGAGGAAAAAATCGAACGACTGCCTTTGTATGTCCTCTTCTGAGGTTTATAATTTGTATCCTTCAATGAGCATGGTAGTTGTGCTTAATTTTCATTACATATTCCGTTTTTTTGAACGATATATCCAAGTCATGTTCATATTCATGACAAAAATTTTGATCTTATCACTAAGGATAAAATCCATTAATTTCTATCGGCAATAGTCATTAAAATATTATTTAATGTTATTTACCGTTTTAAAAGCATTCCATTCATGTTTCTAAAGTGTCTGATTGCATACCAATAACTCATAAAAGCATAAATTCTTCCGACAACTGAAAGTGTGAAAAATGTAATTTGAAAATATAAAGCAGTAATAATGTGGTACAAATTATAATCTTCTTTTTTATTATAATTGCATTAGGATTCATTTTCTCTCATGACGTAACAATATATTGCTTCAATAAAATTGACATTGAATATTTTATGACTTCATTTATTATTTATTTAGTGCTGCCGCAAAAATAATGATGGAGACGATGAAAGGCTGCAAAATTGTAGAATCGCTGATGAATGTAGCATTAAATGAGAATTTAAATTCCAAATCATTATCTCAGCATAAAGGAGACAATAATTCTGAAAGTGACGGATATCATTCAGATCATTCGGATGGCTCAGAATCTGATGAGCACAAGTAATTTCATGATGCAATTTTCAATTCAATGACATTTAATTTGCTTTCTTCCCTTTTTATTCATTTTTCAGAATTCTCGTTGATGAATACAATTTGATGTTTAAAAGCTTACGGCTTGACACTTTCAAATCACTCAGTGAATCAAACAATTTTCATATTGCAGAATCTGTTAAGTTGAAAATTTTATTTTCCATCGTTGTCGTGAGTATCAATCTATTATGGTAATTGATTTCGATAGAAAGTAAAAGTCTCACAATGAAATAATGGAAAAATAAAACGTTTATAACGTAAACACATTCAGACTTTTCGCATTACATTAGATTACATTATAAAGTTCAATAACATCCACTTAATGTCACATCACTTTCATCTTATGTTTGTTATTTATTCTCTGATTACCGCAATAAATTCCTTATTGGGTAATGCGTTTTGTTGTTCATTTTAAATTGTTTTAATGCTCGGATGTCATTTTATCGAGAGTTTAATTTTATAGATCTTTTACCGTTTGGACTTTGCCATTCTTTTATGGTCAATACTTTCAAATACAATGAGAAAATGTCTGATAAAGCAATAGAGTTTTGATAAATACTTCTTGAAGTGGAAATAATTTGGCGGGAAATTGAAAATTTAAATTATAATTTTTTTCCAATCTTGAACTTTATTCGCACCAAAATCCAACTAGAATTGCGCAACACTACATAATGATGCACAACTTTTCTCATCTCAAATGTAATAATGTTAATTGAAAAGTTAGTGATAATGCTATGACGCTTCCCACTTAAATAATAAGCATCATTATCATAACATTGTTGAATCTCTAATAGACAAGAAAGAGTACGCGTCTCTCGCCCAATCAAGCAAATATAGATGAATGTTTTTTTTTTCATATTTTTTCTTATTTCTCTTCTTCTTTGTAGATAGCATTCAGACTGTGCCATAATTTGCGAGAAAGAAAGCTTTCGGAGACAAAACGAATACTCTGTGTTCGTGCACATGACAGTACAGATAGACATCGAGATGCCGCTAATGCAATAGAAAATTCAATTCGGAATTATTTGCAATCGACGTGTGACGTTTTCTGTCTCGATGAAGTTGAGAACTCTATATCAACTCAGGTATGCAACTGAAATTTATTCCTTTTTTTTATTGATCAATCAATTTTCATTTAAAATTTAAATAAAAAATAATAGATTTACACAACATTGCATGGATATTCCTGCATAAATCAATTACTCGATACCCTAAGCATTTACATCGAGAAAGTATCGAGACTAGCATGGAAATTGAGCAATCAAATACCGCCATATAATCTAGATGCTGACTTCACCCTTAGTACAATAAATCAAAACAAACACGCTAGAACATCTCGGTCGAATCAAAATTCCACGATTATACAACAATTTTTGTGGCCTGCATTATTACGAGATAATAAATGTGTATCTAAAGCAATTGTTGTTACCTAAATCAATTTACTGTAATTTAATATATATCATGTTTTTATTCAATCTTTATTGTATTTTTATTTTTTTTTTTTGAATGTCTATTTTCTGTAATAATCTATCCGAGAAATAAATTTTATTTATTATTGTTTGAACGAAGAATAAAAGCGATGACGCAGCTACACTTTTTCTTTCCTCTCGTGACGTTGATTTTCACTGTGACGTATCAGTGCTTTAGCTTAGTTTGAAAGAAAATAGTTGTTTTATTTTTCACATTTTTCTTAATGTTCATGGACCAAAATTTTGACTCCTAAGCTAAAATCATCACATGTTGTGCATGGATTATCTCTAAAGTTTTATGAAAATAAATTCTTGATTACTATTAATTGCTCAGGTTACAGGCTGAATCAGTTGTGATGAAAACAAACAATTGATTTAAATGTACAGTACTACGCAACAGACATCGATTTTATATTAGCTGGATATGAAAAGAGTCATTCTTTTATTCCGTCAACAATTTTAGAGACTTAGGGTCTACTTTTGTGAAAAAGAAGCATTTTGTAAATGCTTAATAGCAAAAGAAGTCAATTCAATCGTTGCGTAATTAAAGAACAACCCCCAAACAACACTATTGGAATGAATGCTCGTGACATTTTCACCATTAAATAAATTTGTCACAATATTTTATTTCTAGCAATGAATATTTTCATTGAATAAATCCAAATAAAGAAGAACAAATTCAAAATTCATGACATGATTCAATAATTTTCATCTCTACCGAAAAAAAAGTACGATTCAATTTCCCTCGATGCTAGACGACATCAGCTAACACGCATCTCAATAAATTTACAATCCACAGTTCATTATTTAACATATCACAAAATACGTCTCATTTATCCGCATACGAAGCATATATTGCTATTTTTGTTTCTCTTCAGAACGTAATGCATTGACCTATCGATTTGAGAGAAAGGACGTGATCTTAATAAAGTTTAATGGCTGTGTCGAAAGCAACCAAATAATATCCTTCAGATCCTCTCAAATGATGTGAAATAAACTTTTATCGATCCAAGTTCTGGAGATAACACAAAATAACGACAATTATGTTATTAAATTGATAACAGAAGTAAGTAGACGAAGTTATGGGTTGCGCAACACTGGAAGGCATATTTTTTCATCTCTCATTTGACATGCGCAGATGCACTTTTACTATCTACGAGCTTTTTTTCCTCCACATTTTGTATTCTATCTCATATAGAATCAAAATTTTCAAAGCGAAGGTGTTTGGAATTCTTACGAGAATTTTCTTGTTCCTCTATTGACAGAAAAGTCTGTTTAAAATTAAGTTTATTGAATTAAAACGTAAGCTAAGTGTTTAGTGAAAGCTTTAATATAGTTGGAAGTGAATTAGTGATTGATATTTTTGAAATATCGTAAGATTTATTTAATGTTAAAAAAAAGTATCAAGTAACAAGAAATGCAAGAGTATTTGTGGTCTATGAAAAAAAGAAATTCCAGACATTTTGTCGCCTCTTGCTTATGCCCTCTAAAATTGAAAGTCAAACATAAGTCGATCGTTGCATTTTGATATAAGCTTTGAATTGAAAACTCTTTTTTTAAAGCACGAGGCATTACAGACGAATGGGAAAAGTAGAAGATGACGTCGAAGGAAAAAACATTTTTTTTTTGCAATGTGAAAGTTCTTTCAAGTACGAGCAATAATCTTATCAAAGAAACTGCAAGTCGTCACTTATTAATAATAGAAAAAAATTGCATGAACATACTAAATTTTATAAACTTGCAACTTCCTTTTTATATTCCAATTAAATCTATTAATTATTTTGTATTTCAAGAAATGGGAAGTATATGAAGAAGAAAAATCACATTGCGTGCACGTTTCGATCATTTATTGAGTTTTCAATCACTGCACTTTGTCTGGATTGTATTTGAACTTAGTTAATGTAGATTTTAGATATTATAAGACTCTTAGTGCATTTGCAGATTGTATGACAATGATTTAATTTACAAAGAGTTGAGCATGAAGTTTTGAAGGTCGTTGTTCCTTACATATTTGTATTATCAAGGTCAAACTGTAATCATGGAAACTTATAACAATGTTAAGTTAGATCAGAAACTTTCTTATTTGCCGAACACAAGTTTTTGATATTTTATACACAACAATTAGTGTTGTTATGGTGACAAACTATAACTCATATCCACCTGTTGAATACTTGCGTAATCAAAAAAAAAAATTTTTTTTACTCACAGAATTTTTTTATGAAGGTATTCAGCTTATATGAAGCAATGTAAACAAGCAAATAAGAATTTTCAAAATAAACCTATATCCACAAAAACTTGTAACAAAATTTGTTTACAAATTCACAAATAAATTATGAACGTTCAGGGGGGGAGGGGGGGGGGGGGTTGAGGGTTGTGAGTTGTAACATATTGTAACATATTGTAAAGAAGGGGTGAAAAAGTCGTTTTTTTGCGTAACGTAATAAGTGAACGGCTCCATACTTATCTCCAAAAAAATGTGGAAAAAACGTTCAAAAACATCTTCGACCTTGCAAAAGCATGTCCCATAATAAATTTTGTTTAATTAAAAAGACGAATTACTTTACTTTGTTCCTAAAATGATGATCGTGAGTATTGAGATACGGCTCTTCTACCAAAAAATATTGTGAGTCATGCTGATAGTTTCTTAGAACTGCATTAAGGCGCTTTGAACCAACTGATAAAGTTATTTACATTCATACTTAGCAAACAGAATCTCTTTGATCCAATTCCTCTCTCTTGTAATGTTGTGCTCTCTGAAAATCTTCATTTAACTTTTTATTTCAATTTTTAAAATCAAAAATTTCAATATTTGGAAAATTAAAATTTGAAAACTCACTTAAAAATTTTCGAGAAAGAAGAAATTTAAAAAATTGAAATAATTTTGTTTTAAAACTCTCAAAATGAGTTTTCAAAGAGATTGAGTTTGAAAATTTATGACTCTCCATAAATCTCTTAGAGACTCTCGCATTCTCACAAAAGGCAAAAGTAAAGAATAATAAAAAAAAATCCTCGTGTTTTTTTACATATTTAACAAAATCTATCTTTTCAATCGCTCAGCAGCATTCAAATTATCCGCACGTTTGCTGCTTTGAAAGAATATATTCAAAAGAATAGACAAAGTTTTTTTGGATAGTGCTGTAAAGAATTTTTTAATCAAAATTATTTGTGTCAATTTCATTTTAAAAACGGAACAACGACCTGTTGAGCTCATGTGTTGTCTATAGTCTAGTTCTAATTAGTGTAAATTAAAGATTTTTAAATGCAAGAATATTTTTTGTTGGATTATTGATGGTTTCTAGGTATAAAACTTGTTTTTGTAGTCAAAAAAGCGCATTGACTTTTGAATATCAAGCAGATCTGCTAGAATTAAAAGTTCAACATTAAAAACGATTGAAAAAATATTTGAAAATATAACGGCTCAAAATAATTTGAAATTTTAAACTTTGGTTTTCCCGCAAATTTAATGTTGTTTTTCGTGATATGTGCTTTGAATTTTAACTCTTAATTTAATTAAATTTTAAGCAGTTTTAACTTGTTTTATTCAGTGATTGTCATCAGTTTTTACTTTCTTTCTGTCTAGTATTGCTTAGTAAATGTGCTCCACATTTTAATTCACAAAAATATTCATATTGAAAGGAAAAATTCAATTTAATGCAGTAATTAACTGGAATCAATAGAAAATATATAGACTTGACTGATAAGAAGTGAATAATAGTGTGTATTAAGTAATTAAAAGTTAAATAACGTAAACAATGGGTGATGAGAATGAAAATAAGCCGATTGCAAGGAAAGTGTCTAATGGAGATGACAATAATGCTAAGGACATTATCAATAACAATGCCGGAGATGGCCAAGAAGTGACCTTGAAAGCTAAAATGACGCTAGTAAATGGAATCACAGTTATTGTTGGATCAATTATTGGTAAGGTTTAAACTATGTGAAGGAAGTAAGTAAGTCTGTAAATTTTTTTGGCATTTCTCCAAATTTCCTGAATGTTTTTCTAATATATTCATAAATATCCAATGTTTGAAGATCGGCACCGAACTGATAAAAGATTGTCGCATGAACACTTTTCTAAAAATACAATACTTTCATGTCGAAACTATAATTTACTGTAACATCAGTTTCCTCGGTTTGGAATTCGAAAAAATTCAGACGTGATTTATGCCAAAATTCTCAGCTTATCTTCTTGCCTTAGAATAAAGAACAAGTCTGAATTATCATATCTGCCACTTTTTATCAAAACAGGTTCAGGAATCTTCGTCTCGCCAACGGGTAAGCGTATAAACAAATTCCAAGCATGCAAATATGCATTATTAATTAATGAATTGTTAATCGGTAGGCGTGTTAAAGTATACTGGATCCGTTAATATGGCACTCGTTGTTTGGGTCATTTCTGGGCTGTTTTCAATGGTAAGAAATTACATGATTATCACAACTCTCATGATATTTTATTCTCATCTATAATCATCTCCTACGCTGTTTCTCAAATTGTACAATCACACGCAAAACAGCATGATCAAATTTATTTTTTAAGTGTTGGCATTATCGTTTATCTCAATTGTGATTTATCAAATTGAGCAAAATGAAAGTAAAATCTAGATTAAAGAAAAAATTCTCAAAATGTGCAGGTCTAAGTAAAAAGAATGGCTTTTGAGTCAAAAGTTCTTTACAAAGCAGCTTAATTTTTTGATTACAAAAATCACACATTTGCATCTGTACATACTATATTACTATAGGTGTATTACAGTTAAAACTTATTGCTGCAAATTTTGAAAAAAATTACGGCTACGTCATACGCCAGTCTTGATATTAAAACAAACATCTCAATAATTAATAACAAGAATCATAACTTAATGCTATTGATTAATAGATTATCAAATTTTTTTCAATCTCACCGAGTCTGTTTTGTAATTAAAAAATGTAGTCCGAATTCAACGCTTCGATTCAGACAGCATAACATTTTTAAGTCTGCAAAAAAACTATTCTAGAATTAAGATTTACAGTTATGCTTTGCAAAACCACGAATCTTTATTTTCATAGGTGCTTATATTCAATCAAATAATCGTCTCTCATCAAGATGATCATTGCATGTGTGTGTACGAAATAAGCCGTGTATCTTTTCAGAGTATTTTTAAATTAAAGATTCGTTTCCAAAATTTCTTTTGACCTCCGCACCAATTTTTTCTCAAATCTAGATCATAGCATGAACTAAACTCACATTATACATACTTATTATCTTCTTTCTTTTCCTTTATTTTTCAGGTTGGCGCGTATTGTTACAGGTTCGCATATGTTTGCTTCTTCTATTTCCCTTCTCATTTGAATCAGACATGAATGAGTTTATTCTCTGTGCTGTATTCTTGTTCTTCCTTTTTCGACTCTACCTTAAAAATTTCTTATTCTAAATCAATTTTATTTATATAGTGAATTGGGAACAATGATCAAGAAATCAGGAGCGGACTATGCTTACATTATGACGACCTTTGGCCCATTTATGGCTTTTTTGCGTCTTTGGGTAGAATGGTAAGTGCTGCATATGTTTAATTTTTTAGAAATAGCTCTATAACCCAGATACAATTAAAAGTTTTTTGTCCTCGAATGATTTTTGAGATTCAAATTTTTTTAACGGTAGAAATAAATTTGAATTTCTAAACGCACCGTCGTACAATTTTTATAACGGGTAAAAAAAGCAATTTTCATCGCGTGTTCTTCAAATGTGTCATTTTGTGATGTCTAATGAAGTCCTTATTCCCTTTTTGTCACATCCTTAAAATGGACAAGTGATAATATCTGCTGCTGCGAAATGTATCAATCTTTTGTGATGTGGGAGTGTCGTTACTGTACACCACTTATTGCATTTGTCACATTGCACCTTATCTTTTTCATGTGATGCCCCAAACATGTCACTTCCTTTTCACATACAAAACACTTATGGAGCTTTTTTGGCAAACAATGACCTTCTGTATGCATCAGTCGAATGTGCTTATCCAAACTGACGTATGAAATTTGTTTTGTCGAATTCTGGCCTATCATTTAGATAGTTCCAACTCTCATGCTTTGCTTGATGAAAAAACTTCATTTTGTCGTCGTAAAATGGCTGTTATAGTTGATTATTTTAGTATCACCAGAGCAATAAGATAGATTCAAGTGACATAATAGATAATCGATTGACCGACAAATTTGGTGATTAATCATTATTTTATGACATCTTTCTCAAAAACTCAATATTCTAAATATAGTTTATGCACTAAAACATGGAAATGCTAACCGCTAGTTTGCCGAGAAAACAATTTTTAAAAATGATTGTGCAACTTGTTGCTAGACATGTTGTGAATAATCTGTAACATATGAGAAACTTTAAAATCTTAAAATAGATTATCACGCAATCAGCATGTTTTACATTTCTGTCCAAACTACTCTGAATTTTTCATTTTAATGCGTCATTAATAGATGATAGAAAAATGCGTTTCAACTGCTTTACTGAATAACTCACAAAATTTTAAGTCATGCAAGAAAACCTTGAAATGTTAAATTAAGCTTTTTTATGAAAGCAAGTGAAATTTAAATTTTCACTATTTTTTTCAGCATGATTGTTCGTCCGTGCTCGCAAGCGATCGTTGCTCTAACGTTTAGCGTCTGTATGTATTACTGACATTCATTTTGTTGACTAATTACTCAAAATTGTCATTATTATTATTTTAGATGTCTTAAAGCCGATCTTCCCAGAATGTGACCCACCAGAAAGTGTGTCGCGTATGCTTGCTATGTGCTGTATATGTAAGAATTTACAAATAAATCATCATGTAACATAATTTTATACAAGCTTATATCCTTTTCATTGTAGTGTTATTGACATTTGTTAATTGCTACAGTGTAAAAATGGCAACACGTGTTCAGGATTACTTTACATACGCAAAACTTCTAGCTCTCTTTATTATCATCGCATTCGGAATGTATCTACTTGCATTAGGTATGAATCCGTTGATTTGCGCATGAATATTCTGAAATTAATTAACAAATCTTACTTTGTATATTCTAGGAAATGTTCAATATTTTACATTTGATGACACAAAAACTGAAGTTACGTCATTGGCACTTTCGTTTTACTCTGGACTGTTTGCCTACAATGGATGGTAAGGATCAATGACGAAATTACCGCAAGGAATAAAATTTCATGTCTTTTTGTCTGATTTTAGGAATTACTTAAATTTCATCATTGAGGAATTAAAAGATCCCGTTAAGAATCTTCCACGTGCTATTGCAATTTCATGTACTCTTGTTACAGTTGTTTATGTCTTCACGAATGTTTGTAAGTACTACTTGAGAATTATGTTTTCACTAATATAAGTTTTTAATTAAAATTGTGTCTTATATTTCAGCATTTTACACGATTCTCTCACCCAGTGAGGTTTTGGGAAGTGAGGCTGTGGCTGTGACATTTGCTGATAAGGCTTTTGGCATGTTTGCTTGGACAATACCACGTAAGCTTTTTTGTTCACTAATAAAGCGTTTTATTTTGTGTGTAAGGCAGAGATAATCTTGTTCACCAACTCTGCATCATACATAATAGAAAGAGTACACAAAAGAGTCTGAATGTAACCGGTTAAATTCACCCTATTCTTCGTACATTAACAAAAAAAAAATTAAATTGCTTTATTAACTGAGAAAAGGGAATTTTCTTATTCAATTTCTTCTTATTCTTTTAGTTTTCGTTGCTATGTCAACATTCGGTGCTGTGAATGGAATTCTCCTAACTTCTTCTCGTCTGTTTTATGCCGGTGCTGTTGAGGGACAAATGCCTGAAATTCTTACAATGATTCAAGTTCAAAAATTCACTCCAACTCCAGCTGTGCTCGCAATTTCACTGGTAAGTAAGACCGCTGCAGTAAAGTCTGACAAAACTACCGCAAAAGTGGAATCCTGAGTTCCCAAAATAACATACTAATTAATAATCTTCATTCACGTTCTAGTTATCGATGATGTATCTCTTCGTCCGTGACATTTATGCATTGATTAATTATGTTGGATTTGCTACGTGGTTGAGTATTGGAGTATCAGTATTATGCTTACCAGTGTATGTTTTTATCGATAAATATTCAAATGTATAATTTCTTAATCTGCGATTTTACTTCTTTTAGGCTACGCTACACTCAACCAGATCTCGTACGGCCAATAAGAGTGAATTTATTCTGGCCAATTCTTTATCTCTTGGCTACTGTCTTTGTCACAGTTGTTCCAATGTATGCTAGCCCCTACGAAACTGGTTATGGCTGTTTGATGATTCTCACGAGTGTTCCTGTCTATTTCATTTTTATTGCTTGGAAAAATAAACCAAAGGGATTCCAAAAAGCTATGGGTGAGTATCATATTATTGAACATTGTTTTCTGTGGTCTGTCATCGGATGCCTTAATCAGATTATTGGATAAAAGATTCAGACACAAAATTCTCTTGTGGTTCTATTGTACACTTATTGCACTCACTTTAAACTTTTGTGTCATTTCAACTGGATGTTTTGGATTTCTGTACATTATTTGAGCAGCAGCACTATACTGTTGTAATTTCGTAGTTGTTCATATTTCTAGCATCTCAAATTAACTAGCTAAAGTTTAACCTTAATTGACTTCTGCAAGAAATGTTGAACAACAAAGTCTTAATTAAAAGTTTTTAAGTGTTTTTGTTCTTTCTTAAATCTTACTAAAATACCAACAAAACAGAGTTGCCTTCAAGGTTATTTGATGCAAGAGATCTGGTTTAAAAAAAATCACGTTTCATTAAGTCATTTACTTGCTAATTAGCATCCGAAAAACTGAAAATTAACATAAGCACAGCAATAATCTTGTGGGCCACTCTGCTGCAAATTCACAAGAACCACAAACAAAAGCAAAAAGACGCTAGAATTGACAGACCACAAAAAATTAATTAACTTTAATTTGCTTCACATTAAAAACCTTTCACTGATATCACATATTCTGCAATATCAAATCAAAAAATTTACAGGATCTATTACGCAAAAATTGCAAAAATTGTTGATGGTCGTTCGTGGAAAGACTTCACAGGTTTAGTTTATTTTAGTTTTTCTGTTTCTTAATATTTAAGATCTTTCTCTCACTATTCCAAACAAAAAAATTATGTTTTTAACAAAGTTTTGTTACTTTTCATTTTTTATGTACACGAATTTTTAAAGTTTTTAAAAAAAATCTCATTATTATTATAGTGCATGTTAGGTTTTAGTTTTAATCTTCTCTGTCTAATTATGTTTTAATTGTTTTAAAAAAAAAGTTGTTCATTCTTCCCCACTTACTGCACATTTTATTCGCACAAATTAACACAAATCTGCAAAAAAAAAAGTATTAACACTCACACATGATTGTAGCATAAGTTTAAGGAAATGATAGCGATAATATAAAAATTATTAAATTATTTTGTAACTGAATTTTTTTTATTTTCTCTCTTTTCCATTTATTTTTCTTAAAAAACCTTTCAGTAAGTTTTACCAGAATACTCCAAAAGCTTTTGGTTGTTGTTGGAAAGTCAGCCAAGCCAACTCAGGTGTAATTCAATTCTTTTAAAACCCTCAATGATATTCACTCATTCCATTGCCAACATCCAAAGCTCATCTGTAATATTCCAAGCTGGACATAATTAATTCCCATTGTGAATATCAATCCTCCCAACATCATAAATCAAAAGGACTTCAGCATTAATTTTTTTTTCAATCATCATCACGTAATTCTTCGGAAAAAAAGTATAAAATTGACAGGATAAAATTTGTGCGTTGGACGAGCCAATAAATTAGATTCTATTGAACGCACATAAATCACATTGATTCGATCATCGAGAATTTGTAATTTTAATATTAATTACCTATGAGGAAAATATAATTTGTGTTGATATTTAAATGAAAATTCCATTGAGGTGGAAAATCAAAAATGTATTATACATCAATTAGAAGGCTGTTGCATTTAATTCAACACTAGTGACATTGAAAAAACTTAGTCCATGATGTTGATTTTTTTATGTAAATTGTAAATTGTGCTGAAATTAAGGTTCACATTTAATTATTCATTTATTCAGAACAGCCAGAAAATTTATAATCAATTAATCAACAGCCAAAAAGTTTGTTTCCAACTGAATTTAAAATGAATTGAAAAAGAAAACCACTCAAATGTTTGAAATAAGAAACATTTTTAAAGTTTTAAAACAATAATTTGTATGGTTTTGGTTTCATAACGGACATTTTAAATTTAAATGTTCCAAAACCTTGCAAATTATTCTTTGATAAAACATTTGTAGAGTTCTAAAATGTTAATTGTGCATGCAAGTCAAGACCAGAGCAATTTACAATTTAATCAAGTGAAATCAACGTCAAACGTAGACAATTCAAGCTCATTATTTCAATTCTAATTAGAGAAAGTATGAGACTCTTGAGAAATCAATTTAAAGAAGAAAAAGTAGAAAACTTTTTTTAATCTTCTAGACGAGAGTCATTTGGAGGTATTTTTTGAATGACCAAAAAACAGATAATACAAAAGTAATGTAATTAAGAGAACTGCTCGAGAGAATTTTTTTTTTCTTAAGAGTTCAACAAGACAGTGAGATATGAAGATGAAATAAGATATTGAATGATAGAAAAAGCCCGACTAATATAATATATAGTTGTTTAAGCAGTACTCAATAATGAAGATGACAATAATTTACAAAATGTGACAAAATTAAATATTGTCAACAATAATATATACTATATACAGATTGTAGACATCGCATATTATACATTGGATGAATTTTAAAGGACCTTTATTGATGTAAGTAAAATAATAATAATAACACTATAGATTGATAAATGAAGGATTGCTAGTCTATGTAAGCGGTGTTCTGGATCTAGACGACCATTTTTTGGCATAGATACATTTTGGATGAGAGCATTCAGCATCTGTGGATTGAAATAGCGAAATTTTAGAGAAATCCAGACTTGCTTTTTGGTGGACAAATATACAAAATTCCATCGTTATACTCAGGATTCTAGAGATATACTCAATAATATAAAGTTCCAGCTAAATTTTACAAACACTATCCTAAAGTCCAGTTTCAGGATGAGGCCGTTCAATTATGACGTCCGAAATTAACGGTCATTTTTCAAAAAAGAACAATGAATTTTCAGGAATTTCTATTGTTCTTTTCTTGCTGAACCCCCCCCCCCCCCCCCCCCCCCCCCCCCATGGACGTCATAAGTGAAAGGTCCCTATCCAAAATGTACAAATATCCCAAAAACTTACAAAATATTCAGCTTCTAGATCCAGAAATTGTCAACAAGACTAGCAACCCTAACAAACATGCTAGCTAAAGACAAAAATTACTGAACGGGGAAGTAATAATGAAACACATATCAATTAACATCCGTGAGAAAAAAAATAGAACTAGATTAAAAGACAAGAGATCATCGCTTTATGGCTTATAAAAAAAATTAATTTATTTAAAAAGCTTTCAAGAGTGACAAAGTGGAAGGGAATATGGAAATAAAACTCAATGAAAATGCCTTTTAAATTGATAGAGTTTAACAGCATTTGATCGAACTTATAAAAGTAAATGAAAGGAATAGAATGTGTGTATGCATCAAAAGCATAATGTTGAGATCAGTTTTAATTTAAGGACACAAATTATAAACTATATTGCTTGTTATCGTTATTAAAATGTTGTCGTCATTAAAATTATCAAATTACTTCCTAAAATATAGAAACTGATTTAGACAGCTTTATTTTCCTGAAAAGTTTCATGTTATTTGATCGCGGTTGACTGAAAATTATTAAACCTTTTTAAATGAATAATTTGTCCCCAGAATTGTAAGGATTACATGACTTTTTTGGGGGTTTTAATAAATGTCATTTATGTCATTAGGTTTATTGGATATTTGTTGTTGGAAAATCATAAAATTTCTCCATTTACACGAAAGTCATGTGACTCACGAGATTTGCGAGCTTTTCAAGAAATTCTACGCTCACAACGTCTGACATTTCTTATTCCCAAAAGTCATGCTTACTCTAAGGATTCAATGTTAAATTGTGAATGTGTGTCATTCAATTTTAATTCTTTATTTAAAAGTAATTTACGACGTACGCATTTATGCTACAAAGAGTGATTCTGTGTCAAAGGCATTATTGTGTGTTCTGAATGAATTTTGAACTTGAATGAATAAGATCTTATTATAAGTTAATGAGCATAAAGTTTAATTGGTGGAAACTTTGTTCCCTTTTACAAAAGTTTTCATTCTAAAATGTTTCATTTTAACCATGCCTCTTAAGTTTTCGGCATCGCGAGTTAATGACCCTAAAGAAATTCAAGGTAATTGTCTACCTTTTTACTCAATTTATATTCTTAATCCTTAAACTTTGTCTGGTGGAAATTAATTGATGAAAGGACATTGACTTGATAAGAGGCTGGCGAGAAGTTTAAATTTGATTATGAAATCACACAAAACGTCAAAACCTTGCGTTAAGAATCCCTCAATTTCCTCTCGAATAAACTGAAAAGAAAGTTATTTGTGAAATGGAATGAAAGCAAATCATTCATGCGGTTTCAGTCAATCGATTTCAATGAACTTTTGAACCCCTTCTTCTATCCTCAAAATAAAAAAAAGAAACATTTAAAGACTAGAGTATTCTTATCATTTCTATACATCTACAATCAGCTAGGTTGATACTTGTTAAGAAGAACCATGAACTATAGTAAAAAGCAAATTCCACAAAACATGACTTTTATTATTTTATCACCATGTTATGCAGTACTAAAAAATAAACAAATAAAAAAGTATGTGAAAAAAATAAAACAAATGAAGCAAAATGAAGTAAGTTTAAAGTGTATTCTGAGCAAACTGTAAATTGTAATCTGAATAAAAATAAATAAATAATTAAAAAATAGCAAAAAATAAAGGTTTAAACAGACAGAGATAAAAAATTGTTTTAAATACATTATGATTTATGGGATGTTTTAGTCATAAACAAAGCATTTCAAGAATTTTTTATGGTTTGCTGGGCATACGGCAGCACATTTATCATCATGTATGTGATATCTAGATACGGGTCGTAATTGTACCGGAAACTTCATCCTTCCTTCTTACGTCCTTACTCACGTTAGTAATTAAGTAATATTGGAATTGAAAGTAAGCTTTTTAAGCAATCATTCCAGATTGGATTTCCCACATTTTCATTATTAAAAATGCACCTACAATTCAGCGGTATACTTGACATATCTCCATGAGGGTTTTAATAATTAAATGCAAAATTTATTATTCTGGCGTCATTTGTCTGCTATCTCACGACATGAATTTATTTTTGAGTGAAATTTTCGTTAAAGGACATTTCATGTAAGGTTTGGAAAAGCAGCTTTAAAGTTGCTAAGGAAATTTCTTTAGAGGGGTGTTTTTGTAGCAATTTGGAACTGAATAACAGTATTTGTTTTGGGCTGTTTTGCCATATTTACAGGGGTCTAATTGAAATCATCCGTATTTATTAATTTTAAGCTTTCAGAAAATCATGTTTCAGGTCATCATCCTAGAATAATAACATTTTTCTCCCCTCACTTTTGATAAATTCTTTTGAAATCTTTGATAATAAGCTATAGAATCCATGTAAATGAAGTTATTATATTATCAAACAACAGATTGCAAACTTTTTCGCAGTAAACATTGACATTTAACACCAAATATACAAAAACAAAGATGGTGGATTTTCACACCCCTGAATTTTCTCACTTCAGAAAGTTTTAACTTATTTATTGACATAAGACAGTAATTTAGTGGAAAGTTATTAAATCAACAGAATTAAAAAAATGGTAAGTAGACAAATTGAAACAATTTACAGCATAAACTGATTTAATTCAGTAGAATTTGTGTATTTACATTCTCAGAAGAATAAACAACCACAACTAATTCCTTCTTGATTGAATTTTTTTATTGTTTCTTAAAGTACTCGTTCTTAAACATTCCAATACATCCCAACATGAATCTTAAATAACCGTAACGTATAAAGAGAGAAGTTTGAATACACAGTAAAATCTAGTCCATTTTTGCTTGTATATGTGAGAGAGACGTCTACTACGTCAAAACAGTACCAGCACAAATAAAACTTCGACTAGTTACAGAGCGATAAAAATTTCTAGGCTTCAATCTCTTCTCATTTTACTCAAATCTATTTAATTAAACCGAGTCAAAATAAAGTTTTATTATTGCAAAAGTGTAGTTAAAAGTGTAAAGTTTTATATGTTTATCGAGTACATAAGTGTATTGCAGTCAAAACTAAGATCAGAACAATTAAAAATTTGGTTCCAACCACCACACCTCGAAATTTTTTTTCACTTCTTCTCCTTCGATTTCGCACAAGAAAAAAATCAAAAAAGAAAAATTTATGAAGATGTAATTAAATGTTATTATTATATCACACTCAAAAAACGAATCATAATATGGCTTAATTAAAATTAATTGTTTCAACATTCATATGAAGCATGGTAGTGTTTATTAAAAACCAATTTGAACAAGGTCAAATATGGGGTCAATGAAAAAATTATCAAAAAATATTTTTTTTTGCTTCTCGACGATTTTTTTAAGGAATGAAAAATATTTTTTCTTCTTCATGTCGGGGAGAGTTTGTTTCTCAATTAATGGATCCATAAATTATTCAATTTATGATCAAAATATGAATAGAGATTTCAGTAAAGTGCCGTGTTTTGTTGGTGTTTGAAGGAATTTTTCGCATTCCTCTCCATAATAATCATAAGTAGTACGCGTATTTGTGATTGAACTTCAAGTCAATTCTATTGTCTATTTCCGTATTGATTCACAAATTGTGAGTAAATTATAGTTTCTGGATCTCCTCATTCAAACAACTTTTTTTATTTTTGCCAAGTTCTATTAATCTCTCGAACTAAAATCTCATAGATCTAAAGTAATCCTTGAAAAGTTACAAGTATCACGAGACTTTACATTTGACACATGACTTCTCACACAGGTTTCGCAGTAATTCAATAAACACATACGAATTTATCAATTTATCTCGCTTCTAGTTTAGTCAACACATAGTGCGAATAATGTATCTCGTCATAAGTGATGAATATCGTATGATTTCAGTTTTAGACAAAACTTTATGAGAATTCTATGCTTTATAGATGATTCTTCAAAAAGTCACGTATTTCATGCAATTTTGGAAATCGCGAAATCAAACGAATTTTGTTTGGATTTCCTTTCCGTTTTGCACGGTTTCTAGTTTTGCTCATGGGTATTGTTAAGTAGCTCTAAGACCTTCAAACATAAAGAGATCTTAAACGCTACTGAAAGTTGATATCAGGGTCGATTGCTTGGACATATCTTAGATGTATCTAGTCCATCATTTTGTCAACTGAATGTGATTCCATTCCATTTTAGCGAACATTAATATCCAATAAACCTTTCAAAGCATTTTATTAATTTTCAATTCAGTAAATTCACAGGTGGAAGATTTCCCAAACCCCTTCTTATAGATTTTTAAGCTTACAATTTTCATTCGAACGAAAAGGCAATAAGTTCCATAAGAGCTAGCGAGCAAAAATCAGGATCATTGTACGATTTCTTCAATAGTCATAGCTTGCAATCATTCGAAGAATGTGGAATAAAAAAAAAATATATATTTTTCATCTCTCAAGTCGGCGAGAGTTAGGTTCTCAATTAATGAGTTAATAAATTATTCAATTTATGAATAAAAATATAAAATAAAATATGATTTAAATAAAGAGTGCCGTGTTTCTGCTGTGAGTGCGAGAATATACATATATGTGAATTGAGATTTAAACTAGAGACAAACTCCGCATATCAATTTATTTATTTACTTATCCATATACAGAGCTATATTAAATTTAAAAGTGCACTAGTGACAATATAAAAAAAAAATAATAATTTATTCTCTCTTCTCGATTACTATTAGGATTGTTGCAAGTTGAAAGTGAATACATTTGAAAAATAAAATTAAAAAAAAAAATTATCAAGCGGAAGAGAATCGCAATTCATTTACGAAAGATCAAAGATTAAAGAAGACACAAAAAAAATTCAATTTTCGAGCAGAAAAATTGCAAAAAATTCAAAACCACGGGAACCGATTACGGTTCAGTTATTTATAGGAATAGAGGCATTTGTTTGGGTGAAGGAGTGATAAAAATAAAAAGCCGCCAACCTGGAACTGATGGAGTTAGAGAATATTGTGGCCAATACGGTCTACCTCAAAGCCAGAGAAGGTAATAAAATGTTTAATCATGTCTCCTTAGTAACTTTCTAGTGCTTTTAAAGAGCACACACAAGAAACAACAAAGTTTTTCCTTTTCTTATTTCATTTCTTGTCTTCATTCGTTTTCATTCTTAAGATGAAAAGTTTTTCTTATCCTCCTCACATTTCTCATCCCTCCTTGCTCCTTTTCTTAATGCTGTTAAGCTATTCTCTGTTTGTTTTGGCAGGGTTGTAACAGATTATGATTGCTAGAATATCTTGTTATGTTCGTAAATGTTCATGTCCTTGTGATTACATCATGAATTGTAAAAGTTGGCTAGGTTTAACGATTTATGTGTTTACTGGAGCAGACATTTAGATTTGAATGGATAACGTCTTGAGTTTGCGTGTGTTTGTTCAATGAGTGGACACTCGACATTTCTTAGAAATTTATAAAGAAAGCTTCATGACTAACCGAATTCATATAAAGTCCAGCTCATAAAAAATTCAAAGAATTTCTCAAATCAAATTCGAAAGTATTCACATCTTGTGAGGGAATTGTTGCTTAGAGATGCGGAAGCAGTCGACCCTATGAATTGAATAATTTTTTATTTTAATATTGTGAATTGAGTCCTCTCTTGACAATCTGGATGAGAATTCTGCCAAGTATCATTACTTAAGCATGAATTAAAAAGTAAACAAGTTATGAGCACTTAAATTGAGGCTTCTACTCTCATTAGTAAAAGATGCTGGATAACTTTCTCCTGTTTTGCTTGGTTCATCTGGATACTACATTTATCTTTATATCTTGTCTGGACAGCTAGATAATACATTAAGTGCTCTTTGAAGGTGCTCATTAATCTTTCGTATCGTTAAAGATCGAAATTTCTTCTTTATCTAGCTGATTATTGTCTTAATAATGTGCAATACCTTAACAAATATTTGGTTTGAAATACCTAAGGTAAATTGAGTCATTTTCGATATAACTGCTTCATGATTAATTACAGCAGTCTCCTATTTAACTATTCAGTTAATTCTATTGGGACGAATAATTTACTGAAGCAATAAATCCGTGATTAATTTGTTTTTGAGGTTTAACGTTTTTATATTGCGTATGGCTCTTGCTTGTTATTGACAATAACGCTACCAGCAAGTATTTGATTGCAAGAATATTGCAAAAAAATAAATGTTGTTAAAAGCGGATATTGAATTTAAAAGAAAGCGACCCTTGGGATGTTTTTCTCGTCGTTTTTAAATTGCTTGAATTCAAAATCGCACAATTTATATTTTCAACGGGACATCCACATTCATCGCCATTTATATTATCTGTGCAAAAAAAAAATTTCTCCAACTCTGAATTTCTACCTCTCGTCGTCAATTAAATTCCGTTCCCTTCATAAATTTTCTCATCTCCAGCTACACATCTATCCATCTACATTTCACAGAATGTTTGATGATTCTACGATAATGACTATGATGACGCTGACGATAACGATGAGATTTGATGCTTGTGTCTAAAAATATATTAAAACTGTTATCGTATTAAGCAAAAGATATGGGGGATAAAAAGATAATAATTGAGACAATTATCTCCTTTTGTCAATTCATCTCACATTTTTTTTCTGCTGCTATATTTCCTTTATATGGGTATGTTTGTGCTTAATACATTTCCGTTTTATAAAATTATAGAAATTGCTTTTTTTTTGTCATTTTACAGACAGCTTGTGAGGGGATAATTGTAGATTCATAAGGATATTTTCGAGAACTTTTAGGTTTACATGTGAAATGATAATTTTTTTAGGTCTGAGTTGTTCGTGATCAAATTTCTTTCTCTTCCTCATGCCTTTTAAATGCTAAAATTTTCTATATCGAATTTTGAAGAAAAAGGATTGAAATTTTGTGAACATGTCTATACCAATTATGTTTGGGGATTTAAGATACTGTCATTACCAAAAAGCTATGACTTCAAATGATACTAATTTGATCGAATGTATTTGACCATTTTTGATGCTTACTTAAATGAATTTGCATGTTCTGTTTAATATTAAATTAAATTAATTCCATTATTCCTATTAAGATGCTGCAAGATTGATTCTGTTTCCATTGGCAATTACTGATATTGTTATCTATATTTGCATCATGTATTCAGGAGTAAATGAAAAACAAAAGACTAAGTCAGTCGAATATTACCACAGTGGGAATTCTGCATTAAAGCTATCTCTCAAGCACCTGCGTTAAAATATTAGATTTTCCATAAGTTGATTATACTTTGTCTAAATCCAGTATCAGCATCATATGATGAAATAGACTCTTCAAATTCGATTATGGTCGGATGCATTAGCTAGTCTGTGAATACACTAGTGTTTACTTGAATAATTGAAATAAGCGCCCACACTGGAAATACGAACATAAGGATCTCATCTGATCAGAGACTACATTGTCGTTGCGCTCGTATATAAATCTTCAAATCTGATTAGAGACCATTTAGAAATGACGTATAACATCGAGAGGATGGACAACAGTTATCGAATTTTATGATAGATGCAATTCGTGAAATTAAGTACTTTCAAGAGATATAAAGGCAAAGAGATATCTGGCTCAGGCGGATTTTTAACTCACAAAATTGTAAAATCGGATTCGATATCAAGTCCCCTTGATTATATCTTACAGAATTCAAAGTCCTTAAAGATTCCGAAGGATTATTGCCGTTTGAAACAAGAGAAAGAGGAAATCACGCATTTGTGATTACTCCAGTTCAAGGATAAATTTTTTCCATGCTGTAGATTAAATTTTCGAGCATCCTATTCTCTGAGTGGGAGTAAAGAATGCTTCTCCTAACTGAGTTATCTACTTTGTAAGTTGACTTGTAAACTCATTTTTATAGCTGTTCGGAAATATCCTGGGAATTAATAGGTGAAACTTTATATCCTTCTAATTTCTTACATGAAACTTTTTTTTGTAAGCATCAAGAAGAATTAAGTCATGCATAATGTATGTTTCTGATGAATTTGTTTCATTTTCTATAGAAATTGTCCTAGATTTTCTGAATCCATAAAATTTTAACAATCAGGAATGATTTATGCAGCATAGTCACAATCTTTTAAATCTTCTATCCAATGTGAATAATCACTGAGTGAAAAGTACACATTTAAGGCACTTGAAAGAGAAAATGTTTCACAATTTGATGTTTGATGTAATATCATTCACCTAGAAGTGCTTTATGCTGTACACGTTTTTGAAAGCTAAAAAAATTATCGTAGGGAATCATCCATTGCGTAGGTTTTAAGGGCTGATTCATCACAAAGGATTGCGCTGAAATGTTCGATAATGGAAGTGGTTATTGCATGTCATTTTACCAGGTTGTTGTACTCTTTTGTGGAATATTCGATAGAAATCAAAAGTTGAAGCAATAATTTACTTAAATATATTGAGGCGTCCATAGATGTAAATCAATATCAATTAAGGAGGATTAACTTGGAGATTTGGAATGAGAAAAACAATGAGTCGTTGCCTCAAATGCTCATGATGATAATGTTAAAGCTAGTCATTACTACTAAATAAAGTTTATTTTATCTTAAACGTTGTTCCTCCCTTTTTTGTTCTTGAACTATTATGCATGCATTATTCAAGAATCAAGCATCATTAGTAAGGATATATAGCAGCACTTTCAACAATACATATTCTGCTGCTTGAAGACAATGAAATGACTAAGAAGACGATCTACTATTTAACTTCCACTCTGTGAATTATTCAACAGGAAATTACCATAAAAATTAATGTCGAAATTTTTTATCTATTTTCTCGTTAAAGGTGGCTCTGACAGTAACAAAGGAAAGAGTAAAAAGTGGCGAAAAATACTACAATTTCCACACATATCTCAATGTATAGATCTCAAAAATAAAATAGGTAAATAGAAATGTACACACTTTTATGCATATAGACATTAAAATTCCTTTATTTGTTTATAAGTATATCATAACAGCAGGAAAATAGTATTTTCATTTTGTAAATACAACACATATATTTGCTCACTCTTTCATTTGAATTAATTCATTAGCATCATTAACTTAGTAATTTTGTAATAAACGCACATTTTTTTGTGTGTAAACGAAATTCAAAAACACTGAGTATTTTTATGGCTCTTCCTAGTATTTTATTATCCAGGGTAGTTGGAATAGACTTAAGTTTTGGTATGGAAAAGTTTTATGCGCAGCTACAATTAATAAATGTGTTCAATATAATTGAGAATTAAAAAGATATTGACCCTTGCTAAGCAAATTACAAATTAATTAAGCATTTGGATCACACACCACATCCAATTTCATTACCACAAAATTCTTCATGCTCAGTAATTTCATCGTTTCAATGCCAAGTAGGCACAATCTATCGAAATTCCTCACAATTTATTCTCCAAAATTATTGAGTCATCGCTTTTTTAAAACATGGCATTTCACAAATTGCTTTAATGCTGAGATATATTACATACAAGTCTGTTGAAAAAGCAGATCACCAAATATTGAGTTTGGAAAATCACTCGTGTAAGCTACTAATTTTACGTCAGTATCAATATTGCTGAATGTCTGCATTTTTGAGATTCACTTAAGATTTCAAGCAATCTTTAACGTTTTCGGATGTATGGGGGCATTTAAAGGTGACGTCTTTTTGATTCCTACATTACAAGCATTAAGGATAAATCCTTGAAAAATCTAAAATTAAGATAAATTGTTCCTGTACAGAAATAAATTACCATAGATTTAAAATTTATACAATACAACATTCCTTGGAGGCAGGAATGAGAATGTTTTCTTTAGATTGTATAAATTGATTCTCAGCAAGTCTGTCTGCTATGTCTATCTGCATGACGTTAGAGACGCTTTGTCACAGCAACTGTTACCAGCTTTTCCTTAAAATTACCACAAAAATATTTTTTTATTATGAACATGATGGAAGTTGCTCAATTTGTGGTTGATGCTTGGTAACATTTCGATTTGCTGAATTTTTAATGATGATAGGAGCGGATTAAAGATTGAACGGATTTAATATTAAAGTGGATGTAATTATGTGGACAAAATGTCAAAATGTTTAATAAACCAGACATTCAACCCCACTCCAATTTCGAAATTTTTTGCTGTATCCTTAATTTTCTCTAATAAACTCAATATGAGTGAATTTTATAAAATAACTTGACTCGATGCGAAATGAATAAACTGAATAAAAATTTCATTCACGAGATCGATAAACCAATTTGTAAGTTTAGATTTCAAAATTATCTGAACCTGATGTGCTTATACAATATCACCACAACATTCCTAACATTGAACTTAACTGCTCATTAGCTTTGACATTTGTACGGAGTTATACATAACGTAATGCAACAAATTTCGTTTCCATACAATCAGCACTTAAAAAAAATTTGAATTTAAAATTTGCCGACAGTTCGACTAGCCTGGATGATTAAAGAGCAATTAAAAAAGCATTTTTAAAATAACTTATTGCTTTCATATTCCTTACTTCTTATTCTTTTTCTTTCCACATGTAGATGTAAGTTATGATTATGTCGTAGATCAACAGCCTATAGGCAATGTACTATTTCGACAATTTTGTGAAAATAAAAGGCCAGAATTTCACAAATATGTTAAATTCTTAGAAAGTGTATCAAGGTAAATTGCTATTTATTAATGCTCTATTGAAAAACAGAACTAATGTATTCGCATTTATTACGAAAAAGCAATCATTTGTCATTGACTTGCTTAAATATTCACATCAATTTATTTATTTTCTCACTTTTTCTTTACAACACCTGTAATTCCTATCAATTCAACAATGCGTAAAAACAACAAATGACCTTTAATCCTTACAAACATGACAGATATGAGATAGAATCTGATGATCATCGAAAAACAAATGCCTGTGAAATAGGACGACGATATTTGGGTGTTGAGAACGTAATAAAAGCGATAGATCAAGAGAATGAGAAGACAGAGTCCAACAATATCAATCAAAATAATGTATCATCGCCAAAAAATAATTCACAAGTTACTGAAAAAGTGGATGGTCAATCAATGCACGAAACTGATCTTGTAATTGATATAATAAATAAAGAACTCATTACGGACGTCGAGCAGAAAATTCACAGTGAGTATATCTTTTCATACTGAAGATGCCGTGCACTTAGTAGATCCAAATTGTTTAAGGCTTGCTTCTCAAGTATCGGATGAAGATGATTGGAACTTCTTTCGTCGACCTTGTTCGTTTAAGCTTTATAGAATTTTGTATGAAAGAAATATTACTGTAATCATGTAAACCATTGTACGTATCATATTAAACTTTCACGTGTAATGTTAACTTAATTCCTCTTTTGTGTCAGTAAAATTACACATTTTCCATTATTTACATGATTAGTTGTCATACTATACGCTTGAAATATGCTATAATAATCGTGTCTACATGACTATTATTATCCTTTTTTCACTGTAGTGTGAAATTTTATGGATGATAATTACAATTTTCTGAGAAAATTTTAATGGACTTAAATTGCTTGTTGTTACTAGCTTTTCTTAGGAAAACTTTATGTTTTCTTGAGAATCTTACCTCAATTCTGCCATTTGATCTATCAAAGTTTGTTTATACAACAAACATTTTAAGGTGTCCTGGATATCATCCACGCTGAATAATTTCCGTAAAAAAATTCAATTTGCCGAAAAAACTCTCAATTAACTTAATTAGCTGACCTGCGGACATTACATACATTTTATGACTTTATGCAATAGCTGCGTTGATTAAACGTCCAGTGTTTGGAATCAGAATATTTTATGTGATTATATTGCTTTAAATCAATGTTCGCATGTTTAACACGATTACATTCTATCACGATAGACGTATACATTCATTCTACACACATTTTTATTATCAACTAAGTAATGATACACGAAAGAATCGCGTATTTCGTGTTTTGTCGCAATATTTCCTTTTTATATAACACGACTTTTTGATAGCTTATAAAATCAATCTCGATTCTTTTTCGGAAATCTCGGTAAAATGTGATTTCCGAATAAGCAGCTTTAACGAAAACAAATTCATCTCATTTTGAGTCTTCCCCGACTTGAACATCAATGTGCATGTTATTAATTAAGTATCTCCAACTCATATTAATATACTTTTTATATCCATCAACTTTTTCTCTCCCTCTCATATTTATTTATAGCTGCTTCTAAAGAGCTCTATGAACTGTGCTTCACCGCAGTCAAAACGTATTTGGCTGGAGAGCCATTTAGAGAATTTGAGACTTCAATGTATTTCCATAGGTAAGGTGCAGCGAAAAAATAAATAAGTAATGATATCTATAAAAGAAACTTGCTTACTGTCAATTATGCAATGCCATCGAAAATGCCCCCATGAGAATAAAATACTTTTAATATGCACACATACATAAAAATGTGTACATAAAAAATACATATTAAGCTATGCTTCATAATGTTGATGAAAATATAGACAAATATTCAATAGCCTTATTAAACAATATAATGTATATATGCTTCAATTTTATCTTTGCGTGCTTCATTTTTATCATCATGTATTCAAAACAATATTCTCTATGGAACTGATTAGCTATAAGCTAAGACGAGATGAAAATGTACAAATACTTATTGGATTCGGATGACTAGCTTTTTGAAATGTTGACAGTCTTGAAAGAATCTTAATGGATTTAAGAAGTGATGAAACGTATTATATTCAAGAGTGAGGAGTGCTCAATACTTTTTGTCCCGACCTAAAATCGCTAGAGTCTGCTAAATTCTTAAATCAGAGTGTTGAAGTGGTATAGTTTCCTTGTAGTGAGATTAATAAGCTTTTTAAACTTCATAGAGCCAAGTCAATTTTATGCTCAAAATCAGTTTTAAGCGGAAAAACTTTGTCTTCATGAAAAACAGACAGAAAAGTTAGGAGGAGCACTTTATCTTAAAAACATAATTGAATATAAAAACTTTTTCGTTTTCTAATGTACACCACTCTATTGAAACTTCGACTTTCATCAAAACTTTCTTAAGTCATCAGATGTTTCTAGCCACCCAAAGAATAAACATCACGCATTTGTTTAGCAAAAGAAAACTTACAGCAAGACGGAAAATGATTTTCTTATTCTCATTTCGTTCTTATGTTTATTTCAGATATCTTCAATGGAAATGGCTTGAGGCTCAGCCAGTTACCTATAAAACTTTTCGGATGTATCGAGTCTTAGGAAAGGGAGGCTTTGGTGAAGTTTGTGCATGTCAAGTATGTATATTTCTGTCATCTTATTTCCTATGTCATTTCAATTACTTTAATTTGATGATTTTGATCCCTTTTAGATTCCCTCCATCTCCCTTTTATTTTGATCCGATTTTCTTATTTCCTTCCGATTGCCATACTCTTCTATATTGACTATAAAGTCATCATTTTATGTGTTTCAATTCTCATTTCATATTTTTTACAATTTTATTATGTTAATATTATTTCTCTTTATCACATTATGGCATTGTATTGTATTCTATTCTTACTTTTCGTAGGTAAGAGCAACTGGCAAAATGTATGCATGTAAGAAGCTCGAGAAGAAGCGAATAAAAAAGCGAAAGGGTGAATCTATGGTGCTTATTGAGAAACAAATATTGCAAAAGATCAACTCTAGATTTGTCGTAAATTTAGCGTACGCTTATGAGACTAAAGATGCTTTATGTCTTGTTCTTACCATCATGAACGGTATGTTAAGTTAAAACAGAAAAAAAGTGAACGAGAATTTTCATGAATTTTTAATATCATCATCACATAAATCATACATGTATATAGAGACTCGTTTATGTAAATTACTATGTTATTATCATTGTGATGATGTATTTCTAGCTTAACAGCTTTTTAGCTATTCGTGGTATTGTTAGCATATTGTCTGTTTATTGGGTAAACAAGACTGAATTATTGATTTACAATTTTCAAGCTTGACTGGATTTTGTTGTATTATTAGCTCATTGACATGTGAAGGCTTTGTTCTGGAAATCTTCATTACAGATTCTATGCTTATCATTTTCATTCTTATGAGCACATTCCTGACGTAGATAATGTTTTAAATGCTACAAATATTGATTTTCTTTAAAATCCAGTCATAAAACCAAAGGCAAGACTTTCGTTTTGCTTCATTAAATTCTCTACGATTTATGTCACGATTTTTTGGCACTGAGGCATGTCTAATTTCTCATGGGAACGTTCATAAATGACTTTAATATCTAACATGATAGACGTCATAAGTAAGCTGCTTCATATCCAACAATCATACCAGAAATGTGCAAGCAATTTACATAAATGCGCTATAAAGATGAAAATTCTCCACTTATGTACGTCTTCCCTCATGCATAACAATGACACAAACATATTTTTATCTCATTTTTAGGAGGAGATTTAAAATTTCACATCTACAATATGGGAGGTGATCCCGGATTTGAGTTACCAAGAGCACGTTTCTATGCTGCTGAGGTTGTGTGCGGTTTAGAGAATTTACATCAACAAGGAATAGTCTATAGAGATTGTAAGCCAGAAAATTTATTGCTCGACGACCATGGACATGTTCGAATATCGGATCTTGGATTAGCTGTTGAGATTCCAGAAGGTGAAATGGTTCGTGGACGTGTTGGAACTGTTGGATATATGGCGCCAGAAGTCATCGATAATGAAAAATATTCATATTCCCCAGATTGGTTTAGTTTTGGATGTCTAATTTATGAGATGATTGAAGGACAAGCGCCGTTTAGAGCTAGAAAAGAGAAAGTGAAACGAGAGGAAGTCGATAGGAGGGTTAAGGAGGATGCTGAGAAATATTCGTCTAAATATAATGAAGATGCCAAATCATTGTGTCAACAATTACTCATTAAGTCACCGAAAAGTAGATTAGGATGTAAAAATGGACGACATGGCGCGCGAGAAGTGAAACTTCATCCATTTTTCAATACGATTAATTGGAAACGTCTCGAAGCTGGCTTGGTTGAACCACCTTTCATTCCAGACGTAAGTTGTCATCATTTATATTTTTCACACTTCAATCTAAAATAAGAAAGGAAAAAAAAAATCAAAATAAACTTTTCATCTGATGAAGATTCCGAATAGTAGTAAGGTCCATGTTTACGTTATCAGTTTGTCGTGACTGAAAATCAAACGAGTTGGAAAATATGTACACAAAAATGTGTAAAGTTTCACGCAATTTTAATAAGTATTGAATATCGTTAGCTGGTGTTTATTTGGTCATATTATGTGGCTGCTTATTACCTGTTTTGTGACGTACGAGATTGCTTGTTGAATTAATGAATTTTAATTTATTTACGGCACATGACTTTGAAGGTGCTATGACTACTTGCTAATGCTCATTAAACCCCATAAGTCAATTGATTCTCTCCTACTTGCTCCTCTTCACCTTTGACGTGTATAAAGTAATAGTTTATTTCAATTTTCATTTTCATTAATTTTTTTTTCTCTTTCCATAGCCTCATGCTGTTTACGCAAAAGATGTGTTAGACATTGAACAATTTTCAACAGTAAAAGGTGTTAATTTGGATGCTACTGATGAGAACTTTTACACTAAATTTAATACGGGATCTGTGTCGATACCTTGGCAGAATGAAATGATTGAGACCGAATGTGTGAGAGAATTGAATGTCTTCGGACCGGATGATACACCAACTTCAGACTTAGTATTAGATGCGCCAATAATTGAGGAGAAACCAGGATGTTTTCCATTTAGAAGAAAGGTATGTGACATGATCGACATTTTTAATTAAATTCTCACCTTCTGATTTCCTGTTTACTCTCTATTTTCCTATTTTTGTAGAAAAAACAACTTCCAAGAACAAAACCAATTCCAATACCCGAAAATCTATTGACATCTAGTCAAACAGTAACAATAACTGCAACAAATGAAAGCTGATAGATTGAACAAATTTAATGAAAAACTAAGAATTAAAGCATGAATAATGTTTTTTATAATTTATTATTTTATATGAGCAGAAAAAAAAGAAAAAAACCAACTCGGCAAGTAATTAGATCTAAATATTTTTACTTTCTAGACTAAATGAAGAAAAAAAAATTATAACATTAATATTAAATATAATAAATTATTTGAAAAAGAAAAATGAATGAAGAATAATGTGAAGGAAGCATGAAGAAGGAAAAGAGTAAAGAATTAAAGTTAATGAGTCTTCAAGCTTAGAAGTAATGATGTAACTACAATGAATGAAAGGAACCTAATTTACTGCAGTGCATTTTATTTTAATGAACAATGCGGATTTATATTCACTTATAGAGTATATAGCAGTTTATCGACGATTAGGAGCTAATTCATGGCTTTCAGGCTAGTTTGGCTTCTAAATTCTTGCCCTGTACACTTGATGGATAATTCCAGAGATTAAAAATCCCCCAAAAAAAAAATATTTGCCCACCAAAATTAAAGCTTTCATAAAGTACAATATTTCATATTCATCTGTCCATATCAAGCAAAAAACCAAATCAATATCCAAAATGGATCTCAATCCAACCCCTAAAATAATATAAAAGAAAATCAGTCGACATGATTATGAAATGAGCAAGACGATTATGCATTCCAAGAACGAGAAACAAAATTCAGCTTGCCTAGGTCAGTGTGAGACATTCGCATTATCTTAGTAGGTGGTTATAAGGCAATGATCTAATTTTCATGCATAGCATTCACAGCTGATGTCAAAATTTTCGAAATTTGTTCAATTTGATACTACTTAGCACTGCTGGAAGCTAGATGGCCTGAAAATATTCAAATAATTTTTATTGCATGCAAATTATGATGTGATATAAAATTCACCTCTTTAAGGCATGCGAACTAAGAGAAGAAAGTCACGAAGAATTTTTATTGCTGCTTCGTTATTTCAATTTTTACACAGCCACTAAAAGACGTGACTATCAATATTCCAAAGAACTGTATGATTAAAGAAAAATGAAAAATGCGCATTAGTCGTCTGCACTCCTAAAGACGACTTGTTATACTGGCTCTATAGAATCAAAAAAAAAAGTAATGTAAAGTAGAAGAACAGAAGAGTAGCTGAATGAAAGCCATAATAAGCAAAAGCCCCCCTGAAACATAAAATTCTCACACTTGCATTAAAGTGAAAAAAAAAATCTGTTTTTAAATATGAATAAGTACATAAATTATTATTATTTTATATTTTTGTAATTTTATGCTATATGACTCGAAAATATGTGTTTTTGTCAAAGAAGAAAAAAATATAAATGAAGAAAAAAAAATTATAAAAAAATGAGCTAAGGAGAGTATTACTATTAATAATCAAACAAATAAATAAGCAAAAATTTAATCGAGTTGAGTATAAAGGAAGAAAAAAAATGTTGAGATGTGTGCGTATGCATGAATTTGATTCAAAGGCACTCTAGATAATAATGATATGATGATAGTCGCTTATATGGAGAAATGGAAATTTACATGATGAAAAATATTAAGCGAGAAGAAGGAATGAATTTAATTATCATGTCATGAATAGAGCTTGAAAATATTCATATGGGGTAGGAATATGAAAAGTTTGTTATCAGTCTTATTGAATTAATTTAATCAAACAATTTTCCAGTATAAGAAATGTAAAGAGACGTATGAAGGTCTCTTAGGAAACAGCAGCTTCATGAAAAGTTCAAGTGTATTCTCCTTTAACATTGAGTAAGAGCATATAATGGAAATTTCTGTTAAATTTGAGCAATTTTCATGATAATTCTCAAGCTCTTGAGCTTTAAAGGTTATTCTTAGCTAGCTTTAACATTGTCAAAAATATCAGACATACGACTTTAGCTTCGAGACCATACATAGATTCAATAATAATTGTAAAAACAGCTACTAAATCAATTGTGGACTGGCTCGGTACCTTGCGTTCAATTTCTCTGCTCATTTCAATCTTCTTATTGAGCAGACCTCCAAAAGTTCCATTAAATTGAAACTCAAACAACACATCTCCAATTATTACATTCAATCAAGTTCAATTTACTTGATTAAGAGCATTTTAATTTTGGTAATTAGGCAGTCTTTTATGTCATCTACGTCTTTCATTCAATTGCACAAAGTCAATGGATTCTTTATGAGTAAAACAAACATCAAAGTCAAAATCAACAACAATGTCGCATCAAATTACAATTTTTTAAAGTAGTCAGCACAAAAGGAAATACTCAGGTTAATTTAAGACCACAGTTTTTTTTTATAAATCCAAAGGCAAGCTCAAGAGAAAGTTTTCCAACTTAATTGAATACACAATTTTGTGGAAGGCTGTTCATTTAAATTTACATAAATTACAAAAAGCTCTTGGATACACAAAAAACCTTTCCTGAAACTAAGTCTTATCGATCAATACGTGTCGTAGGAAAAGTTTTTCATCTAATTGGAAAGATTTAAAGTTTATCTAATTTACATGAATTTATAATGAGAGATCTCGTAGCAATATTCTATTTTATGCCGGTGGATGATAAGATGTTCCATTCTTCAGTGGTTGTGCTGTAAATAATTTTAAAGAGAAATTTTCATCAACATTAATACCAATCATGTCAAATTGTTGTATTTTAATTATTAATTATGGAAATGAAAGGATGATGGCTGCATGAGAAGCACAAAATGTGTTTTACTGTACAATTGTTGTGAATTTGGACTTTTTTTTTCATCCGGTGTAATTTCTCATCGTTTTAGGATATCCATGTTTTAGAACATTCAATGTAATGATTTATGCTTAGATGTAAAAGTCTGTAATGAGGATAAGAAGTGGAAAGGTTGAAGGATTTTAAAAAAAATAATGTAATTTTAACAGCCTTCAAAAACGAAAGAAAGGGAAGCTTTTAAATATTTAGAAGCTCTTATGATATTCTTAATGGATCTTATCCCGAAATATTTTCAAGCCCTAATTATAACATGATGATGCTGATAGCATTATGAGATAAATAATTGTTTTTGATATGTTTTATGAGCACTGTGCATGGATGACATCATGCAAATTTAACAAGAAATAAGGTCGGTTGGTATGACAAATATTTTTATTCCGCGTTAAAAAGTCACAATTTTAGTATTACATGACACATATGACTTATAATACTTAACAAGGACATATTCAGGGGGTCTAAACTTTCTCATCAAAACCTATAATGCATTCTCATTTATTGTCTGGTCTTGCTTTTAACACAGCGATTAGTTGATCCTGTTTTTGTGTTACTCGAAAACTAATCACAAAACGGACCCAAATTCAGTCACATATGATGCTTATTTGAAAAATCAGTCGTACGACTTATGTCACATAAATTTCAAGCTGCATAATTCCTGTATGATACAAAAGATGTCACATGTGATGCAACATACGTTATGTGCTGCCAACATTTATTGTACGATTCTAAACATCTGCCTCATCTCCGTTTACAGGAAAAGAAAGTTTCGTACCTCAAATCTTGGCTACATTTAAAATATGCAAATTTACCCAAAATTCATTTTGTTGAAAATAAAATTTGCATGAAGTCATCCACGCGTACTGCTTCATTACTTTACAATGAAATTTATTGTTTTCGAAACCAAAAGTTTTTAATTTTTAAGTTACACAAAATCGTTAGCTCTAATTGCATTGCATTTACTAAATATATTTAACCCCACATAAATCGTAAATTGGAAGTGGATGTAAAGAAAATTTTCTAAGGCCAAATTTTTATTCATAAATCTCATAAATGAAGAATTTCATATTTTTCATATTCAAACTTAAGGCACACGAGTGTGTGATTTCCAAATCAGACACAGTTAACAAATTAATGGCTTTAAAATGAGTAAGAATTACCTTCTGAAATGTATTTTTCACGAAGAAATGAACGTGTGTAGAACAGCATGAAACTCGAGCGGTAGACATTTTTTGAAGGAAATAACTAGAAGAGTCTTGAAAACATGGAAATTACGACTTATTAGTATCGATTGTCTTTGAGCTATTTTGTTTTCTCGCCGAGTCATGCGGAATCATGAAAAGTTTTGGCGGTTAAGGCTCTCTTGACAGAACTGATAAATTCAAGCTTTATTGTGTTGAAAGTTGGATATAGAGAAGAAGATGAAGTTTGAGATTGTTACAGTACTACGGAAATTTTGCTACAGCTGCTGAAAATTTGCAAGTTCAGCATCAAATTTAAAAAAATCTCAAGTCGAATCAAGTTCTTAAAGTTATCTATTTAAATATTTTAGATAATTAGAATCGGAAGCTTTTCTAATCCATTAGCAACTTTAATATCTGGAAGTCATAGTATTGCTTCCATTTAGCAATCAAGCCCTTGTGTAATCGACTGTGAAAAATGTCACTCGTCAGTCAATTTATTTTGACACATTTATTGAGTCTGAGTAAATTTGGTTTGATTGCTTACGTCTACTACATTTGTAATGATCCAGTATTAGACTTGGAACTGATCTAAAAGTCCAATCAGCTAGTATTTCCTTCGAAAAATTCAAAATAGCTCGTCCATCTCTTCCCTTTCAAAATACACAGATAAGCATTAACCATAGAACTTCCATATTTAAAATGGGAGCTTGTAATAATCGAAACTTATTAAACAAAACCTAAAAGGCGCTAAAACAGATAAAATGTAAAATTATCATAATTTTTTTAAGCTTTCTAGTCATTTCTTTTATTATATTTGATATGCGATGACATAAAAATCATGTAATAATGTTATGGACACATACTTTGTTACTACTCTCGACGCCTCACTTGTCATTGAAGAACAAAAAAAGGGAAGAAGATGAAAATGGAATCAACTATTGAATGTCATGTTTCCGCTATTTTTTATTTGTTTTGATAGAATAATCACATTCCAAAAGTTCTGCAAATGAAGAATAATAGTAATAAGATATAAAAGTAATGATAAAATCAAGAATAATGTGCGATAACAAGAAAAACTACCAATTTTATACCGTAACAATTTTTTTATACAAGGAAAAAATTTTAATAAATAAATATTATTTAGTGGTGAAAAGTTTTTATGTGACGTGCAAGAACTGACGCACAAACACACGTAAATACTAAGAAAAAAAGAAATTTTAAATACTATAAAACTCGGCCACAAACATTAAGAAATCAAAGAAAAATTTTTGGAGGTGATTTTGAAGTTCGATGGATGAGTTTTGAGGTTTTTACTTGCAACTTGCGCGAACATGATTGTAGGTAATGTTATTTGGATCTGTCTGCTTGTAACGTCTAAGTTTTCATGCAAAGGTTTTCAAACCATGATCTACGGCCATTATTGTGCACAAGCAGAGTTTAAGAAGCTTTGATTTATATAATAAGGCCTTGTAGCTATATGACTAAGACCTTGAAACGGTTGTGTTCATATTTTCGAATCCTAGGGTTCTGATATCAGAGACTAAGCCGTAATACGTCAAGGCCTTTATCAAAAGATTTTTAAAATTTATTCCGATATCCAACATCTACCTCCAAACTTCAAAATCACAAACAGAAAAAAATTGTTCATAGCAGAAATATATTTTCAATCTCTTCATCCTCTTCGCACAAAATAAATTTAAAAAAAAAATGAAAAAAGCACAACATAAAAAGAAATCATGAAAAACGGAAACTCATTTTTAATATTAAAGTTGAAAATATGAAAAAAAAAATTCGATGTTAGTAGGAAATATTAAAAAATTGTATCATATTCATTATAGTATAAAGAAATACATCCTCTCCAACAACACACATTTGATATTTATGACTGGCAACGATTAACAATCACCTTTTAGAGAATGTAAAGTTAATTAATGAAAGTTCCAATTGTAAATGTGTAATAATCTGCCGATAAAAATGGATGGTTGAAGAATGTCGCTAAACGTTGACGATCAAAGAATATAAGAAACTTTATTTGTATTTTTTTTCTCGTGTAAGCTACCTAATAGAAAATAATAAAAGGAAGAAAAAAAAAACAAAAAGGAAAAAGTTATTGAGCAAAAAAGTTGTTCACTTTTATTTTTTCGGATTCTTCTTACAGCTTTGAGTGGAGCGAATGAAATTTACCCGAGAAGCGCAAATTTTCACATTTTCGAGCTGTAATCAGAACATGTTATTAAGGTGAAACCAAGGACATTTTTAAGAAGGCACCAGCATCATTACTGATTTGATTAACGCATCAATGTCAATAGAATCATTTTGAATCAAAGTTTAAACTTAAGGATGAGAAACTAAGACTTTATTGATGGACATCATTTTTGAACAGCACTTCTAAGAATACTGCATCATTTGAAAACTTTCTGCCTTTACATAACAGATTTTAAGCAAGACTCAATCTTTAATATTAATTGCATCAAAGAAAAGCCACTGCAATACAGATACTAAGCTTCCTATCACAAAAAAAAAGCTATCCACAGAGCCAGGGGCGTAGCCAGGGGGGGGGGCCATAGGGGGCCCGGGCCCCCCCTACGAAAATCTGAAAATTGTTTTATTAAGTATTTATAGAGAAGAACCAGTTAATGTAGAGGAAGTGATGAAAGAAATGTCAAAATCAGCACGAAAAATTAAATTTAATGTATGAATAATGAATTAAATATTTAAACTTATGAAGAATGAATATAGATTTAAGGATACAAAATAACAATTTTTTTAATTTTCGAAAATGGGCCCCCCCTTTAAAAATTTTCTGGCTACGCCCCTGCACAGAGCTCACGATGTTCTGCATAACAATGTGATAAAATGTTTCATCTCAGTTCCTTTGTTCTTATGGTAATGAAAATTTTTGTTTTAAACCTCAAAGATTTTATTTACAAAATTTCCATTAACAACCCGCACAAACTTAATTTGCTATAATTCTTTTGAAGAAGCAAACTTTAGATCCAAAAGAACTTTAATGGATTCCCATTTAAAGAATTTTATTGGTTAAAAACAACAAAAAAATCTAATTTTAACTTTATCACTCGGGTCTGTCAATCAATTATGTAAGAAATCCGTAAATTCAAATTTCATTCCTTTCGGTGAAATAAAAACAACAAAAGAATGTTAGAATAAAATTTAAAATTCATGAGATTTGTGGAAAAACAATAAATTTCTTGAATCTGAAAATTCGCTTTAAATTAAATTCCATTCTCTTTTTTCTCCATCCTTATTTTCACATCTTTTGTTTCACATCGATTCAAAGCTGCTCCCCTTCTCAGTTCAAATATGAAATAAGATTCAAATTTGATGAGATGACTCGCAATCAGTCACATTCACAATACAATAAGTCGCAATTTATTTTTATTATTGTATAATCATTTCTAATTTGAAAAAAAAAAGTTTGGAGGCATTATTCATTGCGAAAAAATTACCTGACATTTTGATTGAGACGAGCTTTTCTTGATAACGAGCATCAATTGATGTCGGAGATGATGACTTTAGAAATTTTTCATTTTCATTATAATGCGAATTATTGTCGCGACTAGACTCTAGGGTTGAATGCTATATCTTTGGGTTTTTTGATATCCATCTGCCGGGATCTGGCACAAATTTGACTTCCTAAAGTCCAACAATATGCAGAGATAAGAAGACAGAAATTCATTCAAGACACTAAGAATCAAGATTAAAGGAAACTAGTTCAATACTAATTAAGATCATATCATTGCAACTCTATAGCCATATTCATCGTGTGTATTAGCTTAAAGTGAATATTCACGTCTTTCATACTCTCAAAATGCGATTAAACTCGAGCTATCAAGCAACAAAATCTAAACTTGAACCAATCAACCTAGAAAATTGAAGCATTGTATCTTGTGTCATCAAAATGACACTAAACGAAAATTAGTTTAATAATACAAATCAACTTCAACGACAGCTTCAGATATTGATAAGAAAGCTCACAACACTAAAAATAGAAGCTTTAGTGAGACAAAAAGATGTCACGATTGTGCTAGTTGAAACTTTATTCATAATCATACCAGCAGATGAATTTTAATGAGAATAGATAGTCAAAATTTTGGAAAAACAATCAACAGAAAAAATAAGAAAATTAAGGAACAATGATGAATATCTTCATTCTCGAGATAACAGTCAAATATCAACATCATTATAACCCGTCAAGAAATTTATTTTCATGAGCTCTATGAAGGCACTTATGGCATGATATTTCCTTTGACACATACACTCTGTTGTTATAAACTTCCATAATAATTATTCCTTCATAAGTTAGAATGTGGATGTTTCTACATATGAGTGACGTGTTAAATTATGCATAGACATCATAATGATTCTTTCTTCAAAATTTTATTAAATTTTTCACATTCTCACTCTCTTTTTGGAGCTGACTGACTACTGTGTAAAGTACTCTCGTCACCATATGCTCTCATATCCACTCTCATGTCGTTTCAATGACTTAAACTTTCTGACAATGTGCTTTCCTATATTATGAGCATATAAGTCTTATAAAAAAAACATTTCACATAAATATATGTGAGATAATATTCAACAACATCAATATAGCACCTTCATCACGTGAAACTTTAATGTGTGTATACAACTGCATAGAGAAAGAGAGGGACTGTAGGAGAGAAAAATGAGCGTATGGACAAGGAAAACACAACATATAACACAGAAAATTTTTTTATTTTATTTTTCAATACAAAACATACAGATTGCTTGGAGCTTTTGCGCAGCTGCAACAATCTGCGTTCGTGCTTTTTTGTGAGAACAATAATTTTCTCCTCATTTTCCCAGCGCATTCACTTTTTGAGGTGATGAGCTTATTTTCTGTTGACTGGGTTGGGTTTAGGGTAAGTATGTGTGCTGTTTTTGGGATTTTGAGAGATTTTATAATGGAATCAGTTAAGTTTCTATCCGTTTTTTGATAAAATATGTCTGAGTTTGATGATCTTGATAGCATGGATCATTCGAAAGTTTCATTTTTCAAAGCAATGCAGCCATAAGCTCCCTAAATACCTAAATATAAGCAAGATGTTTCGCGTTCATTTCCAAACAGTTTAGGTCAATAATTGCACAGGCACTTATTCAATCCCTAAAATGCGTTTTATCCACAACTAGTACAAACATCCATAGTCCCTCTTACTTAAATTACTTTCCAAGCGATGCCTGTATGTTAAAATTTGATTCTCTTCAACCCCACTTTTGCCAATTTTGTTCGATTACAACTTCGTGTGTCTCTTGCCATGATATTAAGTTCAGTTTTCCTTCTACCTTCGATAATGTTGTGCATTCCTGCAGAGGAAAATTTTTCCTCATTTTTGAAAAGAAAATAAAGTGAAAAAAGTGGAAAAATTCTCACCTCAAAAAAGTTTTTCATTTAAAAAAATAAAGCGAAATTAAAAAGTTTTTATCCGAAAAAAAAAATAACAAAGCTAAAGATAAGAGGATATGGAAGTTTATGAGTGAATTTTAATTCTTAAAAGAGATTAAAAAGGGACACAAAAAAATAATAAGAAAAAGAAGAGAATCTTTTACAAGGAAGGAATGATAATATTTTTTTCGAAAAACGGAAAGGAAAAAAGGAGCATCAAAGAAATCGATAGTTAATTTTTTTTTGGTGGCAAACAAAATTTTTGTGCACGGTTTCGAGCGTGTGTATAAGTGCGTGTACGAAAGAAATTTAATATTTTTAAATCGCAAATGAGCATAAGAAAGTCCAACGAAGAGAATTGAATGGGTAAGGGGATAGAAAACCTCGTATGATGAAGTTTTAAGCGCATTTCCTTACATTTAATGATGTGAACTTTTTGAGTGATTTGGCTAATCTGATAACGAAGCTAATCAAGTATTTTTAATTAAGGAAAGAAAAATTAAGCAATTGATTCTGTATAATTTTATAATTAAAATTCGTATAGACCGATTTTAGGTCGCATTAAGAGGATTTTTCCTAAGCATATCTGCTTAAGAGTTCAAAAATGACGTATATCATCTAAACTTTAAAAATTCCAGACATTCTTTCTTCCATAAAGTCGAAGAAATAGAACCCATAAAAGTTCGAATCCATCAGCAGCAAAAACAGCTCAAATCACTCGTTTAGTTCATAACAATCTACACTAATGCGCTTCCTCCAGTAAATGAAAAAATCATTTTGCTGAGATTTTCTCCTCCATCCCTCACAATTCTGCTTAGCACTGCAGAGCTATTCTTAACGCGGTGGTGACATTAAATTTTAATTTTTTTACAAACACAGAAAAAGAAACAGTACGAAGAAAAGCAATAAAAAGTCTAAAGAACCATGAATTATCGATTAATACTCTCATTTTTGAATAGCTATTGTTTCAAGGTTAATAGAACAACAAAAAAGTAAAAAAAAATTGTGTGCGAGTGTTCATACTTATGTACAGCAACAAAAATGAAGTCAAAAGTGTAAGGTGTTTATACATACATTCATCGTACAACACCGAGTGCAACTAATTTGCAGAAAGAATTTTAATTCAAAATTCGTAAATAAATAAATACGGTGAGAAAAATTCCATTTCATGATTGGAATTTGCTTTCTTGTCGTGTATGCAATTCACAAATAAGTTTAAGTGCGGTAATCAGACAAGACGATTCAAATAAAAGTGCATTTCTGCTACTTCTATTTTGACTAATGAGTGGGCGTCAAAGGTTGATTTGACTTAACAGACAGTTTTATGTGTGGCCCATATTTTGATATTACGTCAATTCCTAGGAACTTTATTGGTAGAGTCGATATCGATTACAATATTTTTGTGGGATTTTTTTTAAAATCTAAATTTAGGATTTTAATTGAATTGATTTACGTAACTGATTCTTTTCGAATAACAAACAATAGTATTAGGTATAAGAATTAAACAATTTAAATGTGTTTGTTTACAATCCTCACTTCAAGATTTTGATTTCAAATGTTCGTCTAATCATGCAGATTATAGTAACTTGAATGGTTTAAAAGTACTGAAAAAAGTGGAGCAAAGCCTTAAACACATATCCTAATTAGAAATAATGCTTAATTCAAGTAATAATGACAGATTTTCAATCTCATGTTGTAAGGAAAATTTAATAAAGTACTAAAAGCTGAATCAGAATATTTAATCATTATTTAATGTCTTAATTTAAAACAAATAATCCAAAAATCAACATTTTAGTTCAATAAATCAACCAGTCAAACACAAGCACGCTTTAGCTGAGCGAAAATGCACTTTCAATTGAATAAAAAGAGAGAAATAAACAACAAAACAAACAGAAAAAATGAAAATCAAATGTAAATGAATTTAAAAGTTTGTCGTTTGGTGCGTGGCTGTTTTAAGTGACAACAAGCGCAACACCAAGAGAGAATAAAAAGAATAACAAAAAAAAAATTTGTGACATATTTCCAACAGTGTACATAAAGTGGCAGAAGTAGACAAAGTTTCTATTAGATTCATAAAATAATTTACCTTAATTGATTAGTAATTATTGTGGAGAATAAATCCGTCAATCAATTTCGGTGTAGTGGAAATGATGGCTAATTTAAATGGCTCATCAACTGCTTTAGTCAGTTGTGAGATAATTGAAAAAGAAACAATGACGACATCAAATATAGCGACGACAAATAGTCTGGATGAGTTGCAAAAAGTAAACGATTTTTTCGAGGCTAATTCCGGTGCTATCGAGAGATGGCTCAGAGAGAAAGCATCGGATGAAGTCATAAACCGTCTCCATTCCATTACGAAAAGCAAAGAACGTGTGATTGACAGGGAGCAACATAGATCATCTGTCACTTCAGAACTCTATCAACAATGGCTGTCATCATCAATGAAAGTAAGTAAAAATTAACTATTTATAATCATTATTCCTTCACTTTTGCCTGTTGGTCTGTAAATAAAAATGTCGTATAATACAATGTAAGTGACAATGTACATAGGAAGATGTCGGATATATTACATTGGGGAAAAAGATTTTAAACGCATTTTTTTTTATTTCTTGCTGTTGAGCTACTCACCACATAACTGAGAATATTGTTGAGACAGTTATGTCATTTAGCTATTTAGTAAAAATTTATTGTGCATTCCTAAGACATACTTCTACCTCTCAACTTCGGTTTTGATCAGTGTTCTGTAAAAATCAGTTTTTTCACATTAAATCACGAGAATTTATTTTTTTTTATTGCTGTTAAGTTTTGCTTAAGTTAGCAACGGATACCGAGCCTTTTGAAAGAGTTATTGGTTGATGTTTTAATAACTACCAAAACGGAACATTAGAGAATTCTCCTAATAGAATCAATAAAAAGAAGCATATTCCATTAATCTTTTAATGATTAATTAAAATAAAATTTTTATGACCATGAAGAATGAACATACTTTTACATTAACGAATAGGATGAATGAACGCCTAAACACACACAAGAATATAAAAATTTATACCGAAAATTACCTTTATACACGCCAAAATAAAGTAAATGACGTGGAAGTAGAATTGGTAATTAAACTGATGATTACACGATAATGGAGCGAAAACATGCACAAAACTTTGGGATTAACAACTTTGTTGCTATCTATTTTTTATGTCCTATCTAAAAACAAATGTATTTCCTTTGAGATTCTTTTGACAGATATGTCATTTTGTCTATTCATCATTTCCTTGTCAAACATATTCTATACATTGATATATAATTAAGCTCGAATCACAAAGAAGATAACAAACATGCATTAAATATATAGTTTTAATCTCTTGTTCACAAACATAAGTTTGAAAAAGGATTGGGGTAGTGAAAAATGCTTTCGATCTAATCGATTTAACATTACTTAAATATGCATGTATCAAACCACCATTTAAGAACTTAATTAATGAGAAATCCCAAAAACCGCAAAAGAAATTAGAGAAACACTCTGTGCTTGATTGACAGTACAATAGAAATAAACCACAGATTTTTTTCCCTCCTTTTTTCATAAAAAAAGAGCTTGAAACAATTGACTTACAGTGTTTTATCATTTGTGGTTTGATGTAATAAGGTTTATGCTTCAAGCCTTTCAGTATTAATTTTCTAATTCCCAACATATTAATTTCAGCAAATCTAAATGTAATATTTTCAATCCTTAATTATGATGAATTGATTTCAATCGACTGCTACCTTCATGTCTGTAAGCTCAACGATTGAGTTTAGATTTTCACGCTTCAAGACAACTGAAAGAAGTTAATGAGAAGAAAATACATTGGAATCACCTGTTACATGTTAAATGAATCACATTGACTTCCATACTTGTTATTTTTTCCTCTTTCCTTTCCATTCTGTTTCTATTCAAGATATATCACTTGAAAATAGCAAACGGAAAAATATGTGATTTTTTCATTCAGTACTTCCTCTTCTATTTTTATTTTATAAAAAAATATAAAGGCATTATTCTTGATATTTTTATATTCATGTGTATGAAGGAAGAAAGTCGTAATTAAAAAAGAATTAGAGATGAGATAACATGGAAAGAGATGGGAATTAGACACGAAAGCACGCGTTTTAAGCTTCGAAAACTTTTATATCTTCTTCACTTGTACTCTACCACAATTTTCCCTGATACAATTTCCATCCAGCTCCTACACAAATTTATTTTCAAAATAAGAGATATTTTGTGAACAGAATTGTTGAGATGAGTGCATTAATCAGGCATAAGGCGCATTTTTGGGCTATTTTTTGCTTTGATGGTTAAAAAATCAAAGTTATGGTCAAAGCTGATATCCGCTCAACTCAGCCTCATTCTTTAGCATCCCTCTAGATAAGCAACTCTTGCAATTCCTTGTCTAAGCCTCAAATTTGACTATAAACTTACAAAAACTTTCCTCTTCAAAAAGTTTCACACATGCTTGAATATGAAATTTAATTATTTATTAATTATTTATACTTATGATAATCTAAAGTGGTAGCCGTGAATTTATCCTTCCATTTTACCTTGTCACTTACTCTTCTTATTCTAATCAATCATTTCAAAATGCACCTGACATGATTAGTCCAATTAATAATAAGAAGATGGATTCAGATCGATTCTTATTGTAGTTTGTTTAAGGATATATATTTAATTGGTTTGGTTTCAAATATCCTTCAAGAAAATGTCCTCAATTGAGGTTGAAGAACAGTAGTATTGAAATAGAGATGACTAAACTAGCTTTTATGTTTCGATTTTATAATAATATTAAAAGTCCAGTTTTCATTCAAAAACTACCCAAAATGACTCGATTCCATAACCTGCAAAATTGAGCACGTAAAAAATTGAAATTGTGATGAAATTAGAATATTATTCAACAACAAAAACAACATTAAAGAGCCCAGCATAAGATACGAATATTAAATGAATTTTATTTTAATTTGTCTTGATGAAATTTTAATGGCTCTTGCCTGCTTGCCGGTACTTAATAAAAATGAAAAAGGAATAATAAAAGTATAATATAAGACGGCAAGCTGTAAGAGAGAGAGAGTGAGAGCGATATTATTTTAATCCATTTATATTCGCAGCAAAGCACATCATCTTCGTCGAGAAGCTCAAATGAGACTCGAAAAAGTTTAGCACAATTAGATGAAGGAGAGCTGTTTATGGAACTGATAAAGGATATAGCAAATGAGCTCGATATTGATGTCTTATGTCATAAGATTCTCGTAAATGTTGAATTATTAACGCATGCTGACAGGGGATCACTGTTTCTCGTAAAAGGCAATTCGGCACAGTCACGTTACCTTCAGGCTAAGCTCTTTGATGTCACTCAAGATACTGGTGAGAAATATTTCATATTCGTGCATATATTTATTTGATTTATGTCATGGGATGATGACTTGAAGGAATGGAAATTGGCAGAATTCTGAACAAACAGTTTTTCATTGAGTAGCTGCCAAATTTTTGACAGAAAATTTTGAAGCTGACATGAAAATTAGAAAGAAATTTCACTCAAGGCAAGAAGCTCGTCGACTTGTCAGAAGAACGCACATTTTATTCTGACAACGTTGAAGGATTTTTTTTTAAAATAAACTGTTCAAGCATCCCCTAGGGTAACTTTCCCTTTATTTTTCTGTTTATCTTATTTCCATTTCTTCTTTTGAGATTCAATGAAATGTGCCTTATCTCATCACTACCTCATCTCTTCCTCATCAGCACAACCATCATCATCATCATTATCATCACGAACAATTCATTTATTTATTCATTCAAACTCAAATCCTTTTCTTTTTCTTATTTCCTCCTTTACATCCTCATTCTCAATGTTGCTCATTATATATATCCACAACTTCCACTCATTTTCAACAACTTTGCTCTATTAAAATCTTTAAGCTCTTGATGATGCAATTAAACGTGCAAAAGCGGAAGAAATTATCATTCCGTTTGGCGTTGGCATTGCTGGACATGTTGCCGAAACAAAGGAAATGGTGAACATAATGGACGCATATAATGATCCACGTTTCAATTGTGAAATTGATCTTAAGACTGGCTATAAAACAAATAATATTCTCTCGTTACCGATCTGTAACTATGAGGGTGAAGTTATAGGTGTTGCTCAAATCATAAACAAGACAAATGGTATGTTAAAATGGCATTTACGTGAATATAAAATTTTCTTTTTTTTTCAGTATAATTACATTTTATAGTACTGTCTATGCAAGCTTAATATGGCTGAAAATGTTTAGGAAAATTCAAAATCTATCACGTATACGTTGCATGTCTTACGGCAATTGTTCTAAAAAAAATCATGTTGTGAGATACTCTCGTTAAATGACTTGTTGAGTTTATATGCAAGGCTGTTGAATATACTGAATATATTGCAAAAATCAAGTTGAATGATTATTGGAAATTAAGGATAATCAATTCAATTTTCCGGATGAGTTGAAGCAGTTTACTCGTTAAACTCATTTATAGTGTCAAGTGCATGCTTTATTCTCGCATTTACAGCGTGTGGGTTGTTTACAAGATAATTTTCTCCGTTTCTCGTGTTGAAGATTAACTTAAGGATTTATTTAAAGTTATAAAGCTAGGTTACAACAGTTAGGTTAAAATTTGACTCCAACGTGGAAACCACAGTAAAAACAGTGAGCTGACAGCTTTAATTCCGTTGGTTTGCCACACCTGAAAAACTTTGACATTAGCATTCACAGATTTGCAACAGTAAATCTTCATTAAGCATGATGGAAATCAAGCATACCCCAAAAAAAAGCTTTTGAAATTTACATAAAATTATTTCATGTCATATCCTGAATATTAAGGTCACTTAAAGAACAATAAAAATTCTAAGTTCTGCTACCATAAAATCTACATTTAGATCATAAAAAAGCATTAAAAGCTCATCGACTTTAAGCTTTGCATTTTAATATTATTTTCAAGAATAACGCTTCTTTAATATTTTATCATATTTTAACGTCATTTTATCTGTCAATCATAAGATTATTGGTAATGTTTAATGTCATGCAATAACATAAAGTTAGGAATAAATGTCTCTCTTGGAGTTGAGTTTATAGAGTGTAAATTCTTTATAAATAAGAGTGAATAAAAAAATTATAAAAATGACGTAAGGAGAGAAAATTAATGTCAAAGTTGTGAATAAGATATTATAAACTCTTACATGGAAACCATACAAGGTTGTATGTGGGACTTGTTCTTATAAATTATATTCGAAAGTTTAATTAACAGGTGTAAGTGAACTGAATTAAACATGATTTTGACCTTGATGCTCATGCTTCTAATTGTAATTGAATAATTTTATACGAAAATCGGATGTAATTGTGGTTTGGAATATAAAATTTAAGAACTATGTTTTCTTTAAACTATGCTGTATGGTACTTGAATATTTCAACTAGAAATAATTTTAATTAAATAATGAATTTAATTTTTCAAACATATTCTGCCTGAAGAAGTTTCAACTCATACTTCTATTTCGTCTATGGAATGTTCATCGCCCAGAAATTTCTATCGTCAGCAATTTTAGAACAAACTCATTCCACTCCTTAAATTCTTAGCCAGACACGTGGAAACTTATAATATTCAGAATCATTTAATCATTCATATCCATTAATAAATTCAAGCAATGACTAGATGAGAACCAATTTATGCTTTTGACACGTGAAAGCCTCTTTTAAATTTTTCAATGACATCTCCGACTAAGCTGCATCATCATCTTGCAAGATGGCTCTCATAATGAAAGCTAATGTTCAACTTGTGTCGTCCATTATAAACATTTTTTGCTGCTTTCTCTCTTTTTTAGGTCAGGAAGAGTTTACAGAACGTGATGTTGAAGTGTTTAAGCGGTATCTTACTTTTTGTGGCATTGGTAAGTATGATAAGAAGTAAATTTCCTGAGAAACTTACAAAGGAAAATAATGATTGCTTAAATGTTGCGCATATTTACATATTAAGGAAACTCTATAATTTTCATATTCATGCAGGAATACAAAATGCTCAGTTATTTGAGAACAGTGTCCTCGAGTATCGACGGAATCAAATTTTACTCAATTTGGCACGAAGCATTTTCGAGGAGCAGAATAATTTGGAATGTCTGGTAACGAAAATCATGAAAGAGGCGAGAGATCTTCTCAAATGTGAACGATGTGCCGTATTTCTAGTTGATTTGGAATGCTGTGAAGCGGTAATAATTCAAATATACTTTGTACTACTGTATCAATATACGCATCTATAGACCTATTTCTTCCCTTTCGCTTTCATTTCACTTTTTCTGTGTCATCTGCGACGTAAAGAAATAGAATCTATCCTTAAAGTTATTTTTCCGATATTCAGTTTTTCCGACAGAGTAGTTGGATGGAAAAAATCGTAGGCTTTATCATCAATTCTAATGTGAAGCATAAAGTTAGATATTTTGGTGAATTGGATTGTAATTTTTTTGTATTCTTAGAAGTATTTGTTTTTGTGTACTTAACATTTTCAACCTTTAATTTGACACTTCTGAGAAATGTTTTGCGTTACTAAAATGAGGCATTGCTAATGCTTTTGAGAGTTTAGTCAAACTTAAGAAAAAAAAAATCAATTATACTTGATTTTGTGGCCAAAAAATATTTGACTTGATTCCATCTTCACCTTATTCCTTACAAATATTCCTAGTTCATCCTCTCGATTATCTTATTCACCTTAAAAATAGTTAAAATAAACGAATCTTCCACGTACAAAGGATATTCAACCCCAAAAAAATCATCATAAATAAACTAATCTACATAAGCTGGCCTTTCATCCTCTCCCATTTCGAGCTTCTTTTTGACTTCTAATGCCTTCATAACGATGCGACAATGATTACAATTTTCTTCTATTCTTTCTTCTCCATTCTCTCATTCACAGAGTCATTTAGAGCGAATGCTTAAGTCAACTAATCAAATAGATTATGAGGAAAGCAATAATCCTGACAATGATGCATCGAAAAAGGTAAATATTGATTAGAATTCATTCATAATTTTTCATTCTTTGATATTTTCTTATAGTTATAGTTTTATGTTATTCATTTATAAATAGAAGTTGCTACTTTCTTTTTGTGAATGAATGACTGAATGAGTTCTTCTTTCATCAAATAATAAACAAACATTTTTCTCTATTCTGTTATTTTATGCTTTTTTCGCTGCTACTTGGTGCTGCTATTCATTTACTTGAAACGACATCGATGATGACGATGTAAAAAGGCTATTTATGTTCCACAAAAATTCACCAGGATATTTGAAATGGTAAATGAGAGCTTTTACGTTCTCTGTCTATTCTCATTTCAATTATGTACGACAATTATGAGTTTTCTACACTTAATTGTATTTTATTACAAGCTTCAATGAGCGAAGATTGGATATGTATTTTTAGAAATTGAGACTTTTTGCTTCCAAAAATATCTTCCTATATCGATTCTAAATTGGAATGAGGAAGAAAATGTTAACTTTTCGCAAAATCATTGACATGAAATAAATTGCTTCACGAGTCTATTGATGCTTAGAAGATGATGAATCGTTTTAAATTTTGGTATACTTTTGGGAGTAAATTGAAAGCTTGTGTCACGTTTTTCTTAACTTTTTATTTTGATTTTCCAAGGAATTATGTCAATAACTTGAATTCCATTTAATTCTCTTAAAAATTTGCAAAAGAATGACCAAGCTCAATAAAGTCAATGAACATCCCATTCCACGAAATATTAACCGTTGAAAACCAAGCCTTGATATAGAGTGACAATAATAAATGAACATGCCTTTTAGGGGCTAATGTTTCAATTAACATTATAACATTATTATCATATTTCTCTGACATGCATTTCATAGGGAAGTGATGAACCAAAATCGAACGGCCGTCCATCTATCGAGGATATTAATAGTTCAGTTTTAGCTCAAATTGCTCAATATGTGGCGCGGACTGGTGATATTTTAAACATCAATGATACAGCCGAGTGGTTAAAAAGCCATAAAGAGTACAGCATTAATAGTTTAAGTGATGACATAACACAGGAATCGAAATGTATCTTATGCATGCCAATCAAAAATGGCCAGAAAAATGTCATTGGCGTTCTCGTTTATGTTCACGCGAATGGAGTTCAATTTACAAATTGTGAAATATCAATATTTGAAGCATTTGCAATTTTCTGTGGCCTAGGAATTCATAACACGACAATGTGAGTCAGATAATTGAATGATGAGTCAATGATACCATCCAATTGTGTGATGAAATCATTTCCATTTTCATTCAATCAATCAATTTTTATCTCAAATTTCTCGTCTCAATTTTTTTTTCGCTATTTTTGTTCTTAAATTTTTTTCCCCAATTTTCAAATATTGCCAATCCAATGGTATAGGTATGAGAGGTAAGGAAAAAATAAAAATTCCAATCACAAAATTGATATCGATTAGTAATTTCATCCCTTTTTTCTCTTCCTCCATTTAATAATATGCCTGATTCACATCATAACCGTCCCAATGTCATCTGGAATGTTCTACAATTTGTAAACCATCTCATATTTTTCTTAAAATTTTTGTCAATTCCCTACATGCCATCGTCTCCATCTTCTTCTTAATTTTTTGCTCTCCTCGTCTCTCGACTTTCTACATCCAATAATCCTCGTTTGAAAAAAATAATAATAAAAATGAAATGAAACTCACGCAGTGCATGTAAACTTATGGCAAAGCAAAAAGTCGCACTTGAGTGTTTATCATATCATGCAACAGCGCCACCTGATCAAACGATGAAATTGGCCTCTGAACCCGTTAAAAGTGCTGAAGACTATAAGTTATATAGCTTCAAATTTATAGGTAAGTGGATGTAGATCATAACATAAGGTTGAATAAGATTAATTTAATAAGATTTATTCTCTAGTTAAATGGATATGATAATATGATTTATCATATAGTCTGTCATGTCCGAACTATGTACTCATGCCTTTTTTCTCTTGTCGATAAATATGTACATTCATGTATACATTTTCTTGTTATTAAAACAGATTTTGATTTATCGGAAGAAGAGACATGTAGGGCAACAATCAGGATGTTTGTAGATTTCAATCTAGTCGGTCAATTTCATATTCCTTACGATGTGAGTATTGCATGCAAAAACTATGTTGAGAGAATGTCAAAATGAGAAAAATATTTTCGTTATTAAGTGGCTCTAACGCATTTTTCATATGATAAGGGTTTATTATGCATATAAGGAAAAGACAGTAGGATACGAATTGATGGGGATGAAGATATCAATCACATCAATTGAATCAAGCATATTTTTATGAAAAGAATGGACGTTGCAAGTACATCCACTGCTAAACAGGAATTCCTAAATTGTATTAAATTAATTCTTGTCCCTTTTATGTTCCTAATCGTCCACTCAAGGATAATTTGCATAATAAAAAGCTTTTGTATAAAAAATGGATATCCTCTTAATTACCGTCACATATTTAACCCTATCATCACTCAAATAAACAAAATGAGACCTTATCTACCCAATTTCATAAGGAAATGCGTAAGAGCTACAGGAAAAGTGTTAAGTTTATGTTTTAACATTTATATCCTAATAGTACAGCATCACATTTTCCATCCCGCTGTGTCTAATTAACACCAACAAACTATTCTTGTGTAAAAGCTAATACAATCTCCCTCATTCTCATGTACATTCAATTATACAATTTTAGGTCCTATGTCGATGGATATTGAGTGTGAAAAAGAATTATCGACCAGTTAAATAGTAAGAAAACATTATATCCAGTCCTATTGCGAATATTAAAAATTATTAATTATTGTTATCGTTTCATTTAGTCATAATTGGAGGCACGGCTTCAATGTTGCTCAGACTATGTTTGCGATGATGAAGACGGGAAAGATGGAACGCTTTATGAAGGATCTCGAAATACTCGGTCTCCTCGTGGCTTGCGTAAGTCATTTATTATCTGACTTGTTAGTAAATGATCATGGGAAAAGAAGAGCGTAAAGAAGAATTTAATAATAAGGATATGTTTTGCCCATGTGATTGAATGAATGATTCACACTTCATTCTGTAAACGATACAAAAAAAATTATGCTGAATATTGATTCGTTCAAAATCATTGAATTGGCTTGTGAGTTCATTATGATTGAATTAAATTAAATTCTTTTTCTAACTTATGAAATAATCAAATTATGTTGAATGTGGAACTAATGAATTATGCTGATTAATTTGTCTAGCATTGTTAATCTGTTTTGGACTCGCTAACATGTGCTAGAAATTGGATAAAATTTAATTTGATGAATTTATAATTGAAGGTATTTAAATTAGTGATTCTAGACTCTCCAGTTTAAATCTTTAGAAAATAAAGTTGCAGGAATCACCCTGAATATAATGTTGGTCTATTGGTCATAGCAACATTAATAATGTTAAACACAATTTCCGTGAATGTAAATATGAACAAATTTAGCAATAATAAAAATTCTTTTGAAATTGTGCCTACGAAAAATAGAGCTTGCTGTTTCAATTCAAAGAACAATTGCTTAAACATAGATGACAATAGGAGACTTTTACCTTATAATGTCAAGTCTATTGAAAGGTACATTTCCAAAGAATTTTTCTCAACTTTCTTTACTTATTGATTGGGAGGATGTAAATGTGAAACTGATTCTACTTTCATTTATTGAGTATGACAAAAAAAATGAAAACAGAAAGCTTTATGAAGCTTATAAAACCCAAAGATAAAGAATTATGAGGGAAATGAGAAAATGAGAATTGAATGCATGCATAAAGATATTGTGTTTCATGAAGAATCATCTCTATCTTATAACCTATCAGATTATATCTATGTCACCGGGGAAAATCCGCTTTACGCTTTTCATTTCTAATATGCTTTGGTACATTCATATAAAACTCATTTCGCTTGCATATTTTATTAGGATATCCATTCACTTAAATCATAAATGATGTATTTTTCATTTCTCTCCCTATTTACCATTTAGCTATGTCATGATTTAGATCATCGCGGCACAAACAATGCATTTCAATTAAAGACAGACTCACCATTAGCAATATTATATTCAACTAGTACAATGGAGCATCATCATTTTGATCAATGTGTTATGATTTTGAATTCAGAGGGAAATAATATATTTCAGGTATGGCTTGCAAATGATCATTTTAGTCATTCTCATATTGACACAATGTTTTTTTTCTTCCCCACCCTTTCTATTTAGGCTTTATCACCTGAAGACTTTCGTTATGTGATGAATGTTGTGGAGTGTGCCATACTTTCGACAGACTTGGCCATGTATTTTAAGAAACGAGATAAATTTCTTGAATTGATTGATAATGGTGAATTTGATTGGCAGAGTGATGAGAAGAAGGAGCGTAAGTAATCTAAAAGTATTGTCTTATGTACAGATCAGTTATTAGATATTTCAACCACGTTTTCAATATAAAATGGGCATTAATGTCTGTTTCATGTAATTTTGCTTGTCTAATCCACCGAGCTTTTTTTTGAACTTTGAATACTGACTATTGAGGATGCTCTTGTAATTCGAATTCTCAGCACACATAGAGCATATAAATGTTTTAAGGCATCATGCTTCGTTAACTCTGATTAATCCTCAATTTGTCTTGAATATTCATGAATTGATTTTCATTGGGAAATATCCTGGAATAGAAATAAATCTTACAAAACACACATAAACATATCCATAGTATATAGACGTCACAAAAAAGTTCCCACAAAACTATGTGGCATTTACAAAATCAACAAAAAAATGCAGACTTTTATAAATAATTCCAATCTAATTCTCGGTAATTAATCTACATCAACTGATTGCATGTCGAAGTGACTTTGCATGTAAACAATATTTTATTTATAGACGTCCTATCTATGTATATATAGTTATTTTTTTTCTCATACTTTATAAGCTAAAATGCCACAACAACACAAAATGGTGTGGTTTATAACTCAGACATAGTCTCGGTTTTTGCACCGTCTCATAAGGGTGTAATGAGACTTTATCGTCATCATTATTATGTCTTCATATTCTCTTCGATGAAAAATTTTCACACAAAGAAAACGTACAAATTTTTATGCTTACAACTAATCAAAAAATATTTTATAGTCAATTTTACATGGAAATTTGAGGTTATGTTCCCTGGAGCGAGTAGAATACAGAACAGCATAGTCAATAGCAATGCTTTCAATTTATGGGAAGATTCGAGGCAGGAGGTCAAAAAGTTCGAGATTTGAGGTTAAATGCAGAGGGTTTAAAGGTTAATAAGAAAATATTTTTTGATATAAAAAGCAAAAGGTTCTTCCTGCTTAAAATTAGAATCGACTAGTTTTAGTTTGCCATATAAAGTTACTCAAGTGATCTCTTTTGTATCTTTCGAAAAAAGTCACGAACCATAGATTGTGTAGGCCATAAACTATTTATTTTGTGGCATTTTATTCATTATCGTTTTACGAAAACAAGTTTACCAATACCCACACTTACACACACACAAACTTTCCTTCCGCAAGTGCTCAAAAATTGATTTTTTCAGTATTATTAAAAAACTTTCAATCCACCCTAATGTCAAACTTGTTGATTTTTCTATAAGCACACTTTGTAATATAATATTCCATTGTATTCGTTAACGAAATGACTTGAATGTTTAGTTCCATTAAGAGTAGTTTTTCAGTAGATTTATTTCATAATTTGAAATTTTATTCCGAAACAATATTTTGAGGCTGTTCTTGAATTATTAATAAATGACACAATTTTTCACATTAAATTATTCATGACTAAGTGGATCGAAAACCTGTTAAGAAGAAGTTTCCTGCTCTTTCACAAAAAAAAAGAAAGAATAAGACTTGTCCAAGTCACAAACATGTTCGATTAATTTTCATCAATTATTCTTGTACAAATATCGTGACTCATCTTAAATTAGAAACTTTCCAGGTCTTGAAGGCAAAAATCATGTTGTGATGTAAAGATGTGGGGCGTGGGTTGCCAGAGCGATTGTTCTGGTCAATTAGGGTGATTAATATATTGAAAGTAAATTGAGCATGAATCTTTATTTTTGGGTAGGAAGACAAATGATTTTAGTTTGGCAATTAAATTGATGATAATCGAATTTGAATGACATGAATAAATCCAAATAGAATCAGACAGTTAGTCAAAGTTGAGATTCCAAAAAAAAAACTATTTCGAACTCAGTGAAGCTAAGAGCCATTAAGCACACAATATCAACGCAATATTCACCACATTTTCTATGATATCAATTTCCTTAGAACTCTTTTTCTTGTGCTCTCATTTTCATTTCACTTCTGTTCGGTCGATGGACTCTATGTAAACATAGTTCTCTGTGGCATGATGATGACAGCTTGTGATGTAAGTAAATTGAATTTTTAATCAATATCCATTGAATCCTCATCAAACATCTAATATATATATATATAAACACAAAAAAAATTAGGTAAGTGCTATAGCAAAGCCATGGGAAGTTCAACATAGCATTGCAAAATTAGTTGCCGATGAGTTTTTCGATCAAGGTGATTTGGAGAAGCTACAATTGAATACAAAGCCTATAGCCATGATGGATCGAGAGAGAAAAGATGAACTTCCAAAAATGCAAGTCGGCTTTATAGATGTCATCTGTATGCCATTATATAAGGTGTTGTCTGAAACGTTTCCTTGGATATCACCACTGTTTGATGGTACGATGGAGAATCGAAGGCACTGGCAAGACTTGGCTGAAAAAGTCGAAATGGGATTGACATGGATTGATCACGATACAATTGAACAGCCAATTGAGGAACTCGCTGGTAATTAGCAATTTTTTGTTCTTGTTGTGCTCCTAATAGCTTTAATTAGGCTTTTACACGGTATGCTTGTATATTTTTATGCAAATCGTTCACAGCTAATAACAAAAATTTGTGAAAAGTATTTTTGGCATTGAAACTTATTCAAGGGAATTAATTCAAGGCTTTTATTGATATTCCTCAAGGCTATTAGATAAGAAAAGTCTTGAAGAATTTAGAGCTTATTCAACTAATTTGAATGAATTTCAAGAAAACTTGACGGAAACATTTTGCGCTTTTCAAGCATTCCAGCACACTTGATTTATACCTTGTGTTTAGTGTAAAAATATACAATATACAGCTACAATATAACAGAAAATTTACCTTATCCATTATTGCTATATTTCCATTTCCATTCTCACTATTTGCTCGTGTTTAGCTAATTCCAATGAAATTGGTGACATCGAATTCACAGTTTGCGAGCTAAACTGTCATAATGCTCAACATGATGATCAGACTTCACCCGTACATGAAAGAAAGCCACGTTTTAGTAGCTTTAAAAAGAGTGGCGCATTATCGAAAGCAGTTAGAAGTAAGCTTAACTTATCAAAATCGTCAACGCAATCAACGGAAAAGCAAAACAGTTGTGGTGAGAGTAGTTCCTTCGATCATGATAAGTTTGAGAATAATAATACAGAAAATGGAAGTGCCGCAAAAATCGATTCAACGATACAGGAACACTCGTCATCTAGCTCGGCCACTTCTGCAAAATCACATCCGACAAAAGTGACGAAGAAAAAGTCAAAATTATGCTTATTATTATGACCGAGGCAATACAGTGAAGATCATCACGTATAATCAATGCGTGATTCCTTCTCTTCACTGTAAAAAATCTTTGCATCGTTTCCTACATTATATAGCATTATTATTATTTCATATTACATTCAGTGATAGATTTGAGAAAAGAGATTCTTTGGCTGGAAACTTTTTTTTGAGCATGCATTTCCTGAATCCCTAGTCATAATGAGAAAGTTTTAAGAATTTTTAATCCAGATTTGAAGTTAGCTATTCCAAAAAAAAGTTTCTAACTCTAGAAAGAAAACAGTCATCATGTCTAAGTGAAAGAAAGAGAGAGAGAGAAAGAGGACGGAAGGAAGAAAAGCACACAATTCTTTATGAAATAACATAAAATGTTATGTGAGTAAAGGAGAGAACATAATATCCAAAAATATGTGTAAAAGAGAAAAGATATTAGATTTTTTAAAGGATAGGAAAATAAAATTTCCCTTTGGGGCTGTTCACTTATTACGTAACGCGAAAAAATGACTTCTTAGACCCCCCCCCCCTCGTAACAAAATTTGTATGAAAAAAAAATTTCCTTGTTTGAACCGTAACAAAATCTTAGACCCCCCCCCTCCCCCTAAAAGCGTTACGTAATAAGTGAATGGCCCCTTTTCGATGAAACGTTTAGACATACAAATCTATAATGCTTGAAATTATTAGAAGAAAACTCGTTTTTAGTGCTTATAGCTTTTCATACAAGTACATGCGTTCGCATGCATGCGGAAAAAAATGATATAAAAAAGCTTTTGTGAATATAAAATGCGGTGATTTTTATATACAAGAATTTTAATGGATTTTTAAAAGGTTTCAAATTGTTCGAGACTTTTAAGGAATGAGATTTTCAATTTCTAATGAATTTTAAAATCAAAAAAAATTTTAAAAAAAAAATATTCTTGAGAATTTTAATAAGTAATTTTTTCAATAAATAAATCAGCTTCAAAGCTCCACCTCTTGACTTCATTTTAAACCAAAGTAAAGTATCATGTATCAAAAGTACGGTTTTGTCTAAAAATAACTTTTTCAATCATATTTTCTTGTTATGAATTATTTCAACCTTGCAAAACAAATTTTTACATGACAGATTTCCAATGTTCTAAGAATAAACGCTCAAAAATAACTCATGCATGAAAGTAAACATAAGAAAAACATTTTAAAGGAATAAAATTAACCCTCATCTAAAAATAAAATAATAATAATAGGACTTGTATGAGAAGCTAAATGCACCTTGACATCGTCCCAGGAGTGTGACAGGCTTTCTTTGTTGTCTAAAGACGGGAATTGAATTTTCCGCGAGGATGATTAATCCAAAGTAGCTACGCTTTTGAATAGTCCTTCATATCCCAGTCAGTAGATAAATAATAAGAAGATTTAAAAATTATTTGAAAGTTGAAGATATTTTAAGGGTGAATCCAGGTAGGAGTCTTTTTTTTAAATATATTCCCGTATTCGACCCCTTTCTTGAATACACCCTTACCAGCTATATAGCGATGTAGGAGGTAAGTATGTTCTTCACAGTTTACTTTCGCATAAAAGCTGCTATTACAACTTTAAAAGTAACTAGTAAGGTGATATTAAATTTCTTCTAAAAAATATACATTATATATTTATGATGAAAATAATAAGAAATCTTCATGCATATTTGTAAAATGGGATGGAAAGCAATTGTATATAGAATTTAATCATGCCACATGTTGTGAAATTATACTACTGTATTTAAGTAGCTCTCTATAAGATACATATATTTTTGATATGAAAAAGGATTTTTATTTTACAAAAAGAAGAAAATGATGATGAAAAATAGAAGGAAGCATTATCATTGCTGCAAGGTGGAGGTAGTTGTTGTATAAAATGTCAATGAGATGTCGTGTATTTCTGGTTCTTAGGACTCAATCGAAGAATCAAATTTTTGAACATTCAATCAATATTAACCTGTCAAAATTGAGGAATTAAATTAAAATTCAAAGTTCCCGTTATTTGAAACCTTAAACAGAAAACAGTTTTGACATTTTACACCGTAATTGACCCCCCTTGATCGTTACTTATTGCTCTATGAGAGTTTAATCTTTCTTTGACATTCATAAAAAATGGAAAACGACAAATTTTCATTTTACAAAATTGTTGCTAAATTGTAGGATTTTATGGCATTTTCTCTCTTTCTTGTTCTTGACGTCACGCAAGTCCAAATGAAATAAAAAAATCTTTTAAAATGAGAATTTAAATTTTAAATGAAATCCGTAGATGAAAAGTAAGAGAAAAATTTAAATTATTTTGCTGATAAATATTATGCTATTAAAAAGTAAGTTAAGAATGAAATTTTAATATAGACTTAGTAAAGAAAGTTACCATATGTTGTTATAGTAATTGTGCTTTTGGTGCTGCTGGTCAGTAAATTTATTAAAATTTTGATGAAAATGGAATTTTCTGGTCAATGTTAAATGAGTTCTGGATTTAGATTTCATTGGATGTAACCATAAAGGCTCTAAAGATGCTTCCTTTAAGTTAAATTCCCTTGGAAAGGGTCCAAAAAATGTATGTATATTTTACTGATCCATGACTATTCTTAGATTACGCTAGTATCTAGCCTGCACAACTCCAAATCCCTCTTCCTTACAAAAAATACTAGCTGAAATCAATCCCAGCCAGCCAGCAAAACTGCACAAGACACAGCCGCATCAAAAGCACACAACGAAAATAAGTCGACGAGAAAGTTCTGCTTCGTGTGAAGTAAATGAAGAAGAAGATACTCATAATTGGAAATTGTCTTATGATTTTTTGTATACTTAGTAAGCAAAAAGAGAATAAATTATGTCAAGAAGCTTTTATAGAGTCACAAGCATAAACTCACATACATATTCACGAAAAAAAATCTGACATACATTCACAAAAATGAATAAAAGGAAATTTATAGCGTCCTAAATTGTGAAAATTAATATCACATTTTTATTATTCGTGCATGTAAAGTCAAAACTTTTAAATAATAAAAAAAATTCTGAATGAAAGATAATCGATTCGCACTTTTATGACATGCCTTACGATGAATACTTTTTAGTCATTTTAATGTATTTCTTCTTATCCACAATGAGGGTGTGGGTTATGATGTTTTAAGATATTTTTGTTATGCATTCAAACGAATATACTCAGAAGGACTATTTAAGTCTACCTTAATATTATTTCCAATATTGGAACCTTCAATATTATTTCTTTCCTAAATTCGTTTACATGTTTCTTGCCTCAAAAGTTCAAGTACTAAGAAAAAATGTAATTGTTAAGCAAACCACAATACCCTCGTCTTGAGGGGGCAACATCCTTATCAATCAATTTATATTTTTTGGATGGATGGATTGTGGGTAGGCTAAGCAATGAGACATGAAAGCTTTCCAACCTATTGTATCATGTCAAACTTTTTTCATGAAATAAATTTTAAGATTGACACAATTGAGGCATATTTTGCTGCTGTCTTTCTGGTTGTGATCTATGAGCTTTTTCAATTTCAATAACTTTTCCTATATTTATTATAATCAATCCTCAAAGCACCTATAAACCGATTCAAATTTCACATATTAATGGTTCTTAGACTTACTTAAAAGATCCTGCGAGACTTTCTCTGATTTTAATAAATTAAAGAATCAAAACCCACCCGAAATTCAACCACTAAACTCATCTTGAAGAATTTTTCAACAATTTTATGAAAAACATCTCATTTGTGTGCAGCAATAAAGAAAAAATAAAAATTTCAAATTAATAATGGAAATGGAAGTAGAATAAACAAAATTAAAAAAACGTCTTAGATAAGCTTCTTTTTTTCTCTTTTAAGAATCTCACAAAAAAAAAGTCATTAAAAAGATTAAAAAAAGAATTTTTGCGATCATCATACTACCTCTTATTTTAATGTCTTTCGAGTATGAATAGAATAAAAGTTTAATTAAGTACACATGGAAAGGGATGAATGTTGGATTCAATCACAAAAAAAATTAAATATTGTTCAAACTACATAAGTTATTTAAAACTTGAATTAATAAAAAATGAGAAAAAAAAAGTTTCAATTTCTGTGTTCATTTTTGGAACTTACACGAAAAGTTTTGATTTTCATTTTTCAGAAGAAAAAGGTCGTACTTTACATCATCCAATACAAAAAATGGCACGTGTGTCATTAAGGTAAATGTTTTTGTTTGTAAAACTTTTTACTTCTCCTGTCACTTTATTTCTCGAAGTGCGAACTGCGGTATGAATAAGTTTCTGTCATGGCAAAAAATAAATATAAATTCAGCTTCAAAGTTTCTCGTCATGCTGACAATCACAGGACATCATTCATTGTAAAATTGATATGATTTGGATTGTTGAAGATGAAGTGTAAAGTTTCAATGGTTTGTTACCCTTCGAGAAGGTTGCTTTGGAGCAATGATTTTCTGCTTTTTGACGCATTCTAGCACGTCATGTAGCTTTCATGGTAAAAATCCAAAATTTTACGCTTGATATTTTGAGGGATCCTGTCCGTCTGTTACTATCGTTTCAAATATTTATTTTACAAATTCAAGTCTGAAGTCATGGTAAGAAGAAAACGTCAGTTCCTGATATAAAATTTAAAGCAGTGAACCGTAAAAGGGTCATGTAAAACAATTGGAACTGCAGCAGTTCAATGTATTGGTCTGAATGCTCAACAATAGAATTTTGTTGTCACTTACTCATTCAGCCAATCTAATTTAAACACAATGTATAATGATTCTCTTAAGATAGTCAAATGCCTCTAAACTTTCCGTTGTTTTCAATTTATCACTTCCAATTTTGTTTATTTGTTACCTCTTTTCCCAAAATCAGCTTACGGTCGCAGTTACGCAGTCAAGATTCTCTCTAATGTTGCCTATAAATTCTCTGTTATCAAGATAGCCAACGATTTAAGACCACTCAGGGACAAATTATTGGCAACATTGTGCTAACTCTACGAAGCAAAATTATCTGCAGAAGAAAGAATCCAGGATTGACTTATAAATTTGTACCACAATCACACACACGAAGAAACTTTTGCGGAAAGAAAAGAAGATGTGGAAGTTTCTATATCCTTTTTTCTATTTTTGGCTTCTAAAAACGAATCTCTACCTAATTAGCTTTCTGATTTAGTTCATCAATGTTTGAATGAGAGAAACAAATAAGTTCATTTATTTAAGTATGCATATGAAATCTGTCTTACAAACAAATAATGTATTTAGTAGGGAAGGAGCTTTCTTATTGTTTCTACAATAATATGATTGATTAAAGTATTTGTTTCACTTTCTTCTTTAGAAAATGCAAATTTAATAATTGAAAAAAAAAGTCGTATTTGATACTAGGGTAAACCGTGTTAAAATTTGTGTGTTTTTGGACTTGAAGATTTGATTTTCATGTAACTTTTTAATGGCTGATAAAGAAAATCGGATTATAAGCTCAAAAGATCACAATTTGTGGGAGTTTTCATTTTACATTATGTTATGAAAGATGTGCTGCTTATGGGAAGAGAATTTTGGCATTTTTGTTTCAAATGTTGAAATTTGTGCGGAAAATTTTAAAATTTGTTCGAAAAAATGTTTATTTATACAGCTTAATTGTTTTACCTTATGTTCTGATCCTTCCTTTAACCAGAAATTCATCAATACAGTAATTGCACAAATTGCAGTCGATTTTGAACATTGTCAAGATACAATTGATAAATTATTAAAAGTTTTTGTTGAATTTAGAGTAAAATTACAATTTCAAAGTCGATTGGTACATAAAAGGAATAATTTTTCTTCAAAAAATAACTAAAATAATGATAGTTCGAAACAGTTCGAATTTCAGTTTGAATTTTTCGATTCTAGCTGAAGTTTTCTTTGTTTGCAGTCGTTGGAGTTTAACATTTGTCAAAATATTTTTCACAAATTTCAACATTTAAAAACCTGTAATTTTAAAATCAATTATTAGAGCACTTCCAATGGCGTTTTATGACCAGAAACATTTTTAAATGATTAAACCATACTACCGCCATTCCGAAAACGACCGTTATTTTTTAAAAAATGGACAAAAAAAATTTGGTATGATTCAAAAAAAAAATGACCGTTTGAATTCAAAAACAAAATTACAGTTAAAATCAAGAAAAGCTAAATCAGATTATTCATTTAAACTTTGATGCAAACAGCTCCTTTCGATTTAAAAAACGTTTCTGATGAGACAATTTCAATCTAAAATTTAAAAAATCCTTAAAAAAGTCTACAAATATCAAAATGCAGTGTTTAAAACTAGTTGGAATTTCTTTCACTGCTGCTTTAAAGGATGATTTAATTTGGGATGCGGAGTGGTTTCTATCAACTGAATCACATTGTCTATAATTAAATTCAATTTTGTAGCAAAATGAAAGAAATATTGGAGAAGGTTTTAAAGGCATTCGAAATAATGCTTTTCCATCCTTTCGTTTGTTTTCACAATTAAAGACTGCGCACTTGCTCATTTTTGTATTTATTAATTTGATTTTTTCAAATTTAGAGCTGCCTAAGGTTTCAAGACCAACTTAAATGAGGTAGAAACATTTGGACATCTATTTTACATAGAACTGCATACAAATGTTTAGCATAAATGGCTTATTGATGATGATTTGCATTTAATTTGAGCGCACAAATTTCAACATTGCACAAATTTCAACATGGTTTACCCTAATTAAATTTTTAAATTTTCTTAATAAGATTGTGGATGTAGCTGACTGAAAAAGGAACTGAATCTTGTAATATTCAGACTTATAAGAGGATTAAATCTAATCAAATCATATTTGATAAGATGATGAAAATGTCCACAGCTCTCACTTTAATACCTTTTCTGGGTAAGTGCGATTAGTCTGAAAGACCATTAACTCAGGTTTTTGTTATACATGCATGGTCGTTTTTTGGATGTTGCACGATTGTTATCTTCCTCTTATCGTCTTTGTCATCATTATTAATTTTTTTGATGTATTTATTTTGATAACATACAAAGACTCGAATGTGATCCATTTAACTGGATACCAGCAATTCTGATTTGATGATTCATATAATTACAAACAAGCTCATTTTTCAATCAACTTTCCAACCACATCAATTATAATAAATACAATATTATTACGTTGCATTACTCTGTTGTAACATAGGATAATTAAATATTAGATGAAGAAATGAATTGACAAAGAAAAACACAGAATTACATGAAAAATTCCTCAGTTGAATGCGAGAAGACATGTCATGTTGATAATCGATCATTTAACGAACTACTTATTTCAATAACTCGAAGTCCACGATTAACAGGATCAGTTAAGTTAAGTCCCTTTGGATTATAAACAAGTTCATTCTGCATTGAAATATATGCTGAAACTTTCCTCAAACACTTCTCATAATGTGTTTCTGTGAATAAGTAAATTAAATATGCTGAAAAACAAGCACAAAATCCTTCACAGAATGTACTGCAGTTTCCTTTCTCAGCTTCTATAAAATATTCGTTAATTTTAGCAATTGTTCGCTCAAAACTAGCTCTATCGATTCTTCCTTCCAATTCTTGTGGAAATCTATGAATTTATTAATTAACTTAAATCTTAAATAATTATTAAGCAGCTTACCTATTTTGGAATTGCACAGAACATCCTATTATTATGAAAAGTGAAGAATAAATTTTAGAAATTTGGTGAAACTTGCACAATTTCATATTTAGGTCAATTCCTTACCTTCTGAATAATCTCTCTGTATGAATACTTTTGTGTAATTTGGTTGCAATGGAGTTTGCGACATTTTAAAACTCTTTTACCTCCGTTTTCTTAATTAAAATAGTTAAAACTCAAAAAATATGTGTGAAAATAATAAGCGAACTAGATGTTTTGACATTTGAAGGGTTTTGAATTTTCAAATCTAAAACTGACCGTTATTTTTGACTATTATATTTTGAATATGTATTAGATCAACGACTTAAAGCAATTCAGAAGTATATAGAATTAAATACTTTGTAATTTTCATCATTTATTTTGTAAAGAGAGTCTAAAGCTGTAAACCAATCAAGTACCGTAAAAATTTTTAAACATAATTAAGCTTCTAAACCGCAAAAAAAAGCTTTGCAATTTCAAATTTTCATTCTCAAACTCAAAGTTTATTTCCAATAAAAGCTTCAATGAAAATTTCCAATAAATTGCATTGATTTGTACGTTGAGCATGTTTAATAGCTTGAACTTTTCGCCACAAAAAAAAAAAATCATTCACTTAAGCTTTATAGCTATAACCTTTACCATAGATTATAATACCTTTGTAATACTTTAAATTCGATATGAGATTTAATTCACAGCAATGTGTGACCGATCATCATTAACAATAATAAGAAAACCAAGCCTTGCTTAAGACAAAAGAGCTTGTTGCTCATGCACATTTATAAAGACATGTCGAAAACAAAAGCAGACACAATGTGGAGATATATTTTCATATTTTTAATAGAAAATTGACATTTTTTTTTGTTGTTCAAAAGGAGAAACATTTTAATTAATATGATTTGTTCAACTGCGACATATTGAGTAAGCATGCATGTGCTTTGTTAATTAAAATTAAGTTGTGTGTATGAAGAAATAAATTTAAGAGGCTCTTGCAAATTTTCTCTGACTTCTTTTTTGCTTACAAAAATTATTAAAAAATATTTTTGATTCCCTTGCGAGGAATTTGAACTTTTAAAAAGAGAAGCAATGAAAAAACTGTGTGAACATTCAGCAAAAATCACCACAATGGTCAAAATCCTTCAATAAAAAAAAGTATGTATTGCTGCATCATTAACAATGATGATGATTTTGAAAAAATAGAAATTAATTTTTTTAATCGCAAATTTGAAGCTACATATTGCATGAAAATCACCTTTCTATTAAGTCCGAAGAAGACTTGCTGATGATTTGATTGAGTTTCATCACAAATTGTACATTATTCATTGCTAAATCAATTCCATAAATCTTATGATGATTATATTTGCACTTTGATTTATGATCACAAATTAAGAAAATTTGCGGTTTGGGAAAAAATCATGCGAGCAATTAACAAATTTGATTTATTTGTGGCTTTTTAACTTTAATTTCAATTAAGAATATTTGGGGCAATTGAATATCAATGGACGGACGGATTAAGTGTATAAAAATCTTATTTTTCTGATGGACCTCATTTTTGAATGACTTTAGCTATCAATGGAATCTAATTTTAATTCGCAATTAATGCACTTTCCATAATTGTCTAGTCATGGTAAATTATACAAAAAAATAAATTATCGGAATCTCAATTAACTTCCTCAAATTGAGAAGCATAATGCACTCGTATAAAAGCATCCAATTTGCACTATATTCATGATTTGGCTATAATCTCATTAATTTCACAAAAAAAAAGAAAAGAAAGAAGTAAGGAAAAGTACCTTATGCAATTCTCACACGATGCAAATAAAATGTGATACTCACATAACAAAAGAGTGCAAGTTGCCTGACTGATTCAACCGATGAGCGTTAAATTACATTTTAATACAAGCTATACATGTAACGCCTATCAAAGAATAAGAGTTTTATGGATTTTATGCTTCTTGTTTTCAAGATATATAACTGATTTCTTGGATCAATTGTTTGAGAAGATTAATTAAGCTCAATATAAACCTTTCACCATCAAATATAGTGATCAAAAGCTAAATGCACGGTGATTATTACTTTATTGACTACTTTATTATTTGCCAAATGACTGTCAAAATCAACTGCAACATTAATTCTTGAAGTGCGCGATTTATTTTGTAAAATGATTTGGCGCTTTCATGTTCTTCCTCGTCATTTCACTGATGAATGTAAAGCATAATCAATGCCGTGTAGAAACTCATTAATATCTAATTCATGAACGTGAATGGAAGCATTTCGAATTGTATGAATGATTTTTGTACACGTTTTTTGTGAAATTGCTAATAGTCAACAATGCTTCAGATAATTAGGACTAGCAGGGATAGATATTAAATGACATGTTGGTGCTGGCATCGAAACTACTAGGAATGTATATTTTAGAGGTATCCTTTTAGGGATCGTTCATAAATGACGAGGATTTGAGATTCAAGATCCAATTTTTACTTTTAAACAGAGCTCGAAGTCGATTTGAGATTTTCATCGATTTTTTAAGGCGGAGTCGACTCCATAAAAAATTTCATCGACTTCGATCTTTGCTTTTAAATGGAAGCATCACACTTTGTCACACTAATCCTTTAAAGTTGGACATCATTCATGAAAAACCCGTTACAGATGATTATCTTTGCAATAAAGCTATATATGGGTCTATAAATTTTCGCAACATATACAATATAAACAGTAGGCATACTAAGTCAATTTTATATTCCTTTTTCTCACACAGAAATAGCGCAGTTTTGCAACCAAAGCATGAATATTGTCTCAAAAAGCATTTAAAATTATATTTTTCTCGGCAACTTAATGGAATCCACTTTAAACCAAATAACAAGAGTGAGTAAGACATATCTAGCCATACAACATAAATTCGAGTGAATGAACGACGATGTAAAGAGAATGGAGAAGAAAGAAAGAAAAAAACTGTAAGTAAAAATGATGAAAGTAAAAATGAAGTAAGAGAAAGAAAGAGAAATGTTCACCTAATTTTGGTACAACAGAAAACAAAGTCAAGGTCAGCGCTTACGCAATATTACTCTTTTCGCTATTTATAACAATGTGAAGAGAATTGTATGCAATTGGAAACATGCATAAACGATGCCTCGTTATTCCTGGGTAAAATTACTTTTTCGGGCAGAAATTATGACATTAGAAAATCACTGCCTCGGTTTTTTTTCCACAATTGGCTGCACATGTATAAGCACGATGTAAATATTTTGTTAATCTTTATGTTTGCCATGCATGTTCATTCTCATGTCGAAGCCCGTTAATTTTCAAAATGTTACAATTATTAAATTGTTACATCATAAGCTCTAAGTTTTGCATGTGTATTACTTTAAATAACGAGCATAGAGGGAATTTTTTTTCAGTCTTTCTTCAGTCTAACCGTACTATAATTGATGGTTTCAGCAAACTATGTAAAAAGTCACAGGCAGGAGGACAGTTGTAGCGCAGTCTTATGCGATATTATTAAGTTTGGCTCCTTTTTATGAATTATTGTTAACTTTCAGTACGAAATTTCTCAAAATCTACAACACTCACTTTAATTTATTGGTTTCTAGTTATCCTTCTAGTTATCCTCCTAAGTATTTGAATTATTATAGCTAAGATTAGCATTAGATTTTAATTCTGGATTCAATATATTCGAGATACTAAAAGATATACGTTCAGCATTATGAAATGACAATGTTTTAATGCCACTCAGTCTGCCAAAACAAATATCCAGCTCCACTCATAAACATAACAGCATCAAAAGTCATTTCTGCATTAAAAAATGTATTACAAGTTCACGGTATATCTTACAGAGCATTTGTTGTTTCATATTCATTCGCCCACTCTATATTTTACAGCCATAAAAACCCTGGACCATTGTTATTTTCTTGTTTCATTCCTCTCAATCAAGTTATGATGCCGCTGTCAATAATTATTGCAAAGTCAACTCTTAAAAAAAGTTTGAATCAATTTTGCATGAAGCAATGCGTTTTGCAAAATTCCATTTTTTAAAAATTGAGGGTAAAAATGAATGACCAATTGCAATCCCGGGTGGACACAGCCAGTTAAAGTCCATTATTGGACAATCATTTAACAGTCTTTTAACTTGTCAAAATATATACGACATAGAGAACTATACATTAACTAGACTTTAACTGGACATTTATGCTAATCAATCAAGTGTTCGAAACTCAAAAATAATTTTCCTTACTTTTTTGACCATATACTTCACAAGCGCTTGCAGAAATCACTTATATAAGGTCTACCAAAATTTGTATGAAACTTTTAAGTAAATATAATTGTTTCACGCGCAAGTGTTCGAGACTCAATTTTTACTAGAGATTTTTCATAAGTGATAGTGTACTTTAATTAATTAATTACACTAATACAATAATAAAATTTTACAAAAGAAAAAAACATGGAGAAAAAGACACGTGTTATTTATTTTATTTCGATTTTTTTGTAACTGGACATTAACTAGACATATTTGCAATTCCTATGTCCAGTTAAATGGAAAGCGCAAAATATGTCATTAGTCGTCCCTAAGTCTAGTTGCAAAGGCACGTCAATGGATACTTACTCGCCGTGAAAAGGCAAGTCAATGGCAAGCTTTTAACTAGTACTTTGTCCACTCGGGAATGTAATTACTGTGAACAATTTGTGGATCAATTTTTGGAGGTAAATAGAAGTTGCTGGAAACTAATGGTTACTTTACACAATGCATGGCTAATTGAATTTGATTTTTTGAACTATTTTGTAAATTTTAAATTTTTTAACGTTTTTAGAGCTAGAAACTGCGTCGTTTGCCTCAAAATTAAGTTTTGTACAGCAATTTCATCTTAACTGTCATAATTTCTTATTTTTTCTCCTTTTACTTCAATCAACTTATTTAATTTTCACGGTAATAATCTTAATTTTTTGAACGTTACGAAAACTTCACATTTTTAATCTCACCGTAATTACCACTTTGGTGATGCCCCGATATTTAGTAAAACGTGTTCACTTTATCTTCGAATGTCTAAAAATTTTGCTTTTAGTCAAGATTAATTTGGCTTCCCTTGAAATTGTTGAAAGTTGTAAAACTAACTGCTGTTCCTGATTCAAATCATAAACTTTATTAATCCGCAAATTCTTTTAATTAAATTCCATAAATGCAATGTAATCTGACGGAAGAAAATCAAGCAGCAATGAAAGCTGATCGATTGAAGTCTAAAACAGTTCTGCACAGTTCATCGACTCAATATTTCAAACAAATATGTATGGATGGATGAGCTAAAACAATTCCTGGTCGACTAATTTCGCCGTGATTTTCATTTTTTTATGTGAAATAAAGTAACAAAAAAGTGATATAATGTTTCTAATATTATATAGGCTTTTTATATAAAAAAAATTATTAATTTTTATTTTAATTCATTCAATTTTTGTTTGCAATGCAGCGGCAACAACACTCGCTTGCAATTTACTTTGGTTGTTGATGTGAAGGAAGTGTGAAAGAAAGCTTTTGAAATAGAAAGTTTTTGCTAACTTTTTATGATTTATTGTTCTACCTGAATTGGCATGGTTCAGTTAATGGTAGCAGGTGGTTCTAATTACGATATTCTTTGGAGGTTGAATGTGATTTAAGAGTATTTATGACTGGTTACAACGTATTATCAAGCTTTTATCATAAATATATATTTGAGTTCGATTTTTATTCGAGTCAAGAATTCATAAAAAGTAAGATTCTTTATAGCAAAAAAATGTCGTCTTCCTCACCTTGATATTTAAATTAATTTTTAAGGATGTGTAAGATGTAGATTATAAAAATTTTACGAGATTGTTTCTTTGGTCTTTAGCAGTTTGAGTTCATATTTTAAATACCTGCCTGTGTCCACCAATTGAAAAACTAGCATAAGTTCAACATTTCTCTTGCATTAATTAAATGTCATGAGGTGAACGAATTAGTAAGAAATTATGGAATTATGAAACTATGAAGCAAATATGACATAAACATTGAATATTTCACGTTATTTAATTAATTTTATTTATTTGAAGCAACAGGAGAAATTTTAAGAGAGTTGAAATAATTTCGGATGTTCTTCTTTATAGCTGCAAAAATGTAGACAATTGCAATTCATAAAAAAATTAATTCATTTAAACAGGTTGAAGAGATGAAAAGATAAACTTTTTAGCAGATGCGATTAAATTAAAATTATGGTGGTTTTGGGGTATGAAGATGATGAAGTTCCATTAAATCTTCATGGATAGCTTTTTATCATTTAATGCATTTTATGGAGTACTTGAACTTACCAAGCTTAATGAAACTTTTATGGAACTTTTATGGAAGTTAGTTGACATGTTAAATAATAAACCCATGCTCTATATAAGGTTTAAGCTACCATAAACTGTTTATGCCAAGCAACAAAAATGAACTTCATAAATTATCGATAATCTTGTTCGTACATCCAGCATGCATGTGGTTTTGTTTATTAAATTAATTTTTGAGCATATGCAAGATCTTTCTCTGTGATAAAATATTAAGTGATATAAGGGATTGATATTGATTTTTAAAGATTGAATCTTCCAGTTATTATGTATAAAGATGCAGTGTTCAAATGCAAATCGATTTATGCCCATTAAGTTTACAAGAAATTCAATTAAGCATAACGCCCTGTTAAAACAATTTCCTTGAAAGTATTAGGTTAATAATTCATGTCCTTCCTTTTAACAGCTTTGCAATCATAAACTTGTACCCTCATTAATTCAAAAAACAATCAAAATTCTTTTTATAAAAATCTACAAAAGTTACTGTTAAGTTTCATAAATAATATAAAAGCAATAAGTTCGGATTTAATTAAGTCATTATCTCATTTCAATTAAAAAAACATGAATCAATGAATTGACTGATTATATTTGCTGAAAACCAAGAAACTTGAAGTCTGTGTTTGGTCGGAAATTATTTTTTTTTTATCTTAAAATGTTTGTAAATGTTTCAAAAAGTAAAGTTCATTTTTTCCTAGCTTGGATATTTAATTGATTTAGATAACTCAACTCTTATTTAAATGATTTGCAAAAAAAATACATGAAATTCTGAAAAATAATGCTTATTGTATGTCAATTGATCGTTGCCACAATTTTGAACTGATAATTTGAAGCAGATTTTTAAAAATTTCAGTCAATTTGAAAATATTTGAATTTTAATTTTCGAGGTGAATTTTTAATTTTCTTCAAACTTCATTTAAATTTAAAACAGCCGTTATATTTTCTGATGCTTACTTGATCAAAAACATGAAGCAACCTTACATTCTGCTAAAATCCTAAAACTATTAAAAATTAAGCTAAATTATACATGATTTTATTAAGAGACAAAGAGGATTTGTTTGAGACATCCAACTGCGTTCTCAACCTCCAAACCATAGCTGCGTCATAAGCTTTAAATTGAATTAATTTATTCCAATTATGAACTAATTAAAAAACATTTATTCAGCGCTCATAATCATAAGATTATCGTTTTCTCAAAAGTTATATTTTTATCTCTTCCCTTACGGTATTAATCCAATCATCCAATCACAATAACATATGAGACTTTATCTTCAAAAAACATATCAATGTTGGTGTCAAAGTAGCAGCATAGTCATACAAAGTCATATATTATATGAGTTACAACGAGCAAAGAGCAGAAAAGAAGAAAAAAGATCAACGTTAAAAAAATCCATTCCATTCAGCTTTTTGTGAGTTTTTTTTTTTTTCATAATTAAAAGAAAAAAAGAAACAAGCCTTCCCAAGGAGAGGGAGATCTACGAGTAGTACAAAAAAAGCTCACCAGTCGTTTCTATATAAGCTATGCATTTTTGTTTCTCTATACTCAGTTTACTTCTGTTCTTCATTTTATAATTTCTTGAATATTGTGTGAATAAGTAAATCACAATGAAGTTTATGGTATGTAAAAATTACTTGTGAATCAGTTCGAAAATTTCAAATTTGGATACAAAAATTTGATGACAAATAAAAAATAAATTTAAATATTAAAAACATTTTTGAATGTGAATTGACATTAAATAAATGGAAAGTTTACAAAAAAAATATCATAAAATTAAAATAAAATTAGTGCAAACATTTGCATCAAAAAATGGACTAAAGTGATGAAAATTGTTTGTGCCAGCAAAGCCGAGAAACATTTGATAATCATGGATAATTTCATCAAATTATTTTGTGAAAATTTTAATTCGAGTTAAGAAACCGCAACAGTTAATGAAAATAATTCATTAAAACTAAGAATAAGAAGATGACAATCGTGAAAATGACTATGAGAAAAAAAAAATTAAAGAGTTGATTTAAAAAGTGAAGATGAAATCAAAAGTTTTTAATGGAAATGAGAAGAGAAAAAACAGTTTTAATGGGAAAAATTGCACACTGCATCCAACATAACTCACTTGATGAATTTTGCCAGATTTTTAAAGTGGAATTGATTGCTGAAACCATTTGGATTATTTTTTGTTAAATTAAAGTGAACAGCTTCATACCTGATTCTTTGTTGTTCCTTAATGCATATTAAATGAACAAAAAAAAATTAATTATAAATTCAAGTTCAACTTCATGTTTGGTCTAAGAATAAAAGTATCTTAATTTGCATACTCAATCCTAAAAACTGTGAAGAATAATATCCAATCTAGTCTGAATTTAAAAGCAGTAAAAAATTGCACAAGGGAAATAAAAAGCTTTAATTTTTTAATTGCTTGCGGTTTCTTCTGCAATTAAACATTCATAATGAAATTTTTAAATATAAATTACTAAAGATTAAAATCTTGCACATCAAACTACTTCCAAATTTGAAATGGAAAATACTTCATCATATTAATTTAATTTCACCCTCATTTCATCATCCACAAAACAGGTGTTTTTAAGTATCGCCTTGCTCTTAGGCGCTTCGGCTGAAGAGAAGAAAAAGGAAGACGCAAAGCCAGTAGAAGAAGCGAGCAAAAAGCAAGACAAAAGAGGTATTTTCGATCATGATTTCGGTGGTCATGATTTTGGTGGACATGATTTTGGAAGCAGCAGCCATGCTAGTTTCAGTAGCCACGACTTTGGATCCCATGGACATGAAATTCATCATCATGAACATCACGAACCAATCGTTCATGAAAAGACTTTGACCATCGTTAAGAAAATCCCAGTTCCAGGTAAGGCTGATTATTCAATTAACAGCTCATTATTTGTTATCTAATCAACCTATTTTTTAACTCCAACAGTTCAACATGTGAAAGAAGTTCATGTTCCACATGTTAAGGTACGTTCACTTCCTCCAAAATTATTAATTTTCTTGATTTGCGGAAAACTAATTTATTTTATAATTATCCTCTACAGGAAGTACATGTTCCATACGAAGTTAAAGTGCCAAAGCCTTATCCAGTCGTTAAACACGTAAGTTAACACGCTTTGCAATTATGTTTTCATGCAACAAAACTGACAATAAAATTTCTCTTGATATATATACACAATAGGTCCCATATGAAGTCAAAGAAATCGTTAAGGTCCCAGTCCATGTATCAAAACCATACCCAGTTGAAAAGATTGTCCACTATCCAGTCCATGTTCAAGTTGAAAAGCATGTTCCATATGAAGTCAAGGTTAAACAACCATATCCAGTAGTTAAGGAAGTCAAAGTTCCAGTTGAGGTCAAGGTCCCAGTCCCATACCCAGTCGTCAAAGAAGTCAAATACCCAGTTGAGAAGGTCGTTCATGTTGACAAACCATATCCAGTTGAAAAGATTGAACATTATCCAGTCCATGTCAAGGTTGACCGTCCAGTACCATACAATGTTGACAAACCATACCCAGTCTACCATGAAAAGAAAGTCCCATACCCAGTCGTTAAGGAAGTTAAATATCCAGTCCATGTTCCAGTTGACAGACCAGTCCCAGTCTACAAAGAAAGAGAAGTCAAGGTTCCAGTAAAGGTTCCATATGCAGTCCCATACCCAGTCCACAAAGAAGTTCCATATCCAGTCGAAAAAGAAGTCCCATACCCAGTCAAGGTACCAGTTGACAGACCAGTCCCAATTGAAATTGAAAAACACGTTCCACACTACGTTGAAAGACCAAAAGCATATCATGTCGAAGTTCCAGCTCATCACGAACATCACGAACATGTTGAACAACAAGACCAACATGATCAATATGACCACCATGACCATCATCAATCTCATGAACACCATTACTAAGTATTTAAATTGTGATAAACAATCAAGTATTGATCTTTTTTAAACAATCTCTAGTATTATTATTATTATTTTAATTATTATTATTATTATTTCTTCATTATCCTATAGTCTTTATATCCAATTTTATTGTTATTTCTGTTGTGACTATTTTTCCGCTAATCTATTTCAATTCTCTCTGCGCATTTCACACTTCATTTCCAATTTAATGTTAAGCAAACAAAACTAATTTCCATAAAAATCGCATTTTGACATTTTCGAAACGTTGATGGAAGCATGTCGTTATAGTAGCATCACAGAACCTTATTTACCATTCAAATGTATACGACTTGCTGTCATCAATGTGAGAAAAAAATGGTCTTGATGAATACAAAATATGGAGTGGATAAAATATGGTGGTCAAGTGGCATAATCTGCTTCATTGCAAATTAATAGCTATGATTTCGACCATTATACTGTCACTTCATGCCTGTACATCACTCTTGACTGTGTCAGATGATTCATGAAACCAAAATATTAAATCCATAGAGTGAAAAGTGAAAAGCTTTTCAAATTAAATATGTGTATTTTCGTCATTCGATGTATTGTGTATCATTATTAAGCATAAAATACATTCACTAAGGATACAGAGGAAGAAGAAAGAAGTAAAGAATATTAAGATAAATAAACGATTTTTTGTTTTAAAAATAAATTATAAACTTGACTTTTTAATTCTTATTTTATCCAGCTTAATCATGAAAATATATAGGAAGACCTAACTAGGAACACATTCATTGAAGAATTAACATCTAGTAAAATATGAAGATTCTTGAAATTTTCAAAAAGGAACACAAAGGATGATCATACAAACCAAAAGGCTATTCATAAATCTAGTCTTTATGCATATGCCCTAAAGAATCCATTGTGCTATATTCTCCAATATTTCCATACAATACCTACTGAAAGGTTCAATTTAATTTCATTCAGCTTCATGAATCAATTCGTCTAACAATAGAAAATTGTCACATTGTAACCTTTAAGATGGAAGAAAAGCATGAAAAGATCCAATCTGACCAGCCTGCCATTGAAGGAAATGTTATTGCAATAACAATTGGGCTTTATTTGATATTTGGCAACATACTTTGACGCCAGAATGATGAAATCGAGCACTCACGAAATTATGTTTGAAATATGTAGGATTTTTACTCTGTCATTACATAAGAAAAATTAAATTTGTTGCTCGTTCATACATATAAATATTTATAAGCACACTGATCTATCTTTAGCTGTAATTTTACTTTTCTGGAGTTGTTCATTCATGACGTCTCTTTCGATTAATTTTTCTTAAGTGTCAACAAGTAGATTCAAAATATTGGATATCATACAGGAACGACCCCTATGAGGCTGTTAATTATATTTGTGATTTAATTAAGTTTTAGATAAATGACCTCATGGTGCGAATAATGATTTTCTTATTGATAAACATGCATGCTCATTTTCATACTTAATACATAACAAAATAAAATCTCTTTTAATATGTCGTCATATCTCTTTCTATCTCAATTTGACCTTAATATTTGCCATAGAAATCATTTTTTGCTGCATTATATAATTCTTCAATAGAAAGCTCATTTTTCCAATAGCTCTTTTATGTTGCAAAATTACTACACATTATTTTTGCGTTTACGGATCGTAAAACGAGTAATTTGAATGAATTGCAGCTTTAAGGTAAGAAAAAAAGAGACATTCGAGAGTAAAGGCCTAAAAAATATTCTGGTGACAGGAGCGCAGTTTTCTGTTATGTCCCAGCATTTATCTTTACTGATTCCTAACAAGACATATCAGACCAATCAACGGATGTGAAACTTTTAATGTCATTAAGTGGTTTTGCATGAGCTTCGTCATATAATTCGTGAAGTCATTTGTTGTTGCAAAGATCTAATATTGACCTTTATTTAACATCCCAAAAATATGCAGAAAATTCATTAATATTTATTTTAAATCAGACAATAACAACAATCCAGCCATACGACATATAAACCAGTCAAAATGAAAACTACCGTAATGTCACTCACTTTATCTTATTCTGTACATTAAAAAAAAATCAATTTTTACAGCAATGATATGTTAAATTCAACATAAAATAAAAATTGTTTTTCTTATTTCTCTGCCTTATTTTCTTTCTCGATGCCGATTGTCATTGTTGACAGAAGAATTAAACGAATTGCTTCCAATGAAATTCTATTTCGTTATGCATTAAAATATTGCTTTTAAATTAGGTTTGATGTATATTCAATGGAAAACTCGAGCAACATACATAATAAAGCCCGGCATTTTTTTAATTCTTGGAAAGAATCGAGCAGGAATTTTCAATCATTAAGACTAACTGTGGATTATGTAACTTTAATGACGAAATGTTGCTTTTAATGAGGTCACTAAAGCTGTAATATAATGAAAATATAGCTCTTAACCCAAATTAGTTTTTAATCCCTAGGAAAGGTCAGAATATTGTTTAAAGTCAAATCCGTAACTCTGCATATGATATAAAATAAATTCCATAAACACCACGTGCTTTGAAAAAGCCGATAAAAACAAAACAGTTATTTATTTGAAGCTACCATTAAGCTTGAATTTCAATGAGCTTTAAGCTTTCATATTATTGTATTTTTGGCGAAACTCATCAATTGAAAAAAAATATACTTACTATACTGCTTTCTACGTATGCAGATTGCGTTTAAATTAATTACAGTATGAGCTTTATAAGCACAAGGTACCTCATGCTTATCTATCTTGTTTAAAAATTAGCGGCAGTTCAAAACTTTACGTATTATGTATGGATTTGCAGCACTTAATTTAAAAACCACTGGTTTAAGGGAAGAAGTTCAAATGTTATGAGGTCGAGGGTTCAAAAATAATGGTTTTAATATTCTTTATCAACAAAGTCTTTAAAAAGTGTCAAAATACTTCCTAAAATATAAATAATATATAGACTGGCATAATAGACCGTAGCGTAATCGAGAAAGAAGAGAAAAAAGAAAGAAGTTACGAAAAAAAAAGTTGAGAATTTTTTTTTATATTCACACCGTTTTCACGTGTGAATCTATTGGTTTTGTTCAGATTGAAAAATCAGTTTTTTGAATTTTGTGAGGATATGGAGCAAGATAGCTCAAAATGTTCAGAGATGAAAAGTTTGTGCCTTGAATTTCACATCTTTTGCAAAAAACAGATTTCAAATTGGTTGCGGCATTGCTGAGAAAATTGCAAAATATGCTTTCTGTAAGTTAGCAAACAAGCAAACAAGCAAACAAGCAAGTTAATCAGCAAGAAATCTCAATAACGAGACATCGTAGAGACTTCTAGTTTTTTACATTTGATCCGTGCTGCTCTATAGAAGAGCTGTATTGTTTTTGGGCAAGGTAGGAACAGCCGTTGCTTCAGAAAAAGCAAAAAACTTTCCTTCCTTACGAATTTTTCAAATTAAAAGTTCACTGTGATTTTTTTTTTAAATTAAACTTTGGATGAAAAAAATTTTACATTACAGGAAACACATTTTCAATTTTGGACTAGGGGCGACCCTAGTCAAAATCAATTTTGTCACTTTTTTCTTCGAGAGTTTACACAAATGGATTGAAACTTTGCATAAATATTCTTGTGCTTAAAACAAATACAAATAAAACATTCTAAAAATTTTTTGAGCAAAGAACCAAGTAGGAAATACATTTTCAATTTTGGACTAGGGACGACCCTAGTCAAAATCAATTTGTCACTTTTTTCTTCGAGGGTTTATCCAAATGGATTGAAACTTTGCATAAATATTTGAGTGCTTAAAACAAATACAAATAAAACATTCTAAAAATTTTTTGAGCAAAGAACCAAGAAGGAAATACATTTTCAATTATGAACTTGGGACAGGTCTAGTCAAAATTTAGTTTTTCCCTATTTTTCCTCGAAGGTTTATCCAATTACAATTACGAAGGTTTATTTGTATTTGTTTTAGGCATTAGAATATTTATGCATAGTTTCAATCCATTTGGATAAACCCTCCAAGAAAAAAGTGACAAAATTGATTTTGACTAGGGTCGCCCCTAGTCCAAAATTGAAAATGTATTTCCTTCTTGGTTCTTTGCTCAAAAAAATTTTAAGACGTTTTATTTGTATTTGTTTTAAGCACTTGAATATTTATGCAAAGTTTCAATCCATTTTTATAAACCCTCAAAGAAAAAAGTGACAAAATTGATTTTGACTAGGGTCACCCCTAGTCCAAAATTGAAAATGTATTTCCTACTTGGTTCTTTGCTCAAAAAAATTTTAAAATGTTTTATTTGTATTTGTTTTAAGCACTCAAATATTTATGCAAAGATTCAATCCATTTGGAGGAACCCTCGAAGAAAAAAGTGACAAAATTGATTTTGACTAGAGTCGCCCCTAGTCCAAAATTGAAAATGTATTTCCTACTTGGTTCTTTGCTCAAAAAAATTTTAAAATGTTTTATTTGTATTTGTTTTAAGCACTCAAATATTTATGCAAAGTTTCAATCCATTTTTATAAACCCTCAAAGAAAAAAGTGAGAAAATTGATTTTGACTAGGGTCGCCCCTAGTCCAAAATTGAAAATGTATTTCCTACTTGGTTCTTTGCTCAAAAAAATTTTAAAACGTTTTATTTGTATTTGTTTCAAGCACCAGAATATTTGTGCAAAGTTTCAATCCATTTGGATAAACCCTCGAAGAAAAAAGTGACAAAATTGATTTTGACTAGGGTCGCCCCTAGTCCAAAATTGAAAATGTTCTTTGCTCAAAAAAATTTTTGGATGTTTTATATGAATTGACATAATTCTGACATAAATTACATTCCAATATTACTTTTTGTAATGCATAGCTTAAAAAAATCGAAATCTTAAATTTCGACTACCTCATCTGAATTTTGTTCATACTCTTCACTGTGGAATCCAAAAAACAAATTCTTTATCTTAAAATACTTGACAAAATAGCGACATAATTCAGGATTAATTACTTTTTAATAATATTTTAACATTAACGAGAAAATGTGGTTCAAATAAGTGTAAAGTATGGCCGAGATTTGGACCAAAATCAGCTATACTGGTTCATAGTGTTCCCGAGGGTGACAAAATTCAAACTAAGTGTTTTTGTAGCTGACATAATTATGACATAAATTAGGTATAACTTTTGAACTGTGTCGATATGGGTCTCGGCCGTACTTCACGCCCACCCTTCAAACTTATGCTGAGCAAATCTTGGTCTATCCATAAGACTTTTGATGATACGGTGTGAATATATCCGCATTGGGTTTCTACCTAATACACTAGTTTTTCTAAGACTTTCGTTTTCACTGACACAGTTTTTAGCTCACGGTTGCACATGAATGTTCATATGAATATATATTGCTGCCTTAAAATTATTGTTGTAAATGAAATAAAAATTGCATCTTGTCTAGCTATGATATAATAAAAGCAATAGTAATAGCTATAATAGTAATAATTATAATTGATCGTAACCGGTCTTTTTCTTACTTTAATATTTATTATCTTTTTGGATAATTTTTTTTAATGTTTTTGCTGCTGTTTTTGAATTTACTGAACACAACAACACTTGTAGATAGTTTTAATGAGTTTTACCTCAACGCTTAGTGGTTAAATTTAATTTGAGAAATTACAATTGAATTACGAG